TATCATTTCGTTTGAAAAAGAATCTTCTTTGTAAATTATAATAGTTACATTAGATAAAAATTGAAGCTTTTCTCAATTTATGATAAATTTAAGAATTAAAAATAATCATTTAATCCACTTAATAATATTTAAATCGTTGGTAAGAAATGATGAGAGAAAAAAATTAACATCATATTAACAATGATTCAACGTCTTATTATCATTTCAACTTATTATTACTCAACTGTTTAATCATATTAATATTATTTAAATGATCAATATTATCAAGTAAGTAGTTGAGGTAATGAGTAGAGAGAGAGAGAGAGAGAGAGAGAGAGAGAGAGAGAGAATGTTTAGATAATAACAAAGGTAACGTCAAGATGATAAGTTAACCTTTTTGCTGCTTCATCTCTCTCATTTCTCCTCTACTCATCCTTTTCTCTCTGATAAGATGATTTGTTTCGGGTAAACATGAAAACAATGAACAAAAATAACAATATTAACTCGCCCTTTGACCTAAACGATTATTTCAGATTGATTTGTAGGAGAAAGAAAGAGAGAGAAGAAAAAGTTACCTTATCATCCTCATCTTCATGTTTATCATTTCTACTTTTAAGAGTCTTAGTTTGAAAAGATAAACTTTTCAGGTATGAAGACCGACCTTTCCTACTTCATTATCATCTATGGTTCCCAGATAATGATTTTTTTTTCTCGTTGGTAAACATTTTGTGAGTTTCACCAATTGCATCTTCTTCTTCATCATCTTCATCTCCCCTTATCTTCATCGTTCTCTAAGTATTAAAGCTTATTTAGGTGCTAAATAATTTAAGCTAATAGTGCTCATCATCATCATGTAGACCTAATCTTACCCCCACCGCCTCCTCCTCTCCCATCATCTTGTTTTTCTGCAAACATTTTGACAACACTCATCAACCAATTATTTGTTATTATTTCAAGATTTTTTTCTTCATTCTAACTCTCTCTCTCCTTCTCACCCTCTGTTTACTTTGATTGACCATCGATGGTCAAGTTATTATGGTTATTATTATCATTATGATTATAGGAACTGTTTACCTGTCTGTAAGCAAGAAAAAGAAAGTAACTTTTCGTGTTTCCAGTCTCATCCTCATCTTCATCTCTCTCGTTTTCTCATCTTCCTATTATTCAACCTTGCAAAATCTTTTAGGTGATAGTGAAGATGAAAGAAAAATTACAAACTTTGCAAAAAGAAAATGTATTTTCTTTTTGTGGTTAATTCTCTCTGTTTGCAATAATATTTCCTAATATTTGAGGAATTGTGAGCAATGATGTTGCAGTATTGAAAATAGAGAGATGATTGTTTGAGAAGATGAGGATAAAGATGATATAGAGAAAGTGCTAAAGAGCGGATACAGTGAAAGAGAAAAGAAACTTTCTCCTTGACTTTTGCCATTGTTATTGTTAACTCCAAGTTAATCATGATAAATATTTGTGAGCATTGATAATGAGTAGATAAACAATTATCACCAAATCAACTCAAGCACAATCGATAAAACTGACCCCAGGTCAGTGGATTTGTTTGTTTACTTTATCTTTCGCTTTACTCTAAGTAAACGGAAATTAGAATTATTAACTTATTGATTTTCTATTTTCAACCTCATTATCTTAATTTAATTGTTTTGATTCATTGTAATATTATTAACCCATGTTGAGTTTGTAAGATTAAAAAAATCAACTTGACTTTTATCCAATTCCAAGAAATTCAATTTTGAATTTATGATTTGAATCTTCAAGATAATAAACCATATAATCGAAATGAAAGATTGATAAAAGTTACATGAGACATTTTCAGAGCTTTTTGAGTTTTATGAGAATTTTTCTTTATCCATAAAATCAGATTTAAATCAATTTTTATATTAATAAAGATGCAGATAACGATAATTAGTGAGAGAGATAAATATACTGAATGAATATAACTCACAAAATTCAATCTAAAAGAGTAAACATCAGTCATTTTGACTTGTTGTCAACTGTTAAATTAATATTATACTTCAAATAATCATCATGATATAATTATTTAGGACTTCTAGGGTGGAAAATATGAAGGTCACTTCAAGATCATTTCATCGTCTTGAGATAATTTTTGCTCATTGTGGTTTACTTGCCGCTAAAATACAGCATGAAATTTGGATAGAGACCATGGAGTGAGATGAGAGAGCGAGAGAGAGAGAGAGAGAGAGAGAGAGAGAGAGAGAGAGCTGATCCAAGTTCAGGGAATAGCAAAGGTAAAAAAGATGATGAAAATGATGAGGACTTTGAAGATGAAGGATAAAATAATCCGGTTTGACTGGACAACATGACTATCAATCAATAAAGTCTTGAGTTTATCATCAGCACTAGTGAAGTTTCATAGTAATAATCATCATTATCATCATCCTTATCTTCATCTATAAAATATTTCTCTCTCTCTCTCATTGTATATACAGTAATGTATCTTATTGAATTATTTTATCTGTCATCAAGATCATCACTTGATACACTTACTGTTGTGTTGGTAATGGTTGTTTTTTTTATCAAACAATTTTAATCAATTTGAATTAACCTTAATCAAGATAAAGAGACTTGAATCATCACTTTATATTAATTATTAATTTATAGCTAATCTAATCTGATGAATTATATTGTTTCTTTTGCACATCATTAGATAATCTAAATGATTACAGATCATCATTAAGTAAGTGTAACAATAATAATTATCTTAAACAGTAAGCCACATATAAGAAATGCAAAGAAAAACAAAATTAAGATTATTATTTTTCCTCTTCTCCATAATCGATTAAAACTATTAATAAGATGACCTAAGGATGAAAGTAAAGATGATAGAAAAAAAAGAAGATAATGAGAAGAGCAAACTCATGGTGACACCTCAACTCTCAGCACGAGACAAACAGTAACTCAGCGAATCATTAAATCATTGATGCAAGGTTCCTGGCAGAGAAAACGTTCCAACGATTTGAGTTTATCATTATGGTTATGAATTATCGTTTGCTAAGCCTCACTAATCATAATTTCATTTTTAACCTTATCCTTAACACGCTTTGATACGATTTCATCTTAATTATTTTCCATTTTAATCGATATTAATCTCTTTCTTTTGAAGATATTAGCTACTAATGGAGGTCATTATTAATAATTCATTGAAATTTAAACTTGATCACAGTTCGATAATAGATACTCTCATTATTAGATCAAAATTTCAATATTAATAAATATTCAGGAAAGAGAAGAGGGTGAGTGAATGAGAGATTTTCAAGTTGGAAAATTGAATTTACAATTCAAAGATAGATTTGACCCGTTGAACTTTCTCCTTTTATCATCCTCATCCTCATCCTCATCTTCATCCTTTCTTTTGTTGATATTGAGATGATATTTTCCGAACACTGAGTTGACGCAATTTCTACGAAGCTGAACAAAGTTCAGATTCTCTTTATAACTTTATCATCCTCATCAGATGAGTAGGATGTGAAAACGTACTCATGTTTCCATATATTCTCACTAAGTTCATCTCTCTCTCTCTCTCTCTCTCTCTCTCTCTCTCTTCCCTCTCCTTTCTTTCTCGTAGCTCTGAGGAGTTTCAGAAACTAGGTCAACGTAAATTAATCAAAACATGAATGATTCCATATGAGTATAGGAATCAGTATGAGATTAACCTTTTAGAGAAGTTCTTTTTTCTCCTCTGGATCGAGAAAAGAAATGGAACAAAAAATGGTTAGCATCCTCATCATTCACATCACACATCTGACTCCATAATTTCACCATAATAAACATCATCAAAACGATAATAGGTGATATCATGATACTCATAAAGGATATTTAGTGGGCGGAAAAATTGTTAATCCAGTTTGTTAACTGATTGTGAACAGTTCTAATACATTGAGTTAAAGGACAGGAAGAAAAAAAAAAATATCTACGTATTGATTTATTTTAAAGGTCTTTTTTTTACCTGAGACAATATCAAGTTCAGAAAGTTAATCATTCTTATATCATTTATGTATCTTTTATATAATCATATTATTGAGAGCATATGATTATTACTTTGAGAGAGACCGGATTTCACGATTATCTTATGTTACATAACGAAGTGAACAAAAAACAAATACTAGAATCAATCGTTTTGTTATTCAGAGAGTCTTCAATTAAATGTGGAGGAGGAAGAGGAAGACGTTTGGGGTGAAGATGATAATGATGATGGAGGAGGAGGAGGAGGAGGTGGAGGATAAGATACTAATTTTTTTTTTCTTATATTTAGCATTGGCCTCAACAAAAAAATCTACTATTTGTTATCCTAAATAACAATAATAGAACCTTTTCAACTTGGTCAGCACTAAAGAGACAAGGTCAGCACCTAATCATGTAATAACAATCATCATTTTTTTTATATTCGTTACTTGCTTTTCATCAAAGATAATAGTATCTTTCCTGACAACAATAATGATGATGATGATGATGATCGAAGGGAAGTTTTGATGATGGTAAAGAGGAGGTGGTGGAGGGAGAAAATATGAAGGAGGAAAAGGCCAACAGTTAGACAGAGAAAGAGAGAGAGAGAGAGAGGGGGGGATATTGTAAATTAAGATTGTTACGTTGCATTGAAAATTGCATTTTTTTACACAGAAAAAAATATAATGATGATAATTGTAGAAAGAGTATCAATCATAATCTTCAACACTTTAGTTAATCATGATTACATAGTAACTGTGCAAATATATATAATGTATACGATAATACATTAGACTGAAATGTGTTGACGTTTCTCATTGATATTTTGATGAATGGTTGATAACATTTTTGTTGATTACTAGTCTGATTTGTTAATTTTGATGACTGATTATTAAGTTAATCAATACATTTATATTCAAAATTAGGGACATTATTAACTTATCGCAATAAGATGATTCGATATTTGTGTATGTAGGTGTTGATTGTTGTTTTTGATTATCTCTGTATTCGTTATAATGATTAATTATTCTTGATCATCTTACCTTGGATGAAGAGACGAACTATTCCTTCAATTGTTTTCTTTTCATTCACTGTACACAGATATTCACCATCGTCTTGATATTGAGCTGAACGGAAGTAAAGTGCTCCTGTTTCCGGTAAGAATGCAACATGATTTTCAGCTTCCCATGTTATCATGCGAGTTTCCTTTATCTATAAGAACAATTGGAATAGAAAATGATAATCATTAAGTTGATAAAACAAACTGATTAGTGAAGGGAATCAAATTGAATTACAAGTTTACCAATGTTTAAAAATAAAGATTTATTTATCTTTCTTGCTACACAGTATTAATTGCGTTTTAATTGATTGTTAATTGTGGTTTCTCTCATTCTTTTGCACTCTCTCTCTCTCTCAGGTGAATTAAATAATTAATTGGTATGTTAATGTATTAATATTAATTATCGTTTCTAATTAGCTAAGTTAACCATCACCGCCAACGTTATTCTCATGTAATCATCATTGGATGTTGTAATAAATTAAATTGGATACACAATTTAAGTTAATTGTAAATGAATCTAAGTGATCTTTTCGTAGTTAACAATTTAGACAATCAATAAACACAAATAACAGGATAAAATTTAGTTACGATACAATAGTTAATTGTTCAAATCTTTTCTTCTAATAACTAGCAATTTGGACAAAACAGTTAACAATAGTAAACTTTTCATTCTCATCATTCTGATTATCTTAATTTTTTACTCAGATTTCATTTATTACAGGTAAATATCATGTTATTATTTTATCCCTTTCAGACTGTTGGTTGTTAAATTGTTAACTTCTGTTGACTGGTGATGGTAACAATGATGATCATGTATAATCATAAATCCAGATGAGAGGTGTAATTGATCATCAATAATAAAGATGATAATCAGTGTAATAGTTAATGGTAGTTAATAGTTGTTATAATGATGAAGAAAAATAAAATACTATTAGTGGGTGAGGTTGAAGACATTCTTACAACAAAGATTGTACAAGAATTATCATCAGCCACACGATGTTGCCCTTATATTTACGCTATTTTATCTTCCTCATCATCTTTTTCTTCATCATCATTATTATTATCAATGAGACAAAATCGCTATTTTAGAGACTAAAAACCGTTATTTGTAGTTGAAATTGACAATCATCTATTCAATTGTATTAATATGTTGGATTACAAAAAAAAACAACAATAAATAAATAATGAAATTACAGTTAAACTATCAGATAATATCATGATTTTATCCTTTTATATTTTCCCATAAGCTTCATCATAATCTTTATCCTCATCTTTGTTATCAATCTCTTCATCAGTATCCAACTGATTTATAAAAAGGGATAAATAACAATAACATTCAGAAGCTCAAATTTTTCATTCTAATAAATTCATGGTCAATTCCGCCTTTTTATTAATAAATGTTGGTCACTATCTATCTATCATCTTAGTTTTTGTTTCTTTTTCATTGGAATAACGTTTTATCATCATCATCATCATTTCGTTATGAAGAATATGTGATGTTCATGGTGATTGAAGTAGGAAAAGGTAAAGAAAAAAGAATAATTTTTTCAATTCAAAATTTATCTACTGAAGAGAGTTAAGAGTTACACTGAATTTATCATGGTTATAACATCATCTTCATGGTTGCTGGTTAACTGATTTTTATAATAAATTCAATCTTTTTTTTTGAATCATTTAGATGAATCATCATGTAAATAATAAACATCATGATGATTCTGGTAGCAATGATGATGATGATGATGGACAGAAAAAAAATGCGGAAAAGGTAATGCAAGATTCATATTATATTGACATCTATTTAATTGAGTTAGAAGGATGATAATTGATTCTTACCTCTACTAGTTTTTTATCCTCTTTCCACCATTCCAATTTGTCTACTTTATTTGCCCGCTGAGCAGGTATACATGGTAGTGACCCGTTATGACCTCGACGGACAATTATCTCTTGAGTTTTACCTGGAAATGATAAAATTAAATGAAAAAAAAGTCAATTTAAATACACAGTTTACGAATAATTAACAGGGAAAATATTCAGATAGTCATGGAGATTATTGATTCTCTCTCTCTCTTCATCCAAATAATGTCTTTCAGAGCAATTCAAACAATTTAAAATCGATAAGGTTTTTATCCAAGGTTAAAGTAAAGTACATTACTTTTAAGAGGATGAATACATAACTAGTAGAGACTAATAATTTAAAGTGAATTAATTAATCATTGATTGGATTTGAGTGTTTGAATTGTAGTCAAATCAAGTGACAATTTTCTTAATTTAAAGGATATAATTTTTTTTTCTCCAATATGAGTTGTGATTAAAAATTAATTCGGTAAATAATTTTTCAACCCCTATGGGAGAGGTACATTTTTCACACGAGGTGAAGCATAGAAACAAATTGTTAATCAAATTAAGAGAGAGAGAGAGAGAAATATCTGATACTGATGAGAAATCAATGTCCGTCGCTAAAGCTTAATTGCGATTATCATAAATTATATTTGTCAGATAATTGAGCCGAACATTGTTTTTCGCTTTACGTAAAAGGGCCTAAGTAACTATTTTTACGAGAGGAACAGATTTTTTTTTGTTGGGAACATATAAGTATTTCCTTTGGGAAGACGAGACGACTGCAAGTAGCAGTAATAACAGGTACAAGAAGATGATGATGATGATGATGATAGCTACACTATACGAACATGGATGATAAGGGATAACACTAACAGCTGTCAACTACTAAACAGAAAGAGAGAGAGAGAGAGAAGAGCGAAGAGCGAAGAGTAAGAGCGAAAGAGTGACCGAAACGGAGAGCAGATGTAAGATTGTAAGAGAGAAAATAACGAAGGAAATAGATTTGTTTAAGAAAAGAGTGAGAGATGATCGTTGAGGAAGGAAGAGGATAAAGGTACAAGGTAAGAGAAAAGAAAGAGAAAAGTGGGAGGTAAAAGAGTAGATAAAATGGTTATAAATTTTATCTTTTAAATTTAAAAAAAAAACACGAAAGAGAAAAAAAAATCTTACCAAGATGGCGAGAATCATCTCGAAGCGGATCATCACCGGTTGACAGAGGAAGAAGTAGTAATGTGAGGGTGAGAAAAAGGGTAAAGGGTAAGGTTATATACAGTGGATGAGACATAAAGGATGTATGATGACAAGTTAAATTTGAAGAATATCCAAAAGAGATTCAATGAAAATCAGTGGTAATAATAGTCCATGGTTAAGATCAATGTATCACTTGAGATAATTTCCGTTTGTCAATTAAATAGAAAAACAGTAAAAATCCAAATACACACAAGAGAGTGAGAGAGAGAGTATTGATGACACACACAACACGAATAAGAAGAGTAGAATAGAATATTAGAAAAGAGAGATAATTCTAGTGAAGAACAGTAGAGAACACAGAAAGTATATTAATACTCAGGGAAGGTTGAGAAATAAATTGGAAAGAAAGAGAGAGAAAAATATCAAAAGAGAATCAAAGATGAAGATGGAATAGAGAAAAAAAAGATGAGACACAAGAGAGAAAATCGAACAAAAAGAGAAGAAGAAAAAAACAAGTAAAATGGAAACAATTTATTCTCTTCTCAAACCAACAATTGGAATCACAATATTTTCGATAAATGTTTAGATTTTTGATGATTTTAAATTTTCACAATTTCGATTGAATTAACTGAGAAATTATTTGGAATTAATTAAAAACGAAAAACACTAAATACACTTGATCACAATTCACCGGCTACGAGCGGATACTTTTCTCTTCTGCACCTCAAGTCAGTCTGATGCTTCTCATGATGAGTAACATTTTCTCCTCTCACTCTCATAGAAATTCTTAACTTGTGCTGCTTTCTAGCGACTTTTAGACTCACTAAAAGAATAAAAAAATTCTTTTCTACAAATAATCAAATCTAATTGTATTTTTTTCTTCTCTCACATTTAAGTTGATTTATTAATTGTTTCTCTTTAATTTTTGTGTAATTTTGATTTTGTGGAGTTTTTGTTGCTCTCTCTCTCCCTGTTTTCGTTTCTTGGTTGCATTTTTATTATCGGTTTTAATGTGATTTTCTTGCTTATGTTGATTATGTTTATTTTGTCTTCTAAATTTAATTGTAATCCTTTGGCTCTCATCAATTGGTTAGTCTTTCAGATGAGTGATATTGGTTAAAGGTTTGTTCATTTGTTTTTATTGTAATCTGATGAATTTGTGTATATATTTATGGTGTTGGTGTTGGTGTACTTTAGGGTCTGACAAAAAAAATGAAAATAGTTGTCAAGTAAAATGTTACATGTTTGCTTGAATGTTGATTATAGAAGAGATTTGAAAGATGATTATGTATGTTGAGAATTATCATTATTAGGCAATCATATTTCACTTTCTCTCCTAGTAGTATTATTATTTATTATTACTGTGTGTGAATAATATATTATTAGAAGAATTGGAATATGATAGTGCTTTGTGATTTCACTTCACTTTACATCTCTTTCTCTTTTTCTTTTCTCTCCAAATCATAATCATCATCAACTGTTTCAATTTGTCTCTCTCTCTCTCACTTCTACTCTTGTTCTTCTTTTATTATTATGTATTTCTCTTACACTCCCGGTCTTCTTCATCTTCCTCCTCTCACTTTTATCTCTCTGTCTCACTTTCAGGTCTCTCTCTCTCTCTCTCTATTTCTCTCTGGTCTTTCCTGGTTCTCCCCAAGCAAAAGTGTAAAGGCGCAAGGGAAGTACAACAACTACAGATATGATCGTAATGGGTTTTTTTATATAATCACAAACTGTACTTTAATCGATCAAAAAGGTCTGTATATTTGTTTAAATATGAACGCAATCGCGAGAAAAATAGACTCTTTCCACCTCTCAGTCTCCTCTTCTTCAACAACCCTCGCCCCTGATCTCTCTCTCTCTCTCTCTTCTTTTTTCCGCCATGCTTCTCTCAAGAGAGATTAAGTCCACTAAATATTGTGGTTGACTGCGCTGTTAGCATTTTCTTCAGCTTATTGCAACATTTTCACTCTTCTATCTAATTGTAACTGTAAATATACTCTCTTTCCTTTCTTTTCATCACTTTACTTTCCTCGATTTTGTCTCTTTCTTTCTATTCTATCCTTGTTTCGATTCCTCACGATTTCTCTTTCTCTTCAACATCCTCATCATCATCTTCGTTTAATGTACTTCATCTCTTCTTCTTTATACTAATTGTATTAAGAATAATAATTGCCTTTGTACCTGTTTTTATGGTTCTTGGTTAACAATAATCTTGTATCTCTCTTTCTGTCTTTCCGTTATTCTTTTCATTTCCAATTCTCTTTTAATTCAATATATATTGGGTCTTTTTCCTATTTTTGTATCTTTGTTTATTTCTGTGTTTGTCTTGTACCCATCAGGTTTTCTGTTATGATCTGGGTAAATCACTGTTGTCAACATTAATTGGATTGTGACCTCAAACTGTCTGATTATTCTCGATTTTTAGAACTCTATTAATTTTGGTAAATTCGATGAAATTCAAGGTAATTATCAACTTTTTCACATTTTTTTGAGACTCTATTCATGTGTCAGGGTCAGTTGTGTACATTCATACAACTAAATTACTTTCATAAAGCAATTTTTTCAATGATTTAACCCTTTCAAATCAACTCATGTGAATTGCCCTTTCCCAATCTCGATGTCTTATCCTTTTAATAAATCAAAACTAGAGGCATTTAACAATTAATACAGTGAATGAAATTTCCAATACTCTTTTTTATTTTAATACCACAGGTTAATCTTAATACTTAAACAATTCAGTGTCATCTTTAAGGTGACTTTAATCACGAAATGGACAACTCAGTAATTGCTCGAAGTGGATGGTTAATTAGAAGAGGTAAGTTAATTTGCTCGATATCTTATTGTTTTTAATGTTAATGTTTTAATTGGTTATAATATAATCTTCTAATTAACTTTACAGTTAGCGGGAAAGATTGGAGGAAAAATTGGATTGAATTGTATCGAGATGGTTATTTAAAGTATTACGAAAATGATTACAGTCCAAATCCAGAAGATGTAATTAATATGCCCACTGAGTGTATATCAATTAAAACAGGTCTTCAGGTAAATAAATAGACAATTGGTAGTTTACAATTTTGTTGGTCGAAATTTAGAGTTAAATCAATCGACAGCTAATTTAGTTTTATAGAATTATAATCGTAATTAATTTTTTTACCTCATTTTTTGTTTATAAGGTTGAGGAAAGTTATTGTCCACCAAGTGGCCATTCATCTCAATGTGTATTTGCTGTAGCAGCTTCTGGCAATAAGAAATGGATATTCTGTGCAGATACTCCCGATGACATGAGAGCTTGGCAATTGGCTCTGGAACAAGCTCGTCTTCTCATTTCTAGGCCACCTCATCATCATACTCATCATCATCATGTTCCTCATCATCCCCATGGGCATCATCCTCATCACCCTGGTTATCCTTTCAATCATCCATCGATCATACATTCCATGAGATTAGCTGGTTTACCTAATTCAACTCTCGAGGAATATCATCGTCTCAATCAATATACTCAACTTCAACATATGATAAATTCACGAACTTTACCGCTCACATTCAACCCAAATGATCCAAGATCAACTTCAACATATCCTCTTAATTTACCACCACCAACATTACCTCCTTCATCATCATCATCATCGTCATCTCGACCATCAAATGTTTCCGAACAATCAGTTAACAGTACAACAATTTCTACATCAAATTCATCATCAGCTCAACCTTTAGCAACAACAACATCAATTTTTCCTATTCCAGTGCCACCACTATCAACACAACATTCATCGGCATCTTCAGCCGGACCACCTCGACTTCCTTGTTTTAATTTTAATTTTGGCAACCCGAATGAACCTTTGCCAAGACCTGGACCTTTATATCCAGCAATGAATCAATCAACAAGCCTACCACCAACTCCTCTCTCACCGCAATCAAGAATCTTTCCATTCCCTGAGCAAGATGTTAGAAATTTTAATATTGGTTCGTAACAATTAATATAATTCTTGTATTTCTATCGCATGGTCTGTGGAGTGAATATGTTTCAGCTTATTTCAGTTCATTTGAAACGTAGTTACAGTTAATCTTTAAACAAAATAAGCTTTTCTTTTATTTTAATAACAATTAATAATATCCATATGATAGTATTCACTTTGAACTCCAGAATATGTTACAAAATCAGATAATTAATTTGGGATCATCTGATTTTGAATCTTTAGATTCATGAGTCTCCTTTAAAATTAATCATCTATTAATTGTTGATGTTCAATTTTCTCTTCATCTATTTAGATGTATTAACTAATCCTGATGCTCGTCTTGGTGCAAACAGACTAGTCTGGCCTCCGTTTATTTGGTGGTAACTTTGGATTAAAAATATTGACATGAAGACTGATTAATTTAAAAACCATCACTATTGTTTCTTTTTCTATTTTCCATTTGATTGTCAATTTGTGTTCAAGTAAGATTAACAAACTGTTAATCAACAAGTTTGGCTATTAATCTGATCACCACTTGTTTACTCACAAGGGTAAATGTAAGTGATAATAATGATAAATAAATTATCACTCGTGAAAATGATTAACATGGCTATTGAGAATAATTGCCAAGTGACATTTTCTTCAATTTGTTCAGATGCTGATTGATTCAAGTAACAGAAGTTCAATCACTTTTAAATTGATTTAATTTCCACAGAAATTCGTTAATAAAAAAATTTTGTCTATAGTTTGTTAAATTTTGTTATAATTGATGAACTAAAGTCCTGGTCGTGGAAAATCAGCTGGAAAAGATCCGCTGCTCTTGGAGCCATAAGTTTATAGCTCTGACGAATTGTTACTTCAGCTACACCCGCTATATCTCCTATTTCTTTTGGAGTCTTTGAATCTTGACAAGCCATATAAATAGCGGCAGCAGCTACAGAAATTGGACTTCGACCTGGAACAATATCCAAATCAACCGCACGTCGAGCAATATGAGTAGCCGCTTTTTGTATGGCCGATGAAAGACCAAGATTTGAACAAAATCGAACCATAAAATCGCCCGTAGTAATTGTATCCACATTGGTTTCCAATGCTTTCAAAATTAACTTGAAACATCTTCCAATCTCTTTCTTGGACACTTTTGACACGGCACATATTTCCTTAAATGTACGAGGTACTCCTTCTTGACGACATGAGATATAAAGACATGCAGAAGCGATCGCATCATTTGATCGACCTTTTGTAGCTTTTGAATCATGGACTTGCTTAAATAAAAGATGAGCTCGTTCTAAGAGAAGGGAAGAAATTGAGAGAATTCTGTCAAATTGACCAACAAAGAGAAAAGAAAAAAGAAAAAGCAAGAAAGAAAGAAGAAAGAAAAGAATAAAGGAAGAGAGGGAGAGAGGAAAAAGAAAAATATTACTCACCGACTATAGTTTTAGCTAAATTAATCTTATCGGCCATATCATTGATCTCTTTAAATCCGCTTATTAGACTTCTATCGGAACTACTCATTTGTTTCTTACTAGAATACTTGAGACCTTCACCAGAAGCATTTGGTTCGGCTCTTGCAATAATAGTCGAAAGATCATTACTACCAAGAAGTGGATTCTCAGCAGCACCGACACGAGATGGATCAGCATTGGCTTTCTCATTGGAAAATGTTCTCCACTCAGAACCAACATCAATAACACGATCACCAACAACTAAACCACATTCCGAACAAATCATATCACCAGCTCGATAATCTTCAATTAAAGCAGCATCAGGATGCTCTCGACATCCAATCTTAGCAGTTCGATTCATAATTAAAAACGAAACAAATTGAGTTTATTCAAAATACAATAAAAATGGTAAAAGAATAAAAAAAAAGGTAAAGTAAAAAATATACAAGGAAAAAAATCCAATCAATTCGTGAAAATGATCCAACACAATAAGTATAAACAACCAATCAACCAAACGCGAGAGAGAATAAAAAGCTTCTTTCAATCAATAAGAAAACAATAAGAATAGAAAAAGTTAATTAAACATTTAATCAAATGAAGAGAATAACAATTAAGTGACTCATTGGCAAAAGAGTGAATTAATGAAAGAGAATTTCAGTTTAAATAGAAAAATGAAAAATTCTACTGAACATCAGCGCCATCTGTCGATAGAAAATATGATTGTTCTATTTGAACAGTTTTCGCGCATCACCTGAATTCCTTTTCATGTAACATTTTATTGATTTATTTTCTTCCTGCGATTATCATGATTCCATAATCACCATGATTGACCTTGATAACATCAGGTATACATAAACAGAGTGGAGAATATGAAGATACAAGTGAATTCCTTTTCCAGAGTAACATCTAAAGTCTCAGTTAATTAATTTCCATCTTAATTTACCTTCGTCTCTCTTTCTCTATATTTTATCAATGAAATTGTGTTAATCCTTTTGGATTTCTAATCTATTCTTAATCTTTATTTTTTTTTCTGTGCTTTGTGAATATACATATAAATCGAACAATCATTGTGGAGAAAAGAAAGTAATAAAGAAAGTAATTGGAGAAGAAGAGAAGAAAACAAAATTCTAAGCTAAATGTTACTTAGAATAGGAAAACCAAGTTATCCAGTTTTCTGTTGATTCCTTTGTTTTCCTTTTCCATTAGAGAAAATTTTTCTTTTTTTTTCTTTTATACGATCAACAATTTGGATTATCTGTTTTGTCTGAATCACATTGTTAATTGTTGATTGAACGACGATGAAAGATGAGACCAAATCAATTGTGACAACAACCCAAGTAGTTGCTGAGATTCACCATCATTACCAACAATTAACCGAACCAACAGATATCAAAGGTAAGATAAATTCACCAATCAAATTCAATAATCTTCCCTTTTTCTTACCATTTTCATTTCTTTATCTAATTACATTTAAACGAATATTCTTAATTAGTAGATTAGTGTAATTCTCTGTCCTTTATCACACCTTAATCCTTCTGATAGAGATTATATTCTAATCTATTAGTTAGAATTTCGTCAACCATAACAATGGAATCAATTCTCATTTTCTATTTTCTTTTTTTTTTCTATTCTCTCAAGAGCTTTTGTCCATCTTTTTTTCCATAATTAGGATTTTCTATTAATTTCTATTCAAGAGTCTCTCATTTCACTCTTCAAGGGTTAATTAATGAGATGGCTAAAAGTGATTAGTCTTAATTAATTGCCAAGTCTTCTAATTAAGACTCATTAAGTGGCCCAAAGGAACAATTTATTGGCGGGATTTAATCATCTCTCTTTGTTTTCTGTTCAATTTTGTTTACTGGTCATTTTTTACTTTATAATAATTCAATTGACCTTCGTATCAGTTTTAATTAATTAGAATTAATTAATTCTCTTGTGAACATTGTTCTCTTTTCAATTTTTGTCTAATATTGTTCTTTACCTCTTTCTTTCCCTGATCTTTTTGTCTCTTAGTTTCTGATTACCTTTTGTATTAATTTACCAGAGAAAAATGTTTTAATCAATGATTGACCATTGTGAACAAATTAAAATCAAGTTTCTTTGTTTGATTTTGCTTCCCTTCAGATGTAATCAATGAATTAGAGATTCAATGTACCAAAAAGCTTGGAGAGATAACCTTAGTGACCACTAATATTTCACCAATTACCAAATCTGCTGGTGATCCTGATTTATCCCCTGATTTAATTGTTGAATCATCAGAGTTTCCTGATGATAAATCTCTTTGGGAAGATGATGGATGTTCATCATCTTTTGATGAAATTGAAACTGATTGTTCTGATTTAACATCTAATCGAACTGATTCCTATAGTTCTGGTGAATCTTCTGATGCTCGAAGTCCCGCTCCAGGTCATTTGTCACCTTCATCGTCGACTCATCGTCGTCGTAGTGTTTCATTGACAGATGATTGTTGTGGTTTAGTTGATGAAACTGGTGATGAAGGTGTTATAATTCATAACTGTGATGGAGGATGTAATGGATTAAATGTTGGAATAAGAGGAGGAAGTGGTGTGGGTATTGGTGGTGGATGTGGGGGTCACAATGTAGGACATTATGGACATGGATTGGGACCAAGAGGATCTGGAGGTTGTGATGCCTCGAAAATGTGTTCATCTTCAATGGGCTGTACTTCCCACGGTGGTTCCTATGTTAGATATGATCGACCCTCCCAAGTCCCTTACAATCGTAATCCTAAAACCGCTGGACTTAATTTCAATACTAATCTTCGTAAACCTCCAGAAAATTGGCTTCGTATGAGATTACAAGCTCAAGGCTCAGGTCACAATGGGTGGGGTCGTCATGGGCCACCCTATTGGTCTTATCCATACTCAAAGACTTCTTCATGGGCCATGTTTGCTTATCGTTACTCTGGTCGAGGTCGAAGGCCTTTTCACAAAGGTCTTGCAAATAATTTGTAAGTTAAATATTCACTTAGATAATTAGAGTAATTAGATCAATTTCCAATAATCTAATTAGTACTCGTATTGCTCGTTATTATATTAGATTACAAGATTTCCAACCTTAATTGTTTACTTCTCAATTTTTGGTTGTTTATTTTTATCTGTTGATTCTGATATCATGAACAATGAATTACATGTAGCTCTTAATAGTTATTTGTTTCCAACTAATCAATTTTGATTTCATCTAGTGATTTCTTTTTCTTAATCATCAATTAATTTAGTTACTTCTAACGAATCAATAACATTTATCCTGACTTTTCATGAACTATTTTCTCTTATGCAGAATCTAATTCAATCAACCCAAATTGATATGTAATTGAATCTCTTGATTAGCATATCCTCTGAATCATCAAATTCATCATCATCATCATCATCTTCTTCCACTCTCAATACTTTATCCTGTTAAACCTTTTCTTCACATCTCAATTTCTGCTTCGATATCATGAACATGAATTGTCAGTGAAACAATAAATCAATGAATTAGATACTATTCTGGGCGAAGATAACCTTATTTTTTTTGTTCTTCCTGATTCTGTATATAATTCAATTGAAATCCACTTAATCTATTGAAAGGGATGACGATGATGATGATGATGATCTTCGTTAGCATTATATCAGTTACAGTTTTCTCCCTCTCATTTTGTCTTCTTCTTTTATTTCATCCACAACCATATTTACTTTAACTATGTGAACTTAATCCAGTTATAAATTCAGTTACAAATTAACAATGATTCAACCATGATTTTTACTATTAGAGAAAGAGACAACAAAAAAGTAACTGTACTTTTGTCCAGTGTGAAACAATCAACAAATAGTAGAGAGCAAGTTTGACTTGTTTTAATCACAATGAAAGTGAATCGTATTTATTTATTGGTAATCCATTAATGGATGAACCATGATCATGATAATAAAATACAATATTATCATGATCAGAATCTCAATAGTCTCATTCTGACAATAGATTAACTAAGAAAAAGGCTATTCATAAGTCTAATATTGATTAATTGCGATTGCAAAGTATATCCACTTGAGTGAACTTGATTCAATGAGAGAAAACAAAAAAAAACTAAACTTGAGGATTTAACGAAATCCATGTAACAACCATTACAGAATCAAGAGATTTACTCTGATGATATTATATTTTTTTCTCATTACAAATATACATCACGATCTGTTCGAGATGATGATTCGTGTGGCGATAATAGGAAAATTACATTTTGTTCTTGGTCATCTTATTGATCTCTCTCATGATCTCCACCCAAAGAAATATGATATTACATCAAAATGAGATGTTATTAGTTTCATCTGGTAGATTGTTTAATCTCCTTGAGTATTATTAATGTTTAATCAACACTTTATTACCAACAATCAGATTACTTTCAATTGTTATTATACACGAAGAAAATTTCATCTTTAGTTGGTCAATTTCATTTTTTTAAATTGTAACTTTTTACTTTCCAAAATTATTGTTGTTTGGTATATTTGAATTATTATTAATAATTAAGTTTAGATTAATTTGTAAGCAGTATAATTAATAATTAATTTGATTTTATTATTTACAGAGTTTGTCTTTGCTGTGGATGTTGTAATTGTTCAAGAGTTAATCAAACTTGTTGCTGTTGTTGTTATCATTGTGTCCATCGGATTTCATCTTGTCGTCGACCTGATTTAACGAAACCTAATAGGCCACTTTGCGCTGTTGGACCAGGGGGACCACGGAAATCGGTATCAAATTCATTGCAAGCTGGTGCTAGTGAAGGTGAACCCTCTGGAATGGGTGAGCCAAGTGGAAGTGGTCAAGGTGCTTGTGGTCAAGGAGGCGGTGAAAATGAATCTGGTTTAGAGTCGGGAATGGATTCAGGTACAGAATCGACCTCAGGTAAAGCTTCAGAGCGAAGTAAGAAAAAATCAAGTTCCGGATCAGGTAAAAGCTCAACAACGACACCTTCCAATGAAACAATGCCCAAATCTTATAAATTGTCAACCTTATTTTAGACAAAATTAACTAAATTAACTAAAACGAAAAAGAAAATGATCAAAAAGCTGACAATTAATCAACTTTAATCCAGTTCAACAAAATCAGTCTCAAAGTGTTACCCAACTCAATCCTCAAAACAATGAACCAACGATAATCACCATAATTAATTAATTTGTGTCACTTAAATCTAACTATTAATCATTACTCATCTTGCAACGAAAGCTTTAATTGTCACAATTTGGATTGATATTAATATTTTCAAGGGAAGATGAAACTTGGAATGGATAAAATAAATTTAATGATAAATTTGGATACAAATTGCGATTGGGACTGATAATTGATTGTTGACTTGGAGTCTTGAATATAAATTTCTATATATTGTATAACAATTAACGGAAAAATTATCAGATCATTTAAACAAAGCAAAGTAATGATAGAAATCATTGAAAATGATGTTCAAAGACCAGCAAGATTTGCTTAAATATAAATTATAATCATCGTTATGTATAAAACAAATGTATTTTGCTGCTTTACCGAAAATGTTTTTCCTGATGAGTTAATGATTAATTAGTTAATTATGTAATTTAGATTACAGTAACTTCACATTTAGGGAGCTACTCCAAAGAGATACCAATCAATTTCGTCTTTTTTTCTGACACTTCTCAATGAAATGGATCAAAAAAACTGAAAAAATTGCAAATCAATTTCACTTTACATGATTTATGAGCTTCTCACTAAATATTACAATTAATTTTTGATTGTGAGTTAATTGACTTGCAGATATCGCTCATTTCACCAAATTATTTTACAAATTTCTCAATCTTGACCATAATCCTCATTGCCATGAATGTTTAACTGTTTGCCATCGGTAAGTGTTCATTTTGATTGTTATCCATGAAAATTTATGATTATGTTGATAGTGATTTCAATATTTTGTTTGTTTGTCTCCTTTTCACTTTAGGTCGCTTTTTTTGTTGGATGTTTATCAAATTTCACAACTTTAGAACAGTAAATCAAATGTAAAAATAACATAATAAATTTATGCTTGTTGAATTTTAACATTGTCTCTTTGGTTACTCAAATTTGTAGTTAAATTGCACCAATTAACAAATTGCGTTAAATAAGTTGGGTTGTGGTTTTCATATGTAATCATTATCATGGTGAATTTTGTTGGTACTGATAGAGTTGAGCCAATGCTTAGGCCTTAAGTGCCTTTGGTGACAGTTCGGCTTCTTAAGATTCTTATGGATTGTTCTTTAAGTTACAGTTTCTATTAAGTGCTCATTTTGACTTCTTTGATTGGAAAATCAGCTGGAAAAAGATCCGCTGCTCTTGGAGCCATAAGTTTATAGCTTTGACGAATTGTTACTTCAGCTACACCCGCTATATCTCCTATTTCTTTTGGAGTCTTTGAATCTTGACAAGCCATATAAATAGCGGCAGCAGCTACAGAAATTGGACTTCGACCTGGAACAATATCCAAATCAACCGCACGTCGAGCAATATGAGTAGCCGCTTTTTGTATGGCCGATGAAAGACCAAGATTTGAACAAAATCGAACCATAAAATCGCCCGTAGTAATTGTATCCACATTGGTTTCCAATGCTTTCAAAATTAACTTGAAACATCTTCCAATCTCTTTCTTGGACACTTTTGACACGGCACATATTTCCTTAAATGTACGAGGTACTCCTTCTTGACGACATGAGATATAAAGACATGCAGAAGCGATCGCATCATTTGATCGACCTTTTGTAGCTTTCGAATCATGGACTTGCTTAAATAAAAGATGAGCTCGTTCTAAGAGAAGGGAAGAAATTGAGAGAATTCTGTCAAATTGACCAACAAAAGATAAAAAGAAATAAAGAAAAAAAAGAAAGAAAGAAAGAAAGAAGAAAGAATAAAGGAAGAGAGGGAGAGAGGAAAAAGAAAAATATTACTCACCGACTATAGTTTTAGCTAAATTAATCTTATCGGCCATATCATTGATCTCTTTAAATCCGCTTATTAGACTTCTATCGGAACTACTCATTTGTTTCTTACTAGAATACTTGAGACCTTCACCAGAAGCATTTGGTTCGGCTCTTGCAATAATAGTCGAAAGATCATTACTACCAAGAAGTGGATTCTCAGCAGCACCGACACGAGATGGATCAGCATTGGCTTTCTCATTGGAAAATGTTCTCCACTCAGAACCAACATCAATAACACGATCACCAACAACTAAACCACATTCCGAACAAATCATATCACCAGCTCGATAATCTTCAATTAAAGCAGCATCAGGATGCTCTCGACATCCAATCTTAGCAGTTCGATTCATGATTCAAACTCTAAAATCCAAATTATATTAAACAAAAAAGATAAAAAAAAACCAAATCAAATCACCAAACAAAAGAACAACAATTTAAAAAGACATAACCATCAACACAATTTCGGCCTAAGATTTTATGATGAAAGTTCCTGATGATCAATCGATTCAACACCAAATCGATCAATAAAACCAAGAACATGAACTAAAATCGATTTTCTAAGAAGAAAAAAAAACAAAACTAATTCCATCATCGGTTCACTTTTCCCAAATTCTAATTTGACAGCTCAAACCGATAAATTTTCTGCCAATAATCGATCTCGGTTGAAAGAAAGATCTCCAAGCCAGAGAAAAAACAAAAGTGACCTTCGTCCGTTTCTCGACGAAATGAGCGCGAGATTTGAAGGAAAATCGCCCAAAAGAAATGAGTAAAACGATCGATCGAAAATGCGAGTTGGAAATCGAGTTCGACTCCATAAGATACGATCGATTTTAGATCGATCTGAATGGATCTTCACAACGAATTTGTTTCATTTTCTCTCCATTGGGAAGAGTGAAACGAGTGTTTTTTGTTTGAAAAAGGCGCTTATTGTTGTAGAGGGAGTTAGATTTGCATCGATATTAAATCTAAAATTACGCAACTTTTTGAGCTTTTTTATTCCCTTTTGTTTTGCTTATCTCTTTTCATTTCTTTTTCTTTGTCTCGTAGAAACATAACTCTTTTCTCTTTTTTTCATCTCACTTAATTTCTTTTCATCTTCCTCCACTTCTACAATGTCTTGGCAATCCTATGTGGATAATCAAATTTGTTCTCAAGTCTCTTGTAAGATCGCCGTGATCGCAGGCCTTCAAGATGGAACCGTGTGGGCTAAATATGAAGCAGATGAAAATGTAAGTGTAATATTCCCGTTCTCCCTCTTTCAATTTTTTATTTTTTTCTTCTCTTTCTCACTCTCAGTCTCTACCTTTTTTTCTCTCTCTCATTCTCATTTTCTCTCTCTATCTGTCTCTCTCTCTTTATCTTGCTTTATCCCTCACTCTCTTTCTCTCTTGGTCTCTGTCTCACTTTATAGATTTATTAAGTTTATTAAACCACTCATTCTCTTTTTTTCTTCTCTCTTTCTCTCTCTCTCTCTCCACAGAAAGTAACTCCTGAGGAGATGAAAACAATTGCAGACGGCATGAGAAATAATCCAGGAGCTTTTCAAGAAACTGGTATCCGTCTTGGAGGTGAAAAATATTTCTGCCTATTTGCTGAAAACAATTTACTCCGAGGACGTAAAGGAAGCTCAGCACTTATTATCGTAGCCACTAATACATGTAAGAATCATTAACAGACCAAATTTTCAAATTCTTGAACATGTAACTGCGCCTTTACACCCAAAACATTTAAAACATTTAAAGCTCAAGTTTTGCTGTTAACCAAATAGTATCACAGAAACAACACCCAGTTTGCTTTTACTTTCATTTTTGTTCATTTCCTACTTTTTGCTCTTGACTCATTTCTACTTTTTATTTCCTTTATTCATTTTTCTCTTTTTCTTTTACTCTCTTTCTCTTTTAGGTTTACTTGCTGCTGCAACAACTGACGGTTTCCCTCCTGGTCAATTAAATACAGTGGTTGAGAAATTAGGAGATTATCTGAGAAGCTCAAACTACTAAAAATGAAGCCATGGATAATTATTATGATGTTGATTGCGATAATTGTATTGAAAATGAAGCGATTAACTAATGAGTGACAGTTAATCAGATAAGTTGATTTGTCATTATCATTCAATATCATCAAATCACATGGAAACAGAAGAAAAGATGGAATTGGTTAGTTAATTACAGTTAAATTGATTGTAACAATTAACACCCAAATAAAAACAAAATTAATTTGATTAATGAGGGAAATATGTTGATAAAAATACACAATAATTGATAAAAGTTTGAATTTAAATTTATTAAATTATTGCAAAAATATTGAGTTTTAAAATTAAAAGTAAATCATTATGATTAGTTGAAGTGACGGATTTGACATTTTGACGAGAAAGTGAGAGAGAGAGAGAGGGAGACTGATTGAGAGTGAGAGCGAGAAAGTGAGAGTGAAGTAGAATGAGAGAGAAAATGAAGAAAGTTAATTGTTGATAATTGAGATAAAAACAACATCAATTTAAATGGACAATTACAATTTGAATGGCTAATTGTTGGAGGAAATGATTATGTTGATCTAATAAGCGATTGGTTCTCGTACCATTTACATGAATAGAAAACGAATCCTCCTCAATCACCTTATGTTACTTGATCATCTTAAATATTAGAAAAGGCCAAAGATGAAGAGAAAGAGAGGGAGAAGGGGAGGAAGAGAGAGAGAGAGAGAGAATGAGTGAGAGAGTAGTAGAAGAAGAAGAAGAGAAGATGATGATGATGATGATGATGATGGAAATTAGAATCTAGATGAAGATGAGAAAGAGAGAAAGAGAGAGAAGAGAAGAGAGAAGAAAAAAAGAAGGTCAGACAATGAAAGAAAAGGAAAATAGTTTATTGAGAGTGTAGGTCATTCACTCTAATAGGTCCGTTCGTTTTATATTAAAGGTATCGGTAAATACGCGAAGATGAGGAAGATGAAGATAAAGATGAAGATGATGAAGAAAAGAAAGTAACAACTAACTAACTAACTACACACTAATAGGCGGGTTTGGCTTGAGAAAGTAAATGTTATAAGAAAAAAGCATTTCAAAGATTCTAAAAATATTGACTAGAAAAAGAGGAAAATGAAGATACAGTTGATGAAGAAGATGATGAACAACGAGATGAACATCAAGAAGAAGAGAAAGAAAAGAAAGAAAAAGTAGAGAGAGAGAGAGAGAAGATGGAGATGTGGATCTGTAGAGATGATGATGATAATGGTGGTGGTGATGGAGGCGAAGGCGAAGACGAAGATGAGGAAAAATAATAAATATAAAAAAATAGGACGAAAAGAAGGAAAATAAAGAAAGAAAGAAAGAAAGAGAGAGAGAGAAAGAAATAAGAAGATGTCTCTCTCCATCTTCTCTCTCCCTCTACTTACCTTGAAAAACTTTTTTCTTTTTCTCTTCTTCTTTCCAATGGAATATAAACATTTACCTGTGATCCGTTAGACACATTCTATTATTACATCATTTCTGTTTCTCTCTCATTGTTATTGTAGTTCTGATGATAGATTATATTATTATGGGAATTAATCTCAACAGGTCTCGATCGAAGAAAGAAAATCCTAATCATCTTCTTCTTCCCCATCATCAATATGTTCACGGAGAGAAAGAGACACTTCGTTTGTAGCCTTACCTAATGTAAGAGAAAACGAATCGTGGGAATTTCTTCTTCTAACAGGTCACAATATCGTCATCGTCTCTCTTTCTTCCTCTTTATCTTCTTTCTTCTTCTTCTTAACTTTCTTTCTTTCGTTGTTAGCCAATCAAAATTCTCAATTGTGTAAGAAATTATAGCTCACTCATATCTTCTTTTCTTCTCTTCTCCTCCTTCTCTCATTTCTTTTTTCTCCTTGTTTTTTTTTCTTTTCTCTGCATCATCATCATCTCTCTCTCTCTTTCTCTCTCATCATCATCTTTAATCTCATCTCTTCATAATCGTCATATTTTCATCTCCATCTTTCATTTGTCCATCTTCATCCCACTGACTCACTTTGTCTCTCTAGAGAATTGGAAGACATTTTATTCTCTCTCTTTCATTTCATATTCGAATTTTTTTCTTCTCTCTTTTTTGGTGATTTTTTCTTCATTTCTCTCTCTCTCACTCTGTGTTTTTCTTTTCCCTCTCAATCATTTAATTCTATTGTTTCTTCCATCGGTTAATTTTTTCTCTAACTTTTTGTTTTGTTTCTATTTGTTGTTCTTTTCTTCGCATTTCATCATCTATTCCTCATCACCATCCGTCATCTTCTCGTTGTCATCATCATGTCATCAACAAAACTCTACTAACTAATGTCTTCTACTAGTCAATGTTTCAAGTTAATCTCTTAACCTTGTTGATGATTTTTACTCATTAATTGTGATCCATTTTTTCAAGTTACAACTTTTTCTTTCAATTTCTCTTTCACCGTAAATCATTTTTCAAATCCATGATCTCGATTTTTGATTGTTGCTCAGAAGGCGTTTTACTTTTACGTTGAACATTGATTACTAATTATGAGCATTTTTAATCAATCAAACGCTTTCGAGCGATGATCAAAATACGATGTCAATTGGAATAATCAACGAAATGAGAATCAGTAGATTCACATGGAACCAGGAGAAAGAAAATAAGAATGATGAAATAGTAGAATGTGATCACAGGTAAATGTTTATATTCCATTGGAAAGAAGAAGAGAAAAAGAAAAAAGTTTTTTAAGGTAAGTAGAGGGAGAAAGAAGATGGAGAGAGACATCTTCTTATTTCTCTCTCTCTCTCTCTCTTTTTTTCCTTCTTTTCGTCCTATTTTTTTATATTTATTATTTTTCCTCATCTTCGTCTTCGCCTTCGCCTCCATCACCACCACCATTATCATCATCATCTCTACAGATCCACATCTCCATCTTCTCTCTCTCTCTCTCTCTCTACTTTTTCTTTCTTTTCTTTCTCTTCTTCTTGATGTTCATCTCGTTGTTCATCATCTTCTTCATCAACTGTATCTTCATTTTCCTCTTTTTCTAGTCAATATTTTTAGAATCTTTGAAATGCTTTTTTCTTATAACATTTACTTTCTCAAGCCAAACCCGCCTATTAGTGTGTAGTTAGTTAGTTAGTTGTTACTTTCTTTTCTTCATCATCTTCATCTTTATCTTCATCTTCCTCATCTTCGCGTATTTACCGATACCTTTAATATAAAACGAACGGACCTATTAGAGTGAATGACCTACACTCTCAATAAACTATTTTCCTTTTCTTTCATTGTCTGACCTTCTTTTTTTTCTTCTCTCTTCTTCTCTCTTCTCTTCTTTTTCTCTTTCTCTCTCTCTTTCTCATCTTCATCTAGATTCTAATTTCCATCATCATCATCATCATCATCATCATCTTCTTCTTCTTCTTCTTCTACTCTCTCTCTCTCTCTCTCTCTCTCTCTCTCTCTCTCTCTCTCTCTCTCTCTCCTCTCTTTCTCTTCATCTTTGGCCTTTTCTAATATTTAAGATGATCAAGTAACATAAGGTGATTGAGGAGGATTCGTTTTCTATTCATGTAAATGGTACGAGAACCAATCGCTTATTAGATCAACATAATCATTTCCTCCAACAATTAGCCATTCAAATTGTAATTGTCCATTTAAATTGATGTTGTTTTTATCTCAATTATCAACAACAATTAACTTTCTTCATTTTCTCTTTCCCTTCTTATCAAAATGTCAATCCACCAATTCAACTAATCATCATGATTTACTTTTATCATTAAAACTCAATATTTACCAATTATTCAATAAATTTCAAATTTCCACCAATTATTGGGTAACTTTCCTTCATTAATAAACTAATACAACCAATACAAAAATTTAGAGACAACAATCAAAACCAATCGGATTAAAATGAACCTTAAATAAATCAAAGTTATTACAATGAAAAAATCACAACAACAATTATCTTTATCAACTAATGATAAATCATAACCAATTAAAACAATATTTTGCCAGGAAACAATTAATTTACCTTGATAATCAATTCATACAAATAAAATTGTGAATCAAATTGATTTTTAAAACCCACTGATTAGCTAATTGAACAACTACTAATTACAGCCAAAAATAGACATATCTGATTAATTTAATACTAAACAAAGTTGAATACATGAATCGGAGCAAACAATTAATATAACCAAGTAAACAATTAATCAAATGATGAATCGTAACCATTGAAACCAATTGATGAAAGAGATTTAATAATCTCTAGTAAGTTAATGGGAGTTAATCAACTGATACCAAACGGTAAACACTCAAATATATCAAAGACAAATGATGGTAACTAATTAACAAGATTAATCTAATTAGATAATTAAAAAGTAAATTAGAATAGAATCAAATATCGAATCAATATATCAATTGACAGAGAAAGAAATTCGATCAGATGAAAGTGAAAGTGTTCGTTAAGAAGCATTTGTTATTTTCTCTCTTCTCTGTCATTCTTTTCTTGATTGTGATTTAATTTCCACGATAATCAACGATATTGGTCATTCTCTCATGGTGATTCATGAGAATCAGAATGGAATCAAAGAGAGACTGAGCAATCGAGATTCAAGATTTTCGGTTATTTTTACCTCTTCGCCTACAATTTGGTTTCTATGGTTAATATTTGGTTACCATTGCCAATTGAATATTCTCATTTGTTTTCATTCATCTCTGTGAATTTAAATCAACAATAATTCCCCTTTTTTGATTAATTGTGAATATTCAATATCAATCAAACTCTAATCATCTCGATCATCAAATTTATCTTCTGTGTTATATGTTCATTACTTTCTCTTGGTGGGATTGACTTTTCCCTAGTCACATGTGATCCTGAATATTTTTTTCTCTCTCACTTACTCACTCATTCAATGTTTTCAGGAGAATTGAAAATTATTCCTTAAAATGTCAACAATCAGGCAATTCTAACATTTATTGGATTCTTTCACTTTTACACTCATTCTGTTAATTATTCTCATGTATCTTACCAATTGATCGTAACCATTTATCTCTCTGTCTATTTATCGAGATCATTACATCACCTAAATAGTGAAGAGGCTCCTGATGAGCTCGATGCTCCTCTTTATCCTCAATATCTTTCACTTGATTAACGGTAAATTGACTCACTAAGACTGAGAGAGAGAGAGAGACAAACACAAGTTTAATTTGTTGATTATCTTACTTTTATATAATTCCAAATGGATTAAGACGAATCCCATTTACATAGAGTACAAAGAGTCAAGATTGTCAATTGGTTCCCTTTGATGAACATTTAATTGTCACATATAAGGATGATGGTTGTGAGGATTATGATGATGCTGATAACAACAATGGTGCTGATTTCTTGTATCAGCTGAATTGAGAAAGAAAAATTCTGATTATCTTTAAATTCAGTTAGTTAATTGTTTCTCATTTTCATAATGTCTCCATCGAAAGCTAAGATTGAAACTGTTTCCGATATTCTTGGCGGGTGGGGCCTTTGGCATACCAATATTTTCGTGTTCTATTTCAGTTGTTTGATTTTCTCTGTTTTCGATAAATTGTCAATGCCCTTTTTCGCTCCGCCGATTGATTATTGGTGCAGTAAACCGTTAATCTACAAGGTATGTTGTTAATCTCGATCCAGTTTCTTATGTTTACATTTTCGATGGAGAATCTTCCACGAGGCTTCATTCGTACTCCTCCTTATGATTTACTAATTAAAATTTGAATTTCTCTCAATCCATCTTGTTAGAATACTACTGATCTGTGCTCAGCTGATTGTGAAGTTTGGACTTACGATAAATCATTTTGGATAACAACGGTTATTGATAAGGTGGGTGAACTTTTTTCACCAAAGATAATTTCAGTTTAGTTGATATTGAATCACAGGAAGATTTAACTTCTATGATTCATGATTATTATGTGATCTTAGCATAATCATTTATTGTTGATTAACCATACAATGTAATTAGCTAATTAAACCTCCTCCTTCTGCTTTAGAATTGTGTAATTGTTGATTGAATTATGAGATTTCCTGTCTTGTTCATCACTCGATTATTAATTTTTGCTTTTGTTTCCTTAGTGGGATTTGGTTTGTGGCCGCTCTTGGTTGGCCTCATTCGCGCAATCATGTTTCATGGGAGGTGTCATTTTGGGTGCTGTTATATTTGCTCGACTTTCCGATGATTATGGCCGATTAACTGTCCTTCGAATTGCTATGCCATTGGAAATTGTCGCAGCTCTTGGCTTAGCTCTTTCTCCATCCATTCAAATCTTCATCTTCTTCAAATTTATCCAAGGAATTGGCAGTAATGGGCGTGCACTCACCGGTTATCTTCTTCGTACGTTCTTATCTCCATCTCATCATCTTCCTCTCCCTCTTTCTCTCTTTCTCTCAATCATCTCAATTTCACTCATTTGGTGTAAACTTCATCAGAGTATCACCAAAAGAGACATCAATCTATTTCTCATACTAATCATCTCTCTCTCTCTCTCTCTCTCTCTCTCTCTCTCTCTCTCTCTCTCTTAATAGTTCTCGAATGTGTTGGTACCAATGAACGTGGTTTCATATCGGTCGCCGTCGATACTGGTTTCGCATTCGGTTACATAATATTACCTGTTGTTTACTATTTCCTAAGAGATTTTCAGACCTTCTCCTATTTCCATGCATTCCTTGAGTTATTCTGGGTCATATGGTTATTTAAGATTCCTGAATCAATTAGATGGCAATTAACCCACAACCAGATTGATCAAGCTGAAAGTGAAATGATTAGAGCGAGTGAAATGAACAAATCATCAATCACAAATGTTAAAGAAAAATTTGCTTTACTTAAGAAGCACATTGATTTGGTTAGTTCGCAAATTGTGTTGATCTAATTTCGAAAATATATTTTTCTCTTCTCTTTATTTTTTCTCCCTCTGATTTATGAGCTTTTTTTCACCATCTCCATAATAATAACAACAACAATTCTAACTGTTCTCTCTTCTTCTTCTTATTTGTCTTCTTCTTAGCAAACCAAGACACAATTGGAAGAAAAGAAGGCTGGATTTCTCGATCTCTGGCGATCTAAAGTATTACAGCGATTTAGCCTCGTTTTGTACTTTTCGTACTTTGTAAACGCTTTTGTCTACTATGGTCTCTCTTTGAACATCGGTGATCTCAATGGGAACCTTTTTATCAACTTTTTCCTCGCTGGATTGGTTGAGTTTCCCAGTTACATTATCACCTCTTTTGCCTTAAAACATATCGGAAGGAAAACACTTTTAATCTATTTCATGAATGGTTCAGGTTTATCCTGCTTATCGACGGTCTTTTTTCTGTCACCCACCGACACCACAGTTCGAGTCTGTTTGGCAATGATAGGCAAATTCTGTGTCACATCCTCTTTCACTCTTTGCTACGTTTATGCCTCCGAAATTTATCCAACCATCTTACGACAAACCGGACTCGCTTCATGCTCAATTGCCGCAAGATTTGGATGTATAATCGCTCCTTTTGTCAAAGAATTGGTAAGTAATAGAATATGAAAAGAAATAAGTCCAAAAAATATCGATAACAAAAAAAAGAAACTTCGAAGTTGTTTAAATTTCTCACTATCAAAGATTAATCATTTCTCTCTCTCTCTCTCTCTCCCTCGTTGCGATCTAGACTGCGTTCACATCGATTGGTGTTTCTCTGTCAATCTTTGGTAGTCTTTCCATCATCAATGCTGCTCTAGTTGTCTTATTACCCGAAACTCGAGGACTCGAAATGCCGAGTGACATTGCTGAGGCGGAAAAAATTCTAACCCAAAATGTACCCAAAAGACCAGAATCTGGTGATATCCATGTTGCCTGATTGTTAATCCATTTCCATAATCTCATATTCCTCCCTCGCAATTACAATGTATCAATACTTAAAAGGAGCAGCAATCATCTCATCATGATTAACAATTAACCAAAGATAAAGTTTATTAATCCTTTTATGGTGAAATTGCCTCGCAGTGGATCAACAATTTTGAGTGAATCAAATAGTGAACCAGATTAATTGTGAACATGCTCAATGGATCTCGGTAAACAATCAGTGATTTATTACAGTTAACAAAGTTAATCATTGATCATTTTCTGGTTCCTCTTCATTGTAATCTTACAATTAGTAATAGTGGACTTATCTGACTCTCAAAATCAACAATGATCTGATCATTGATTCAATTTTAACCAATTGGAATCAATAATTAACCTCAAACGATTTAATTTATTACCTTTAAAGAAAAAAAAAATATATCAAAGTATTAATTACTATTGTGATTGGTATATAATCAAATGCCTTTTAAATGCAATAATAATCAACTAATTATTATCAACCCTAGTCAATTGGATCACCATAATTGGCACAATTAAATCAATTGTTTCAAAGAATCCTGTTAATTTAACTCAATTGACTTTGAAATCAATGAAAAGTTTCATAAATTGTAATCTTATCGTTTTTTACCCAATAATCAATGTTAACCAAAAGTTAATTTGATTTAAAAAAAATCTATTATTTGATTAATCAATGAAACTATTGAATTGATGTATTGTTTCATTATAAACAATGTCTCCTTTTTGATTGTGAACAATTAACTTACCTGAAACTAAAGTAGCAGTTTCCAAATTGTTATGAGTAAGATAATTGTAACTGATTAATGGTTATTGGCAATTATCATTTAACACACCAAATTAACACCAAGAGTTAATATCAGAAATTAATAATTATGATTAAGTGGAAAAAAATTGTAACCGGAAAACAGTTGATTAACCATAACAATTAGTTGATTAGTTGAAAAAAAAGTAAACAAAACAGTTTCAAGGAAAAAGGGAAAAAGGTAAAAAAGGAAATCAAATGGAAACAAATTGTTACTTAGATTATAATTAATCGCAATTAACAAGAACAATTTAATTTTCTACCTTTTTTCTAAACAAACAATCAGAATCGGTGACAATTAAATGAATTGATAGATTTTTCTTTCCCAATAAAGAATGAAAAATAAATTCTTACAATCAACTAATCAAAGTCGATAGAAATTGAAAATTCAATCAAATTAACATGGAATCAATGATTAATTATAAGACCTGGAATCTAAATCAAATTGCGTTTTCTTTTAACAGGATATCCTATTTAATAATGAATTTGATATTCTAAATATTAATAGATGATTGTTATTGAATTAGTTGATTGTCGAAAACGATCAATGTGAAAAAAAAAGTTAGAAAAGAAAATTGAATCGATCAATCATTTAGGAAACGATTGCGAATCAGCTCATTTGATATTCACAATAATCATCTTCGCATTGACACAAATCCTCGGACTGGACACTGACCTTTGGACAAAAAGATGATAATGATTATAATACAATAGTTGAACGAAAAAGGTTTGGTCAAGATATTGAATAAACACTTGAATGATTTGATTATTGGTCAAAAATCATTCAATCAATGTTGAGAAATGTTATCAATGATATAAAGGTAAACTTTACCTGGACTTTGTTTAACCTTTGGTGTATAACAATAATGTTAATGATAAAGGAATCATTTTTTGCCACTCTTATCATCATCATCGTCATCATCATCAGTCTTAGTGTAGTCACTGTGATCATCTTTAAGGGTATCCTGAGTTACCTTGGACTTTACAATTGTCCTGAAAGGTAAAATAGGTGATGACCACTGATCACTTGGCCTTGACCTTTACAATTATTATTATTGTTGTGAGAGAGAAGAGGAGGAAAGAGAGTGATAGTGAGAGAGTAAAGATAAAAGGTGGACACTTGACCGATTAACTAGAGGACGACATTTGTTTGCAACGGTCAAAGTGATGGAGATTTGGATGACCACGAAAACAAAACTCAGGTAAGAGAGGAAAAGTAAAGGTAAAAAAGATTATCAATATTTAATACATTTTGTTTATAACTTTTTTCTTCTGGTCAATTTTTGTTTAACAAAACATTTCGACTTTTTTTTTGTATTTTCTTATTGTTGTTGATTCTGTGGCTTTCATATGTTTACATTATCAACACAATGTTTGAAAATAAGGAGGGAAAGTGAGGTCAAAGTTTGATAAATTGTAGTTATCATTTGGAAATTGATGAAATTTGGAAAACCAAACAATTACTTTATCTTGTTCCTTGTGGTCATTTTTCAATACGAATTCATTTCATTGATTTTCCACAGGTAAATTGTTGTCCAAGTTTCCATGAAGAAACTTGGACAACATTAATTATAAAGTTCATCTCCTTGGACGAGTTTGAATTGACCGGAAGATTATTGGTCTATTGAATTCGATTGGTTTTCCAATTGTTGACTTTGCTAATTGGTTCCAATACATGATAATTTATGATTGAAATTTGATGATGATCAGTTTAATAAATTAAGTAATGAGTTTAATAAATTAGTAGATGAGTTGATCAAATGATCTTGAAATTGAATCTGATGACAATTGTGTTCCCATTGAGTAAATACAGCCCATTATGAAATTGTACAATGAATCTAATTTTTGTTCATCATGAATCCATTCTGAGGTAGCCGATCGCTTTAATCTACCTCCGCTGGTCGTTGCAGCGGTGACCGGGATGAGAGTGGCCCCATTGCCACCGAAAATACCGTTACCACCTGCGAGAGCCGCTAAAAGAGTGGCAATTGTTGTCAGGAAAAGTAGAGCCAATGGTAAGAGTAGAGCACCGAGTAGCAATGGAAGGCCAACCGCCGCCGCTATTGCAAAAGGTGCAATGTTATTATAATTATTCTTGGAATCATGATGTTGATGATGCTTATAATGACGATGAACTTTGATATGAATTGGATAAGGAACCGGAACAGTTACATGGTGAATATGCTCCTTCTTTGTCTTGGTTACATGATAATGGTGTTTGTGTTCATGGTTGTGCTCGTGCTTGTGCTCATGTTTATCGGGTTTTGGTGGTTCAGGGGGAGGTGGAGGCGGAGGTTGATCATAATTCCCTTTGATATAGTTGTATTTTTCATTGAATAAATCGTTATAGAGTCTATTTCCTTGAACGAACGGGAAACTGAGTTGACCGGAAGATTGATCTTCAAGTAATGAGCCCAATTGATTTTCCAATAGTCCCGAATAAAATTTTTGCGTTTGTAAATTGGTCCCAATCAAATCTTTCCATTGTAACTTATCATTACCTGGAACAACTTGACGAAAAAAACGAATAAGAAAAATAAGAATAAGAATAAAAATCAAAATTATTATATTACGAAATATACTACGATATTAAACTCACCAAGATTCGGATCGAAAAATTCTGGTCCCAATTCACCTAATTGTCCATAATATTTGAATCCATGAAGTCTATTGGGTCTTTGATATTTCACCCACTTCCTCTTAGGTTTTCTCCGCTTCGGTCTTGTATCAATTGGAAATTTAGAAATTAGATCAGGTCGGAGGGGCCGTAGAGGTCTTGGAGGTCGTGGCGGCAGCGGTGGTGGTGGTGGTTTATCATTTTCACTTGAAGGTGTATAAAAACGTTTACCATAAGAGTCATCCAAATGAGCGGCATCTCCATTGGAATCCATGTTAATATGATAAACCCTTTCTCCAAGAGATGGATTTTTATTCCTCTGGATCCAATTTTCTATCATCATTACAATATCATCATGAGTCTCACCAGTTAATCCAGATAAAGATGAACTCACAATTAAGCCAGTAACTTGATTTAATGTTAACAATAAACACAGAACATGATAAATCATATCAGACTCATTGGAAATTACAGAAATCAATTGAATGACCAATGAACTTAACGAAAGATATAAAGTAACTTATCATAGCTTTTTGTTGGCATTTAAATTGTGATGATTAATTCACACGTACATGAAAAAAGTTTAAATTGCAATGAGAAGTTAAATTGTTATCCTTGTTTTCCGTATCAAGGAATCAACAACAATCTCATTTAGTTGGGTGAACTTTTTAACGGAAGAGATTCAATTCCGATTGTCAACCGATTTTTATTTTGGTGAAATTCAAACAAATGACCAATCACAATGGAAGATAAATTAACTACCATGACAATTAACATTCGTACTATTATTCAATTGAAATTAGTTGATTCTTTTCTTGGTAATTTAAGCGATGAAAAGTGATCATGAAAACGATGAACAAAGTAAAATGTCATCATCATGTAACTATGAATGGAAAAATGATCGCAACCGAATTGTGAACAATTAAACAATAAGTTTAAACGAAAAACCAAACAATTTGTTTCAATTTATTAAGAATTCGGTTCGATTACAATTAGAACTACTTATCTTTTAACTAATATGTTACTTTAGATGATGATTTTGATGATATAATTATTTGGGAATGATTAAGATCTTGGAATGATTGATGAAGAAAATAATAATAATAATAATTTACAACTAAACTTGTTGACAATTTGTTTGATTGTGACAATTAATCATGGGAATAGATTTGAAATATTACAAATACATGGAAAATAATTATAAATAGTTAATTTAAAAAATGTTAATCATCGTAATTTATCAGTTAGAATTGATTTTTCTCTCTCTCTCTCATCAAAATCAGAGACATTGATTATCTTGCTAATTTACATTGATTGTCTTCTCGATTCTCGATTTCCGATCGACAATTGGATAACAATCAATTGCTATCATTATTTAACCCTCGTTTTATTCATATTACTCAGCATTAAGCTTATATAAGATGTTAATAGATCGTCCATTTTATATCCTAAGGGTGTTTCACAAAGTAATTTACTTCCTCTGACAAGATTACCGATGGTCATATGGAAATAGGTGTTTCCGCTTGACCAGTTGGAGATACGGGTAAATGCATGGGTCACTAGGATATCTTTGGAAACTGGATCAATTAAGCTAACACCGTGTTTGTTTATTGCGATTAGTAAATGTTCAGGATAATTTGTGTCTCCGTTTTGTTTAACCTCGAAAAACGCTGAACCAAAGGTTGGCCATTTGTAGACATATTTCAAGAAAGCGATCTTAGCATTCTCAGAATTCATTCCGGCATCTTGATTATAATATTGAATAATTTGCTAGAAAGAGAGAAAGAGACAAAAACAACAATTAGTCAACTATTATTATCCGAAAAGCAAATATGAATAAAAAACCATAATCGTAATAGTTTCTTATAAATGATTAAATCGTATTGTAAACAAACAAGATTGATTGATTCAGATTAAAGATCTGAACAAATGCTCAGGTAATTCATTTAATTACTCTCATCACAAAATGTTATCATCCACACCCTAATAAATCAATTATTAAGGATATTTAATAGTTTGTATCAAACTGATTAACAATGCATCAATAAGCTCATCAAATTGTAAAACTGATCAGTTTTTAAGGTTCAAATAATAACGATAACAATTAATAAGCAAATAAATTGTAACATGAACCAGACAGGGATGAAGATGAAGGTAATGATGATGATTAGTGAAAGATGAGCAGAGGTAAAACATATAATTCATCTTTCGGTTAACTGATTGAATATCCTGGTAACAATTTAAAAAAAGAAAACAAAATTCATGGTTCATCTTAATTTACAATTAGCTTAATCATGATGTGAGTTGAGTTTGTAAAGAGCAGACAATTAAAATCCTTACATCACTCAATTAAATTAATCATTAATAATATTATTATTGTTACTAACAAATATTAAACAGTAATGATTATTGGTTAAGTTGATTAACCTTTACTTATATCAATCAAAATTGATTGTATTGTAGAAATGATAAAAACTCAAAACTCAACTAATTAAGTTGGCGATTTGGACTTGTTTGATTATTAACATTATTATTGATTGTTTTCCGTTGGTAAAAAACAAAATCAAATCAAGGTAAAGTGGTGATTATCAAAGGTAATATTTTTAGCAATTAAAGTTAATTGCTCAACATTGTTAATGTTTATGAATCAATGTTTGCTTATCATTGTAATAATAATTATTGTTGAGGATGTAATTAAACTGTAAATATTAATAAATTGTACAATTTCAATGTTAACTATTAATAAATAACAATCAACATTGAAAATTGATAAATTGCTCAACTAAATCAATTAATTTAGCAATTAACGTTTCTCTAGTGATTACAAGTGATCAATTATCCTAATGTGAAAACCAGGTTAATTATATTAATTATTTGTTATTAAATTTACAAAATTTGAGCAAAAACTAATTAACATTAACAAAATTAAATATACATCATCATAGATTGTAACTAATTGTTTGGTTAATCAACAAACACTGGCATATTTAAATCAATTGATTATAATTGGTAAAATTTACAATGATAATAATTATAATGTTTACTTTGACAATTGATAACTTTCAAGTTTAGTTAAGGCTAATATTAAATTGCTATCAACAAAATCAATCTTAATCAAAAAGTGATCAATAGTAGTTGTAAAATAGTTTGGTAACAATTAAGGTGCCAATCCTATTAAAATTATGCAGTAAAACCATTAATTTAGCTGAAACTGTGATAATCAAAACGATGGTTTGACCCAAATCAGATTTAATAACAATGATTAAAGTGATGATCTTGATTGTGGCGATGATAATTGGTAAAAGTCAAACGAAATGATCACCTCAACAATCAAAAAAAACAATCTTGTTATTCAACAATCAGATTAACTTGACTATTGATTATACAATCAAATGGCAAATTGTAACCATTGATTTTTACCTTTTTCCATTCACTTGGTGGTTGAATTTTGACTAAATCAGCGGGAATCAATTCGTGTAACATGTTGGGTAATGATTGAGTTCATTTTTACTTTCGCCGAATCTGACTCGATAAATATTGGCTGCCAATCGGACAGCATCGTCCTTTGAACATTTATGATAACCACGAAGTAATTTGGGTAATTCTTGATGATAATGGAAAATAATATCGGCATTTACATCTTTCCCTGGAACTGTATTGGTCCATAATTTTTTCATGAAGAAAACTTGATAAGTGAATTGAGGAATAGAACCTAAAATAATTAAGAGAAATAGATAGTTATTAGAATAAAGAAAATTAATTCTTAAAATGATTAATCATTTTGTTCATAATCGTTTCACCTAACGAGTGAGATAAATTATGATCGTCGTGTCACCAAACCATGTAAAGGGGGAAAATATAACAATATTAACAATTACTAAATTCTCAGGTAAAATCTTTCAACCAGAAAGATAAATACATTTTCATGGTTAATCCCTTTTAAGGTTGAACATAACAATCAATGGAAAAATAATCAATCAACTTGTCGATAATGTTGATTAGTATCAACACTCCCGAAAAAAAGAAAACATTATCTCAGGTTGATGATAATGATTCTTTCAAAGGGTGTTAATAGGTAGAAACGCTTGTGAATATATAATTAACATGATGATTACCGTCTCGAGATGGTCTTGCTTTCCTAATCCAATCGGTTAAATGTCTAACAAAATCAAAAAAGAAATCGCCTTCGGGAACACTTATCACTTTATCGGCGATTTTAACAAATAAACTAAATCCTTCAGCTGATCTGAGATTCAATCTTTGAGCAATATCCAGACAGAAATCCTTGGCCCGTGTACTGGAATCAACTTCAAAAGCCTTGAGAAGAAAATAATAACAATAATAATAGATTAGAAAGAGAGTTTCAATAATGATGATTAAATAATAGAGACATTGAAATTATTGAAAGGAGGATCAGAAAGAAAATACATGAAAAGGAAAAATCTAATGTAAAGATCAGATTGTCGGTGACATTCTGGTAAAAAAAACGTCGTTCGCTTGATGGTGATAATCATTCGTCAACGTGTTTATGTTTACCTCATCCGTATCATCAGGAAAATAGACTTTATGAAATATCTGAGTAGTCTTATGTTGAATGGCCTCGACTTCAACAAGGTGGGGTGGATACTTTCGTTGACCATTTCGTAAAGTTTTGTGTAGCCTTTGAAGGCAATCGATGGCAATGGGATGACGTCGGGTACGGAGGAAGATCATCAATTCTTTAAGTAAAATTTGACTTGGAGCAAAAAGTCCCGTTGCAAGCCACATAAGTTCCCAACCTCTTTCCTCACTTAACCTACACACACAAGAAGAAGAGTATGAAAATAAGGTAGAAGAAAATAAATAAATACAAATTAGAATGAATAACAATTAACGAAAGAGAAGTTGTTTTTTTCTCTTCTTCTTCTTCTTCTCAATTTCGGTTGAGCAGTTTCAACTTCTCTCATGATTCAGGTAGGAAAATAGAAGATGATGAAGAAAAGAAGTAAAAAAAAACAACTTAACCAGAGTAAAGAGCAAGTAGAAAAAACAACAATCGTAATAAATAGTAACAAACCTGTTCTTGTTATCTGTTAGTTGTTTCATAATTTGGCAATAAATTTCATCTCTAAGTATATCCTGTAATTCAGTTGAAAGTTCATTGGATGCAAATGAGAAAGAAAAATAAGAAAAATAAACATTAGACCATTTTGAGAAGAGAAATCAATTGTTTGTAGGAAATAATTGGATAGTTGAGAGATGAAGAGCAATTAGTTTAGAGGGAGGATGAGAGTAGATACAAATTGGAATGAAATTTGCATACAAATTTAAGTGGACCCTCAAAAATTTGATCGGTCAGATCATTTCCACTTCGAGTTCGTCGAGAGGGAAGATCACCCATATACTTGAGAATCGCATTGAATGCAAAACAAGCTTCCTGATTAAATTCCTCCTTATTAAGTAGCTTTTTGAGAAGAGGTTGTTTAATTGGTTCCCTTGAGTGACGCCAAAGTTGATCATTATTACGACGACGAGCCGATGAGAAGGTTAATGTTCGAGGTAAGGTGTGTTTGGGTGGTGCTCTAAAGTGATCTAGAGCATACTCTTCAAGAGTATGAGGCTTCTCATTATTATCAAAACCATTCATGTGTCCACCATAAGGTAGACCATTACGTCCACTTGATGAATTGTCTCCGAAATTAATGTCCTCCGTGAAAAGGGCTAATATATTATTCGGTGGTTTGGTTGTGGTCGGTAAAACGTAAATATACTCGGTTGGTACATCCCCTCGCTCTCCGCTTTTTTCAAGTTTACAAACAGCCCAACCGCTTTTCATTACATGTTCACCGGTATAACCTTCATCAAGGATCAACAGGTCACCCTGATTAAAGGCAAGGGTTGTTTGACCTTCCCCTTTGTAATCTTGAATGGCGATGACAAATTTAGACTGTTTCTTTAGTCCATCCAGGAAGAAATTGACCAAATCACAAATATCCGCTGAATTGGGCGATTGGAAGACAAACTCTTCCCGTCGTATTGTTGTTATACTGAAATTTTGCATAAATGGTCTGGCACTTTTTTCACTTTGAGCTGATGTTGTTTCAGGGAAGGACAATTCAAGGAGAACTTGCTCTTGGTCATCAACGAAATAAATTCCTGTCCAGTTGATGGCTACGATAACATCGTTTTTGGGTAAATTGGGACCAGAGACACGAAGAGCTTCATAGAAACGGGAAAATAGGAGAGGCCATTTAAATTTGGCATATTCGACAACATCTTCCTTAACCTTGAGCGGGGAAACCCTTTCACGATAATAGTAACTCTAAATGTAGAAAGAGAAAAAAATTAATTCATATTAATAAATTGTGACCATTAACAATTTAACCATAATCTTGAGGTTCTCAACATGATAATAAATGATGATGATGATGATGAGATGAGTAATGAATTTATGTAAATTTAAATTAAATTACTCATCATAAATTAAGTTAACATTGAGCTAAATTTATAATCACATGAATTAATCCTCAATTGTAAAATGGAAAAATTTACAAATCTAAAGATAAACAATCAGCATGAATTGATGAACTGAATAAATTGTAATTGTAACAATCAAAGATTGGATATGAAAGAAATCGTGAAATTATCATCTCATGTTTGAGATCATTTTGATTTGTGTTGATGTAAAAATGATCAGAAAAAAAATACAAGTTATTTTATCTGATGATGTTTCCAATTACTCTAGTATTATAATTGTGAGAAGTGAGATTGGTAATTGATTGACTGATTATCTTGATTGTGGTCGTGTAAATAATGTTAACTTTAAATAGGATGACAATTTAGCCGATTATCATACATCTTAAGTGAGAAAATTGAATCAAGTTACTTTTCTCTCAATGTTATATCATATTCATCATTGGTGATAACACAATTGTCATTGTTGATTAATCACCATTATGCAACAATATGAGAGTGGGATGATGATTATGATGAGATGATGATGATAATCATGATTGTGAAATGTTACAATTTACAAGATAAACCAGTTTTTTTTTCATCTTTTCTTCATCTTTGATTGACCTTTTCTTGAGTATTTGACTTATTTTATTTTGATACAATTGAGTTAAGGGATAAAATGAGCCTTAATTGTGAGTAGGATAGTTTGCTAAACAATTTGTTCAAACAATTAGGATATTTACCTTTTTATAAGCACTAGCTATCAAATTAGCCCATCGTTCAATGTTTTTCTCATTTGTTTGGAAACAATGATCAGGAATATAATTGGGTAGTGAAGTGATTAACTTATCGGGAACTAATTCATCGCCGAAATCAATATAATACTGTTGAGCTGCGATCATTGCAAGATCTTCCTCCTTGTCACATCGATATTCACCAAATTTAACACCTCGAACAACTTGTTGGAAGATCAAATTAGTTGCCACCGTGTCCTCGGTTGGATCATGCCAGGGGGCGAAAATTTCTTTACGGAAAAATAGTCTCCATGGAGCGTTTCGTTCTTGAGCTCCTTGTTCTTTGGCATATTGTTCACATTGAGAGATCGCATCCATAACATGTTCACCGGCACTTCCGAGGGAGGAAACTTTGTCAAAAAGGGCAATGTAAAGAGAGAAACCAAATTGATCTTTAAGGTTAATCTTTTCCGACAATTGGGCGCAAAGTTCACGCGCTGTTGTTGCTGAATCAGCGAGAAGTGTCTTGGTGTTACCATCCATGAAAGTGATTGGCAGCATGAGAGGTTTTTTTGACTTAGTTGCTTGCAATTCTAACCATGATGGTGGTTGACCTCGAGTTCCGTTGGCAAAGGTACGACGAAGTCGATCTTCACAATAAGGTGCGTATCCGGGTGGACCTTCTCGAATAAAATTGAGCAAATATTTTACAAATTTCGAGGAGGGAGCAAAACAACCGACACACAAGCTTAACAAGATCCAACCTCGAGCATGTGAACTCTTATTTGGATTAGCGGTCAATTGTTTACAAATTTGACAATAAATTTCGTCTCTAAGTTCATCTCTTAAAATTCCGTGACCAATGATAAAGTGAAGTTTCTCCAGGTTGGATGTTGGTCGAGATTCAAGCCAACTTGAATAAGTATCCGCGGCAATATCATCTTCTTGAAGGCGTTTTCGCACATCTTCACTGAGTTTATTTTTCTTTTTCAATGTAAGTGAAACTAATTTATTTCTAATACTTCGTTTAGCGGGTCGAGCGGGTTCACTGTTTTCCATTTCTAAGCCCATTGCTTGAGCTTCTTGAAACTCTTTTGATTTGATAAAATTACGACCCAAAGTAGCCGATACTTTGGTCATTACAGAGGTATTATCACGAGCCATGGTATGAAATTTGGGCTCGGCAAGATCTCCCATGAATCGTAAAATGGTTATCCAAAGTGCGACTGCAGCCATACAATCACCTTGGGTGGGTAAAGGGAGTAACGGTTGTTTAATTGGTTTCCTTTGGTATGAATAAGCTGCATTTCCTTGGAAATAGGTTGTGGCAAACTTTTGGAACTTATATTCGGACAGATCTTCATGATCCTCTTCATGTGGAACCGGTATAATGTTTTCCGGTTCACCATCGGATACTTGTTCACCTGATCGGTGTTTCTGTTCAAGGTCTTTGAATGCACTTGGTATCATGTTTGTTTCACTTGAGGTTTCGGTTCTTGGAAGAAAGTCAAACATGGCATCAACTAACTTGGAATCATCCAGAGCTTCATCTTGCCGATGAACTGCATCAGTGATCACTGCTTTTTTCTCCTCGATGATCTTTTTACCAATAATCTCTTCTTCTTGTTGAGCAATTTCAAGTTTTTTAAGCCGTTGCAAATAATTGGCCTCAGCGATTTCCTTTGCTTTCTGTGGATTCATTTGTTTACGGTAATGAGCCTCCTCTTGTAACCTTAATTCAAGAGCTTCCATTTTCTGGCGAAATTCAATCTTCAATTTACCATAACGTTTCCTGGCAATTGCACCACGAATAAAGGCTTGAATTTTAATTGTTGCCCAAAACTTTTTGTTAAACTCTCGACGAGCCAAGTATCCCCGACATCGAGATTGTAACGAAACAATATGTCCACGAAGATGTTTAAAACGATGGGTTAAAATACGAGATCGAATCAGTGCTTGTAATCGTTGGTAACCTGTTCTCATTGCTTGATAACGTTTACGTTGAATATAACTACGCCAGAAACGTTGGATAATAATGGTTGAGTTTTTTGTGCGAAGAAACTTTTTCCGATAAAACCAGGCCTTAAAAACTTGATTGACGGTCATCATTTTCTTAGTTAACACTCGATCTCTTTCCTGTTCCAAAAATAAGTCATGTGCATCTTTGAGAAACACTTTAGTTTTGCCCAATTGATAGTCCGCTTTATTACCAAACACTTGGGAACAAATGTGGGACACAACGGGCTTACAATCGGAAAGTTTGTGGGCAAGTTCAATTCCATTAACAAGAAATTGGTATCTTTTCACGAACTCAAGGAATGTATGTCGAATTGGATAACCTGCTCGGCGAATACGAATGGTCTCCATCATTCCAGAATATCGAAGTTGCTTACAGCATAATTCTCGGTCAAACATCATCGGTCTTTTATATTCGTTGGGTTTAATACATCGTATGAAAAATGGATGACATTGACTTAATTGTCTCATCAGTGAGTCAAGTGATCGTTTAAATTGAGCACTTAAAGTTGGAGTTTTCTTCCTTGTATCGGTTCCCATTCCAATATCTTGAATGAACAAAGACTGAAGGAACTTATTCTTGCTCACTTGGATTAAATGAATTAAATCAGCGCTAAATGTATCTCGATTTTTCTCCAAAAATCCTCGGGTGTCATAGAAAACAACTCCAGCAAAATGATTAATTCCAAACGATTGATTAACATATGATTTAGGTTGAAGATAATTATTGTTACCACCATGAGTTTGGTGTAACTTATTCAACAAAGTTTTATCAGTTCCTTTGGGAAATTTGGATTCCTCATCAACCAGAGCCATGATGTTTAAAGGTTTAACAGCAATTAAATCGAGAGCTTCTTGATTGTCAACAAATTCAATGTGACGCCAATTAATACTCTCATGATTATATTCTTCCTGTTCCAATTTGAATATATGTTTAACGAAAAATTGTTGCAAATTTTCATTTGCATAGTTAATACAAAATTGTTCAAAACTATTGACGTTAAAATTTTCAAATCCAAATATATCAAGAACACCGATTGAGGTTCGATAATGATTTGAACTTGATTTAGGTTTGTAAATTGTTGAATTAATCTTGTTGACAATCCAGACAAACATGCGACCATAAATCCCTTTGACAAAAGCATCTCGAACATCAACCGATTGACTTGAGGACATTTTAGAGACAACGGTATCTCCGTGAGCGAAAATGGTTCTAGTGGTCAGTGCGTCCATTAAATGTTGATGATTAACCTCCAGTAATTTAGCTGCACTTCCAGCACTTCCAGCATTGGTTATCTCGGTGGCATCTAAGTTATTGACAATTGTAGCTATTGGAAAGAGTTAATAATAATAATAAATTAGAAAAAGATTATCAGATTAGTTTGATTAAGACGTTAAGAAATCAACCTTTTCTTGTAATCTCATTTGCCCAATCTATTAATTTAAAACTAATAATACTTTGAGACGAGTAACTCAAATCATATATCAGATAATTGATATAATTATTTTTCCTTCTAATTAATTATCAAACTATTGAAGGTAATTCAAAGTTCATCAGTCAGCAATTTTCTAGACTGTTGATAGATAAGGGAAAACATTCAGGTGAAGCCATTTAATTTGTTAAAGTTTAATCTGTAACAATTTAGCTTTGGAGGATGACAAAGGTAATAATTAGCTAAACATGAAGATGATGATAAAATATATATGAGAAAAATAAGGTTTCATGGTGAGAGATGTTAAGAGGGAGCGAAAGTATCATGAGGGCTGAGAGGAAGATTAAACTGTTCATGAGGTTAATGAAGATAAATCAGGAAAAAGAGATTGAAATAAGTATGAAAGATTAACTATCAACAGGTTAACAATTTAAACTTACAGAGTGTATTATTCATAGAGTGCAGAAAGATTTATAAGTTTACAACAATTATCATCATATTTGTGAGATATATTTAATTGTTATGATATTTATAGAGAAAATATATTAAATCAAATGTTAAATAGCCATTAAGATGAAGGTAAAAAAGGTAAAATGTCAACCATAACAATAATTTATTAATAGTAAAGTTATTGTTATAATGATGATGATTCGTATTAAATCAATGTACTTGTGTTACAGGGTTAAAGTTAACAGTTAATGATAAATTGTTGCTTGATTGACAAGAACAATCTCTCTCTCTCTCTCTCTCTCTCTCTCTCTCTCTCTCTCTCTCTATTTTCCTTCTTTACTCACTAATTTAATATGAATTAAGATGAGGAATGATGATGATGAATGAGAACGAGTTTTCATCTTCTCATATTAACTATGAAATGGGTTTACCCTGATTCAATTTTATGTATACTGATGATATGATTTAAAAGATTCATGTTTAATTGTATTGAGCTTTTAAAGCTCAGATCAATGAATCGTCATATATAATTGTTGTAACTAAACTTACAATTAATGAAAGGTTAAGTTTGGCCTAGAAAAAGCTGAATCATTGTGAATTGTTGTTACTTAATTTTATGATGATAAAAAATGATTGTTGTTGGTGGTGATGATGATGATGATTATGATTATGATCAATATTGACTGACCAACAATTAACTGGTTACTTGAATAGTTACTCTTGCTATTGGCCTAAGGTTTCAAGTTTCATTTCTTAATCAAATCAACAAAAGCTTATACACTTTCATTGAGATAATAATGAAGATTTTTTCGTTGTTGATTGGAATGACTTTTTTTTCCTCTTTCTGATGATTAAGATGATGGTGTTGTTGATGATGAGCATCAACAGAAAGAAAAACTTGTTCCTTGAATAGTTAAGATTTTCTGATTGAGATAATACCGAAAACCAGAGTTTGTTAACCAGTTTTCTAAGTTACAAGAATCAAAGACCTACCACATGATGGAAAACATTATCAGTGGAAAGGTAAGAAAGAATAATAAAGAAAAAGGATACAATGAGTGCTACGTTTTTCTCTGATTTGTTGACGTTGTTACCTGGAGAAAACAAGTAACTTCCGGAGGTATGAAAAGAGAGAGAATAAATTGTAACAATTCAATTCGAAACAATGATTAAAGATGATGATAGAAAAATAATAGAATATATAAAAAACCTTCAAAGGGAGAAAGGGAGATGTAATTATCATGGTGGGTGAGATCAAGCTAGTGTGTTAAATTGACAAGAAAACTTTATTAGGACAATTTCTTTTCACTCTCTCTTAATCATTGAATTTTGGGTGAAAAAATCTTCCTCATGAAATAACAACAAATAAAACTACATTAGTTAACTAACAACGTTATAGTTATTCAATTTCTTGTTGGGTTTGCTTTTTTAGCAGTTTAAATTTCAGTTCAGAAAAAAAGGTTTACTGCATGAATTGTTTCAACAGGAGCAACAAGGAGAGGAGGGATGATGATGATGATGATAAGAAGAAGATGAATCGAGAGAGATACGTTTAAAGTAACCTTCAATTGCTTTACCTGAGAAATGCTGTTGAGCATAAAGATTGACTTGAAATCAGAAAAATGGTAAGAAAAACACTCGGTTTTGTGGCTTTCGACACACTATGAACAGGTAAATATCGCCGCATAAATAAGCATAGGGTTATGAGGTGGGTTGATCTGGTTAACCAGAGAGAGAGAGAGAGAGAGAGAGAGAGAGACTACATGGAAAGGTAAGAGATGAAATTAACACCGATGTTTGAAATCTAAACATCATAACCATTTCCTATCTTGATAACAAAATCATAAGGATAAGTTGAGATGATTTAGATTGAATTGATCCTTTCGATAACTGGATATTTATCAACTGTCATGATGTTCAATTTTACCTTTCATTAAATTAATTTTGAGTAGCTTGAATTTTTTCTTACACAATCAATTTGTTATCATCATCATCTTAAGGGCAGTCTAAGAGATTTGGTATATTTCGTCGTTGTTATTGTTATGTTAGTGATGATGATCCAATAGAGCATGAAATGTTTAAGCATGATGATGATGATCATCATCATCATGGTGATGTAGGATAGTTGATATACACTTAACTTGTTCAGATAAACACTGAACTTGAATCTAAACCTAAACCAGTTTCAAATTGGCGCTAATCTAGATGGAAACATCAATGAATTGACATTTCTGCCCTTTTCTTGCATCTTCATCGTATCTTTTTTTTATCATCCAAATTTCTCTTCTTTTTGTTTCTTCAACTCAATTCCAATCATCATCTTACCCTCAAGGCTCTAGATACCTGTTGATAAATAATATCCCGATTTTCAATAAGCTATTTTCTGTCAAGCGTTTCCGTTGGAAAGTTGTTGTTATCATGATGTTAGCGAGAAAAAAAAACTAATCAATGAAATGATTGAGAAGACACTAATTCAATGAACAACTTTGAGAATATTTTGAGAGAAATGATCAGAGTAATATCTTTAATAGTGGATGATGATGATCGTGATAATGAAAGATGTCAAACAATTACCTTTCTTATTTGAGTAAGTTTAGGTGCAAGTGATTAAGACAATTAACAACAATCAGAATACTATCATCAGTCATGATTGAATGAGGATAATAACATTTAATGAAACGCTAACTTCTCATAGAGTGAGAGCTGATTTATAATTGGGAAAAAAAATTAATAGAAAATATCAAATTAGTGAATCAATCAATTACCTAACTACCCAAGTTCTGATTAATTATTACTGATAGTTAATTTATTAAATAAATGAGATTATCAATAACTTTGTTAATCATATTTAAATTCATCTTTTTTCAATCAACTCCAATCAAAGTAATGAAATTTTCTTGAATTGATGAATTTTAAACTTGCTTTGATTGGTATTAAAGGTTAAATGTATCACGATGAGCTTAATGATGATAAAAGTGATGTGGTCAGTTTTATCTCATGTATTTAAGTGGTCATACACAATAATAATACAATAGGATGGTCAACTGTTAATAGACACGTTCAAGGTTTTGAGGACAAGCGGAAGAGCTGATAGTTTATAAGTGATGAATGAAAATAACTGAATTCAATTAAATGTTTCAATATAACGGTCAACCTTTTCTCGTCTCTCATTTATCATCCCTTTTTTTGTCACATGAAACTTGACATCATCATTATCATCATGGTTGTTATTCACACACATACACACACAGATGAAAAGTACAAATGAGTGAGAGAGAGAGAGAGTCAAATCGAGGAGGAAGGCCGTTAAATGGTAAACAAGACACACATACAATATGATGATAAATTAATTGTGAAGATGATTAGCTAACTGTTACTAAATTGAGTGTGAGATTAAGTGGCCTGTTTATGTTGAGAGAGAGAGAGAGAGAGAGAGAGAGAGAGAGAGAGAGAGATGGAAGCTAATCGTGAGTGTGTGAGGCAACTCACTCTAAACAATTAACAGTTAATCCCTGAACAGACACAAACAAAAACTAAATGATAAAGAAAACTGAAAATGGGAGAGTGAGTTAGTTGAAATTAAAGTTACCATCATTCATTTAGCATCATCATCATTTAGATGAAGTGAATGAGCAAGTGAATTGAAGATGATGGAGAAAAAAACTAAAGTTGTAAATAGTTATAAAAGCAAATTGAAAGGCTGAAAATTGATTGAGAATTTAATTTTGATGGACTGGTTGGTTAATCGTGATTTCAAATTGTTACTCCAATTAGAGGTTGATTTTTCATTCTATTATTAATAAGATGAAGATGAGAATATTATCAGTAGAACAAATTAAGATGGTAACTCAAAACAATTAGATAGAAAGTTGAGAGATGAAGAGAGAAAATTAATAAATGGAAATGAGAGGGAAAAAAAGAAGATGAAACGGAAAAGAGAAGAAAATTTTATAACTGATTTAATCTGAAAAGTTCTTGATTACTTTGACACTGATTCGATAACTGAATATCCAACACCTTTAAGTGATCACAATACACCTGATTAACCGAAAATCTCACCCCCACATGCATAAATATATTAATTGTAGTAACAAGTTGATGATCTCATTTGGAATATAATCATCAACAACATCATCATCTTTCTCTTCATGATTAATAATCACTCTCTCCCTCCAATTGTATAATTATTAACATGTATATTAACTATTTGCGTGCTCACCTTTATACTTGATATTTCCAATATGTAAAAGAGCGGCCAAAATTTTGAGAACTTCCCAAAAATCTTGTTCGGTAAAGTTGAGAATCTTCAATGCTGACCTTATATCGGCAAATTCAGCTGCATCATCTCTCCCTTCACAAGTGATACAACCTCCTTGAGTGAGATAGAAAAATTTAGATGCATCGGACAATTCGAGACGAATTTTATCCTCTTTTGACATTCCGGCCAACATACAATAGAATATATGATAATTTCGTTCATCCTGAGCTTGTAGCACAATCCGTGACTTTTCAAGTAAATATTGATCAATTTTGGCTCCCTCAATGAATCCTGGTTTGTTGAAATCAATTTCAATGTATTTACCAAACCGCGATGAGTTGTCGTTACGGACTGTCTTGGCATTGCCGAAAGCTGAAAAAAAAAGATGATCATGATGAAAGGGAAAAAAAAAGATTATCAATTTTAGGGCTAGACAATCAATATCAGTAATTGAAAGAATAATAATAATAAAAAACTATCTAAGAAGCTTCCACGCGGAAAAAAAGGAATAAGAAATTCTGGTTATCATCCATTAGTCTTTCTCCTCTTTCTTTATCATATTTACTCTATCGCGTACGATACGGTTGTCAAGTCAGGTAAATATAATAATAATGCACATACACAACTACTACTATCCACATATTGTAGTAATTACAAACATCTCATTCTAGAAATTATTTCTTCCCTTTTTTTTGTTGAACATCATCATCATTCTGGACTTTTATGGGTGCAATCCTTTAGTTATATCTGCTTCTTTCCCTCTCTAAACACAGTGAGAACTGATTTTATCTTAATTAGACTAAAAGATTATATGAGAATGAGATGTTATTCTGGTTTTTTCTTCTTCTTCTGTTTCCTGATCGTCCTTATGTAGATGTGGTAAACTTTACATGTATGAGTACTTCTGATGGAAAGATGTGTGTAGGTGTGTCCGAGTTTTTTTTTTGTCTTTTTTTCTCTTTACCTTGTTGTGTGAATATGATTCTCTAATTTTCGTTTAGTTGTAAACTGCTAATTGTTTTTTCTTATGTGTTGATTGAAAATTTGCTTCTTTTTATGTATATACAAACAATTTACCTTCCAAGATTGGGTTTGCTTCTAGAATTTGTCTCTCGATCCATGAATGTTGCCTACTAATTGCAGCAAAATATTGTAAGATCAATTTTGTACTCTCTGTCTTTCCAGCTCCACTTTCACCACTAATGATGATACACTGATCTTGCTGGTATCTTCTCATATTATTGTAAGCATTGTCTCCAATGGCAAATATATGTGGCTCTAATTCACCAATCTTCCTGTCCCTGTATAACTGAATTTGTTCAGCTGTGTAAATGGGAAGTATTTGATATGGATTTACAGCGACCAAAATTGAACCGGTGTATGTCTATGATATCGAAGAATAAGAAGAAAAAAAAGAAAAGTTAAATTTCTGTTTTCAAAGAGAGAAAATTATTAATTAACGATAACGAAATTTAGTTACTACTTACATAAATGAGATTCTCATTGTATCGGATGAGAAGATTACGTAGTATTCCAGCCTCATGAAGGTCCCCGAGGGAAATCATATCCACAACCCCTTTAATTGATGATGGATGCATTGCTTTTATTCGTCGTTCCGGTGTAAGCCATTGCTCCTGAATGAAATAAAAGCGAAACAAAAGATTGGGTTGAAAAAGAAAAAGTAGAAAATGTTGATGATGGTGATGCAAAGTGAAGATAAAAAAAGGGCAACTTCCTTTCGACTCTTACCAACTCCTACTTTTTTTCCTTTCGTTCTCTCTCTCTCTCTCTCTCTTATTCTCTTTCTTCCCTTACCTTGTACCTGTCTTCAACCAACATCAACCTAATTCAAATGGAAAACACTGTCAACGGCCAGCCCATGAGAAAAGCTTCTATAAACAGACAACTTCTCCACCCTGTATTTAGCGGCAGAGACTCATTTATGCAAACTCAACAATAACACAGATGCCTTTTCCCTTGGAAAAGTATCATCACCTCTATTACCTTTTTTCTCTCACATAATATTATTGTTTCTTTTTTTTCTGTCCCTCATTTTCTTTTAGACCAATTCATGGATGAAATCAAGTAAAAAGTAAACGTTCCTCCATGAAATTAGTTAGGTAAAGAGAATCGATAGGAAATTAGTCACCAAAATTTTCAAACTAAAGGAAATAACAACTTACCTTTTTGTCATCATCTTCTACTTTGATTCTTCTTCCTTCTGAAGCAATAACCCGAGCTCCAATGGCAACATCGAATTCTTTTTTAGATTGAGGCTCAATCCAAATATAATCACCCTAAAGATAAGTAATTAAAATTAATTAATATATAAAATAAAAGAACAAAAGAAAAAACAAGTAGAAAAAAGACTTTGTTTTAATAGAGAAGAGAAAAGAACAAACTTACCTTTGTTACGATGACCATTTTCAAGCTGATTTGATTATTTCTTTTCTCTGTCTCTTGTTTACTTTCAATACAAAAATGTTGTTAAATTAATTTTAAGATAATAAATAATCCATTGGAAATGGAATTAACAATAAATCCATACGGGGGAAAAAAAAGAAACACACAAAACCAAAAAGACACCACAGAAAATTAATCCACAAAAAGGCTTAATGATGAAACGATAGAAAACCAAAAGGAATCAAGATATAAAAACTAAAACACAACCAAAGAAAAAATTTCACACAAACTTAGACACAATCATCACAAGGAGAAAAAAGAATAATTCTCAAAATCAAATCAATTGATTAAACAGAATAAAAGTAGAAAATATTTTCAGAGGAAAAGAAACAAATAAACAAAAAAAAAACTTGGTGACGGAAAAATAAGTGAATCAGTTTAAGTTTGATGAAAGAATAAAATGAAAAAAAAAGAGAAAAGAAACAAAAATGATTATCTTTCCGAAATTCGAATAAGTGGCTCCATCTGTTGACGAAAAAACCAACTAATCGGACGAATGCGAAAACAACAAAACCGCCAAAAAATTTTCGAAAGGAGGGAAACCTAAAAGGGGAAAAAAAAGGAACAAACTGACAAGCCGAGAGAGAGAGACAAGTCAGCTGATACTCTTGGTGCTTCTGCTTTTGGATTGTTTTTTATGTGGGCCGTTCCTGGCGGTACTGCAATGCCAGGTCAACCCGTGATGAGGTCTAGGCAAGCCTAGACTTTCATCCGTTCACAAAAATATGTTCAATCGCGTACCGACGGAGTGCGCCGGGTACCAGCGATCAAGCTGATAAGAACAGATACTACACTTTGATCTTAGCCTAGGAGGCCGAGAAGCGATAACCAGCTGAAGGAATCAAGTCTCTATTTATGTGGAAGTTGTTGATTAATAAAAACAGTTTTTCTCTTTACGTCATAATTTTAATAACAATTTAACTTTTAAATTAATTTTTCTTAATTTAATCAATTAATTGTAGTTTTTTCATCAATCATTTCTGTTTATAATCATTAAAATTCATCATTTTCAATTTAAATCATGAGATGTAACTTTGGATTCCGTGGCAACAGCCTTCATCCGAGGGAGCCACAGTTAAGTGAGAGAGATGAATCAGAGAGTGAGAGAGAAAAATGAGAGATGAGAGAGTTTAAAAGAGAGAGTTTTTCGTGAAACGACTTCGCTGTTTCATCAATCTTCTTACGATGAACTTTCTTTGTTGATATTCTGATGACGTTTTCTTAACAATTGTTTTATTTAATTGTTTTAGTTTTCTTCTAAATTGATTCTATTTTTAATGTTCCGATTTTCATTTTAAAATCTATTGTATTTTTTTTCTAAAAATTTTTTTTTCTCTTCCATTTTTGTTTATTGTTATTGTGTCCAAACCATGGATGTTGAATCTGTGTTACAATCTCTCATCTCTTTGCCTCAAGGAGACAATGTCAATCTCACCTATGTTTGGATTGACGGAACAGGGGAGAGTTTGAGATCGAAATCACGAAGTTCCAATAAAATTCCAACATCTCCTGGTGATTGTCCAATCTGGAACTTTGATGGATCATCGACAGGTAACAATCTAACCTTTTCCCTCTTGTTAATTTCTTCACATTTTCCATTTGTGTTCTTGCCAAAATTCTAGACTCATTTTCCTTTGTTTTCCTTTGTTTCCTCTTCTTTCATTATCATATGACTTTATCTTGTTCTCTCTCTTTCTCTCTCTCTCTCGAATCACCTGTAATATTTATTCTTCTTGATTCGAATCTTAAGGTCAAGCTGAAACTTCCGCATCTGATGTTCTTTTGGTTCCTGTGACTCTTTACAAAGATCCTTTTCTCCGAGGTGATCATATGTTGGTTCTTTGTGAATGTTTGAATTACAAGCAACAATCTGCTAAAGGAAATTGCCGAAATTCTTGTGCCCAATCCATGGCCAAAGTCGCAAAAGACGAACCATGGTTTGCCTTTGAGCAAGAATTTGTTGTCCTTGATAATAAAACTGATCGACCACTTGGTTGGCCAGAACGAGGATTATCTGATCCCCATGGTCCATCTTATTGTGGTGCTAATCTCGATAAACGAGCTCGAGCTCTTATTGAAGGCCACAGTTTCGCCTGTAGATATGCTGGTGTACCAATTTCTGGTACCAATGCTGAGGTTCTACTTGGTCAATGGGAATATCAGGTTGGCCCATCAACAGGCATCAAGTTTGGTGACGATGTTTGGATTTCCAGGTACATTTTGGATCGAATTGCTGAGAAATTAGATTTACGAATTACCTTCGATCCAAAACCAGTACCTGGTTACAATGGATCTGGTGCTCATATCAACTTCTCCACCAAGCAAACCCGTCAACCCGGTGGACTGAAAGTGATTCATGAATACGTTGAGTCTCTTGCCAAAAATCATCAGAAACATATCGCTGTTTACGATCCTCGAGGTGGTGCTGACAACGCTCGTCGTTTAATTGGTACAAATGAAACTTCATCAATTGACAAATTTTCCTCTGGTATTGGTGATCGAACTGCTTCCGTTCGAATCAACACTTCAGTCGCTGAAGCGAATTGTGGTTATCTTGAAGATCGACGACCAGCATCGAATGCTGACCCCTACGCAGTGTCCGAAGCTCTGGTTCGAACTTGTTGTTTGAAAGAGTAAGAGAAGAAAATGAAAACAAAATGTAAACAAAATTTGAGTTCGAATTGAAAGAAAAACAACAAAATCAACAATCCAGTCTTTAAATTTTAACCAAGTTTTAATCGAATCAATTTAATTTCTTGACAGTGTGAAAAAGTAAACAAAATAAACTTTGCAATGTAAATTCAACTCAACATTTTCCTCTCTCTCACTGTGTTTGTGTGCGTTCACCTTTAAGTGTAAACCCTTTCACTGTTTTCCAAATGATTATTATTTTTTTCTTCTCTTGGGTTGATTAAAACAAAAACAATTAGATTATAATAGCAATATAAATCAACTAAATCAACTAAATGACAACCTGAAAGGCCTCGAAAAAAAAATAAATGTAACAAACTGATTAATAAATTTGCCAAAAAATTGTCAAAATGTATTTACACACATGATTGGAACAAAAAAAATGTACATTCAGAAAAGTATCTAAATTTTACAAATAAAAATGGCACAAGTCCGAGGATGATAATAGGAAGAAAAGTGGATGAGATATTAATTGGTGAAATTCAATTGGGTGAATTGTATGGAAATGAATTTCACAAATTATGTCAACGAGTGAATTGATTGTGTGTATGTTTAAGTTTGAGTGTTTTTTGTGTGTGTGTGTGAGAGAGAGATGTGGTACTTTTCTCTGGATTTTAAAGAGAAATAGAAAAAATTTCCTTCTAATAAAAAATAGAGATTGCATTATATAAAATAACGATTTTGATCTCGAAAATTGTCTCAATGAACAGGTAGATTTGCGATGAGATTGAGATGTGAAGGTATAAAAACAATGAAGAGATGATGAAGGATTAAAATGATCATCATTTAACTTTTAGCCATAGGATAAGCATAACCTTGTAATTCGGGATAATCTATGTGTCTCCAAATGATGAAAGCAACAGCAATGAAAATTAAAAGAATCCCAATAAATATTGATGAAATTAGAACTGAATTTCCAACGACAATCTTCTTGGTTACTTGCGATTTGAATTTGTCAGCAGAAAATTCGTCCACTGTTGCTGACTATATAAAAAAGTGACGGAATAAAAAAGAATAAAAGATAAAAGCAATTAACAATAAACAATTAACAATCAAAAGTTGAGCAAGACAAATTAACGCAATGAAGTCAAGAGTTTTTCCATTAAATTGTCAAGCACTTTTCATAAGCATCTAGCACAACAACAACAAAAACAGATTAAATTAACAATATTAACAATATTAAATTGTTTAGCAACTAAAAAAAAGTCCATAGATTGTAAATTAGTCAATTAAGTTAATCAAATACTAACCTCTTGGAGCCATAAAACGGGAAGAACGACATCTTTTATGTCTTTCAATATTCTGTAAATAGAAAAAAAAATAATTAAAATATAATTAAGATTAGAGTTTATTACATTTTAAATCACAATGATAGTAAATAAGGTCACTAATCTTACCCAATCTCTTTATTACGTCTAATAACAACGTTAATTTGTAATCTTTGAGTGGCATCAAAGACTAAACCAGTATTCTTGATGGGAGAGAAAAAGAAACAGATTAAATTAATTTATATCACAGTTATTAAGATAAAGATGACACCTTTGTATTAATTGATATGTATCAAAATGAAAGCTAATCAAAAAGATGAATCAGTTAAGTAATCACTTGAAATCACTGAACTACTTTGTTTTTGTCTACGAGGGAGAAGAGATTAAATCAATTAATCTAATATTATAATCTCTTTCTGATGAGTTGATTTCTTTTCATAAAGATAAGATGTTTTCACCACTTTAAATTATCTTGATAATAAACAGGCGACTTTGATGATATGATCAAAGTACAATCAACAAAGTGAGTAATTAAGATTAAAAATTGACAAAGAAAACTTTTTTTTCTTATAAATAACTAGTTTTCTCAATGAATCTGATTCATTCTTGGTTTCTGTTCCCATTGATTGGTGAAAAAAAACAAACAAGAAGTAAAAGATTAACGTACTGGTTCAATGTTGAGGTAAGTTTCATGTTTCTCTCTTTCAGGAGCAAGTCCTTTAACTCCATTCATTAATCTTCTATCCCCATTGTAAAAGTGAGGGGCTGATAAAACTATTGGTGCTCCTTTTTTACACGGAGATGCATCCATTATACCATCGTAAGAGCAAAGTAATTCCCGTTTATCAAGGCAGAAACAATCATTGTCAGGATTACGGTCTGGTGATAGAAACAATCGCTTTGGTAAAATAAACTTGAATGTGTTAATCCCTCTAATCTCTGAGTCTTTCTCATATTCGACATAAATAGATCTGTATTATGGTAGAGGGAAGAAAAAAATATTCAAACAATTAAGTGAGTAAGAGAGGAAATCATATGAAGGGAGTATGTGTGATTGGGTTAAAATTATAATGGATTATTATGTAGATCGATCAACTGACCGGCATAGTTCACTTGAGAAAATATAAAGTAAATCAGTTCTTTTAACTCCAGGGTGAAATTGTGAACCATCAGTTCCGTTTATCTCATTGCAAAGAGAATTGGGCTCCCAGAAATTGACTTTGCTATTGATTAATATTGAACAGAAACAAAAGAAATTGTAACAATTAGTATTTAGAACAATCTTGTCAATCAAATTTAATTGCCAACCTTTTGTCACCCCATTTTTCAATTCTAGTGAAACGATTTATGTCAAACAGGCCATTGTGTACGGTGTATTCTCCATCGTGTGTATTATTTTTCTATTTGTATGGAAACAATTGAACAAAAAAAACAGTAAGAAATTTTATCATATCATTTGAAGTGAATGATTAGATGTCAGAAACAATTGGAACAGATAGATTGTTGTTTTGTTCGCTGATGATGTTTTAATTTGATCACTTACATTGAGAAAGAATCCAAAAGTATCTTGTAATTGTAGAGAAATTCCAAAAGTTTTCAATTGTTCTTTCAAATTGTGAAGAAAAGAGATTCGATAACCATCGAATAAAAGTTCTCTAACTTTCTTTTTAATGAAAAGTTGTTGATTATCAATAACCATTAGATTTTGTAGAACAGGCATAATCAATGGCTTCAATTGGCTTTTCTCTGTCTTCTTGAGAATTAATGTTGACATAACCTGTAAATAGAAATGATAAATGATACAATTAGAATTAGAAAAATAAAGCTTTTAGATTGTCAATTACAGTCAAGTAAATTCATGGACTGCGTTTATAAATAACGACTTACAATCGCTGGTACATTAGGTATACTATATTCATCGTCTAATGATCCGATTGATTTATTCCGGTTAAATGTGTAGGTTTAAATTGTCGATAAGTAATTGAACCAGATTCATGGTCCGTTCCGGTTACATTTTTGTGTCGAGTTTCATCAAAAACATAAGGACCACGTTCAACAAGAATCGGTTGAGCCAAACCAGCAGCAACTTCTGATGGATTGGTGACCTCGAATATTGTGAAGCTCATTGTTATGGGAACTTTAACCTTGAGCCATCTTTCCATAGATTCTGATCCTCGAACCAAGGGAACTTTCTAAATACGGGCAAAGAAAGAAAAAAAAGAATGGTAATAAAAAGATACATAACTTGAGAGTAAATAAAGTTTAGGTTTAACAAAGAGCCAAAAAAGAGCAAAAAAAACCAGAGGTTACAGAGAGATTGGGTTAAAGGTCAAGAGAGAGATGTGAAGTTACTAGAGAAAAAACTAAAAGCAAAGAGAAATAGAAAAGTGACCAGAAAAGAAGAGAAATGGAGATGGAAAAAAATTTCATCCATTCTCATTGAAATGAACAGAATGGTCAAGGAAAAGGGATTATCTAACTTACCTCTTTAATCTTTCTTGAAATTATATCGGGAAAGTAGAGAAGAGCAATTGTCGATGCGATGGCTAAAATAAATCCAATAAAAGCAGCGAATGCTAAACATGGTTTCTGATAAGACATCACCATTATGACACAGAGTAAAAGAATATAAAACAAAAAATAAAAAAGGTCCAAGGGTAGAGGTTTTGACCGGATAAAACACAGAGAAAAGGTAGAAGAAGAGGGAACTAGAACAAAGAGCAAGTTTACTCTCTGAAAAGGTAAGTCCAGTGGGCGAGTGTAAAAGTTATCCAATTGATGAATTAGAGAGAGAAGAGAATTGAGAGAAAAATCCAAAACTAATTGACCAACATTTAAGAAATCAAATTAATCGGTGTAAAAATTAACGGTAAGTTCAACAGGTCCTAAAGAGGGAAGATAAATAATAATGACACGGGAATATGATTAGAGAAAGAGACACAAACACATGAAGAGAAGTTGATGAGAGAGAGAATAGAAGAGAAAATCTCTTTGGAGAAGATTAGTGAAAAAAGAGTGAGAAGAGCATGAGTGAGAAAGAACCCGGGAAAGAGAGAGAGAGAGAGAAAAAAGAGAGTGGAAGACAAAGATGAAAAAAGAAATTTATGAAAACAAACAAAATAAAATTTTCTTTTCTTTAACCAATCACCAATTATATTTTGAGATTTGATGACGATGTTGATGATACATAATGAAAAAGCTAAATTGAAAAAATAAGAAAACGCTTTTATAACTTTTACTCTTTAAGAAAATTTTCTTACTTAACCAGCAATCGATTTGAATGCCTTAGGCATTTTAAATAATCAAGTTAAGGATGAAAGTGGGATTAGAAATGAGAAATGTAATAATAATGTTGATTAAAAAAGAGTGAAGATGATCTGGTTTCAGATGAGAATCATTTTCTTTCAATACTTAACATTTACTGTTGTAAGTTGTTGTTGTTGTTGTTGGGTGTTTTTCATTAATTCATTAACTCATAATTATCGTCATCAACATTAAATTTGATCTGATTTTAATTAGCATCTTGATTAACTGTTTCCTTTAGAGTGAATCACTTTCGTTTGTAAATCTATGAAATTTTTTCCTTCATCTTATTTTCTAATCTTTCAAATCATCTCTTCAATCAGTAGTAAATGAATGTCAATAGGTTTAGACTATTTGTTTCACCATTTATGAGACATATCATGTTACCTTTTCTTTCATACATTAATTATTCACAATTAAATCGTAATAATCATGAAAATTAAACGTTTTTTTATCTCTTTTCCATATCTAAGACATTTTATCTAATGAACTTTTCTCCATTCTAATGAACAAAAAAAAGCATTGGACAGAACAGGTTTGATTGATGATTGGTTGTTGATCAAATTAAGGTTAGTTAAACGATGATGCTGATTGAGAATGATGTAAGTTTAGCTAATAATGAGTAAAGAATATACAATAAATAAAGTATATTAATTACACTTGATAACAATTAAACGGTTAATTGTCTCAATTAGAAACAAAGAGAAATATTAATTAGAAGAAAAAAAAATTCCTATTTCGGTGATCACAATTGTGTGATGGTGATGATTAGATGAAAAAACTTACCCAGTAACAATTATCCACTTGTAATAAAACACAAAGGAAGCTCAGTGATTAAAACACTATTATTGGTGAAAGGTAATTAATTAATTGTTAATCACAATCTAAAGACAACAACAAATGAACAAAATAAAATTGATTGGAAATTTGAAAAAAAGAAAATGGGAAACGAAGACAAAGAAAAAGACAGAGAAAGAAAAATAGCCAATGAGATTAGCCGATGATTAAAAGTTCACTTTAATTCAAAGTCGCTTGGAGATTGAATTGTTGTCGGTGTTTAATTTAATTAGTTGATCACAATTAACAGTCTAATTAACTGATTTTCATCTTCAAGTGAATTCAATTTTCTACCAGTTAATTAAATGTAACATTGAAATGGTGGAATTGAAATGTAATCAAAAGTATCAGTGATTATTGTTAAGTGTAAGTGATTCTGTTTGTGGAAGAGAAAGTTGAAAGATTTTTTTTTTCTTCTCTCTTTTTTTTCATCTTCTTCTTACTTACCTTTCTTGTTCTTATTATTTTTTTTTCTTCTTCTTTCATCATGTTCAACAGGTATCTTCATGTGGATGGTGTAACCTTGATTTACTTGGCGAATGCTTCAATAGTGTATACATATCAAAAGGCCGCTCCTTTAAGGTTAACTTGGAATCGTTTTCTCTTCTCCCATTTTCTTCATCATCTTTAATATCATCATCGTTCATCTTTGGCTATTACTTGTGCCTCCATTTTGTTTCCATATATTAATATATGTATTTATATTGTTATATTATCATGATGATGATGATGATGTGATTACCCACTGACTATCCTAGTAATTTTCGATTCTCTCTCATTAGGATGGACTCTTTGTATTATTATAAACGCACACACAATTGATTAACATCCTTCTTTTGAAAGTGAAAAGAAGAAGAGAAATCAAATTTTAATTGTAGTCAGATAGTTAATCGTTTACATTGTGTAATATTTACCTTATTCAGCTAATTGTAATCTGTTACTTGTAATGGTTACATTAATTAATGAAAGGTTTGACCATTAGTTTTATCTCATCTTTTACCAACCTCAATTGTTGTTGTTGTCCAAATATCAATTCACATTTACTCTTGAAATTGGTGCTGATTGTTTTTTCCTGTTTCTCATTTGTGGTCAGTTAGATTGTGCCAAGGATTGAATAGTTAATCACAAATCAACTCGTACAAAAATCAGCAATTTCAATCAATCATTTATTTAAATTTATCTTTCAATTAATTGTTGAAACTCTGTTGAAATTTTTAATTTAGTTGATAGAATCTTTGAACATTGATTGTTAAAATCAATCAAATCGATGAGAAAAATTTAAATTGTTTTCGCTGTTTAATTACGAGACTTTTTCTGATTACAATTGAAGGGAAATATGTTCCTTTTAATCATTAAACACGTAATTAATTTTTCGCATCTTAGGTCGTGATTAACTTTTAATCGTAAGTTTATTTTCAGTTTTACCGATTGTGTTATTGTTGGTTAATCATCGTAAAAAAAATTAACAATTTACTAAAGTATATTTCATTATTTACGATGAATTAAGTTAAATTGTGAAAGGAAAAAGGTAAAATTATGTAAATTAATTGCCATGGTTAATTAGAGAGGTTAATTTTTTATATAAAAGAACCGCCGATCAAATTAACCAAGAAATCACAGTTAACCAATTATTAATAAAAGAGACACAGTTAATTGTTGTTAATTAACAATCATTGTTTTTGTTGCAATTCAAACGCAATTTGACAATTAAAATATAAACAACTAATAATCATGATTGAACTCATCCAACCCAATCAACAATTAAATTCCCAAAGTATTTAATCAATTGAAATAAACAGTAAACAATTAACTGCTCATCAATTTAATTGCATAATTGTAACTGTAAAATATTGATTATCATTTTACTTGGTCATTGTAATTTACTTCCTGATCCTTGACCATTAGTAATAAATTCAAATTGTTATCATTCAAATTTGGGAATAAATTTTCCAATTAATTTAATCATTGGTTGTGAATTCGTTTACAATTAAATACAGATTAAGGAAGAGGAAAAAACCATTAATGGCCCATTGGATTATTCAACCAGGGATAATTGGGTGGACATGAGTGACCACAGACTCTCATGTATCGTGGCCAATTTTTGAACATTTCGAGTCCATTGTATTCACAATTAATGGCACCATATTTATGGGCGCAACTTGTTGATTTCGGTGATTTAATACAAGTTTCATTGGTTCGTTTCTTAAATTGATCAACAGAAATTGGTGATTTAAGATAATCAATGACCTCACTTATGGTGACAAAGAAAACATCGGACATTTGAAGGAGAGTATCGATGAAACGGAAATAGGCCTCTTTTCGATGTGGGTCAAGAAGCCAAAATTCATGCATGAAAACCGGAAAAGGAGCTCGATTGACTTGATAGTGTCTCATGAAATTATCCATCAGATATCGATAAGCCCATTCGGTCGTATTTGGATTGGGAACGCAAGCATCGACCATCGCACAAATGACCTCCAATGGTTTACCGTCTTGATCTACATTAACGTCTTGCATTTTCCAGTTGACCATTGGAACTTCCCAGAGTCCAGGATATCGACCATTTGGACAAGGCTCAATTTGACAATCGTCGACTAGTCCCATGTCCAGAGTGTATGGATACAATGGAGGGTTGACGAAATTGCGAACGGGAACCGATGAGTCATAGAGAAAATTATCTTCTTTCATTGCCTCCCATGTTTGGTCACCAGCGCTTTGCAAAAACGGGACTCGAATGCCCTTAATGTCCGATTCTGGAATATCGGCAAAGTAGGAAAGCATTTTCTTCATTCCTCCCATTTCGGCTCGCCAATGAGCGACGGGAGCATTGTCCAGACATCAAGATTACGATTGTGACTATTAGACGAATGGTCAATATGGTCAGTATGTTGGTCAGTTGATTTGATTGCGTGAAAATGTTTGAAATTAAATTAAAAATTCTTACGTTATTGAATGGACAGCGATCTCATTTCCTCGTCTCCACAAATTGTGAACCAAATGATAATCAGTGTACTCATGAGTTACAAAGAAAGTGGACCGAACTGGACAATCAGTACTATCATGTCGACGACTGTAAACTTGTTTATATGTTTCATAATTGATTCCATTAACTCCGTCATCAAATGTTAACATGACCAATTGAGGGATTTGATCAAGGGAGGGAAATAAAGGTTCAGCGGTGGGACAGAAACATGTTGACGGTGGACATAAGTTCGGGTCACAGTAACGTCCAGTTACCTCAGAGTATTGACCAAAAAAGACAAGAACAATAAACCAAATGAAAATAAAATGATCCCACATGATTAATTAAATTGAAACTTTTCGATATTGTTAAACGCGAGAAAATAATCAACCTTCAATTGTTAATTGTTACCAGAAAAGTGAAACAAAAATTTTGACTTGAGCCCAAGAAAATGCTCCGAATCGGTCAACAAGTAGATGATGGAAGTGACCAACTGACAAATTGTCCAGTTTTCATCAGCAACTATCCAATCAGAAGGAATCAACTGATCTCAGGAACAAAAATGCTAATCAATTTTCAAAGATAATGGACTTAAATAAACTCGCCCCATCCATTGACCATTAGCGATGACCAATAGTGACCACAAGAAATGAGTGAATCCATAAGCCTCCAGTGGATTCATTCATGTCTCAAAAGGATTCTGATTCCTTTTAAACAATGTTTTTACCTTTGGATTAACTCAACATTCACTTAATCACTTCAACTAATTGTTTCACTATTTTCTCATTTAAAAGCTTTGATACTTTTTCTGGAAAATTATGGCGAATGATTGATTTTTTATTCCAATGGATTTGAAATGTTAATCATGTGAGATCTTAATGATTTTATTGATTAATGATTAATAGTAAAGGGAAGGTTTTGTTCCGATCGATTATCATTGAAATGATTGAGCCAAAAATGATCAATTGTCTTTATTTTTGTTTACTAAACATTTGATCATTTCTCGCAATATATTTTAATGGAGTTTAAAAAGTTGATAAAAACAATCAGAAATGACTTAAAATTACAATTGATTGCACAAGATAATTTACAATTAAAAAGGAGGATTAAATATGGAAGTTATAATCTATCAATCTATTAATAGTTATGAATTTGGGATGAAATTGACTAAAATTTGCATTACAAGGATTTAAAGGATTCTAGGATTTTATTCCTAATCAATCAATTGCTGGTTGATTAACAGGCTCACAATGGATTTTAACCTAAAAGTAATTATCCCAGTCTTTTTTTTTCCTCATCAGTTTTGGTTAGATAGTTATTGTGTTTATCATTTAAAACAATAATCAACTGCACAATTTAAAATCAATTGTTAATTGTTATGCACTTGAGATGATACCAATCGATGAGCAGTCATTTGTTGATAATTAAACCAGAGATGATGTTTATGGTTAAATGATGGCAAGAAGTTGGTCTTCAATTAACAATTGATGAGATTGTGGGTTAACGATTTACTTGACCAATGGTCGTTTCTTATCGGAATCATCGCCATACTTTTCTTTGTATTCTCTGACCTCTCTCATATATTTCGTCCAAGCGTCTTGATTATCGTCATTGGATTCGATTTCTTGTCGATTACGTTTAATTATGCCAACTTTTAATTTTTGATTTCGTCGTTTACCCTGAAAATAGAAAAGAAAGGAAAACAATTAAGATCAAAGATTAGCTAATTGTTGCATTGAACAATATAAATCTCCATTGATAACTTACCAATATAACTTTGGATGAAGATGAAGATGAAGATGATTTAGACAAATCTTCATTTGGTGAATTAATAATTGTTTGCTCTTCTTTTTTAACTAATTCTTTTTCTTGATTAGAGTTAGTATGATTAATTGATTCTTTTCCATCAGCTGATTCTGTCTTTAAGGCTTTTAAATTCAATTGTTGCGACTTTAATTGCTGCTCTTGTTGCATCTTCTTAAATGTCTCCAGAAAAGATCCATCGTTAATGAATTTATTCATGACAGGTTTACTTTCAGTATCACAACCAATAGTTTCACTTGAAGATTGACCATTTGCGGTCATTCTGACGATAGTTACGATGGATTATGGTAGATTATCCTTTCTTGGTAAGCTGGTAAATCTAATGCACTAGAATATGAGGAAAAAAAAGAGAATAGATCACTTTAAAAATAGATTATAATGGATTAGAGGTTAACCAGTTGAAAATTGTTGAAAATTGAAAAACATAAACATCAGAAATAAAGCTCACCCTAATTCCTATTGGTTGAACATTTATCTCGATGAGGTCAGTTACAGTCCATTGAAAAATCAGATGATAGGGTAAAGGAATCAAATTTTGTGGAGTAATAATTATAAGATATGGTGTAATTGGCTTCAATTTATGGATTATCTAAATCAAACACCAAAGTGAATAGATGATTGTTTACATATATCAGCAAATGTTGATTTGGTTTTCGAAAAAGGAGAAAAAAATATCAGAAAATAATCAATGATTAATGAATGAAAATGAATGTGGTAAGAATTGAAATGTAATAGTAACATGAGTAGACTTGAAATCTCAAGGTTTACATTCATTATCGTCATCAATATAATTTTGGTTTTTTTCACGAATAAATCAATTTCTCTCACAGAATTGTTTTCCTATCAGCTATTAACGTTTAAATATACAATCAAATAACCATCCAATTACCTGGATTAACAGTTATAACAATCAAACATATTGTAACAAAAAAAACATAAGAAATCAATGAAAATTGAGAAACCATTACTGACCATTGGAAAGATAATCAAATCATTCAAAACAATTATCTGAATACATTATGATGAAGAAAGAAAATTATAGAATAAAATTGATAAAATGATGAATAATTAAGAGGCACAATTAAAGAGAATAGATAATAAACATAAACATACCAATAGATGAACATTGTTTATTATATATTATGACGATGGAGTCGCAATAACGGTTGTTGGCAAATTCATAGAATCAACCACCAGGAAGAATAAAAGAATGAATTAAAAGCACTGGTGAAAGGAAACAGGGTCGTAATCATCAATAGAATTTTAAAACAATTAAGCCTGAATTTAATCAAGAACAAGAGAAAAAATCAAACAAAGATTAACATGTAAATGATAAGGGAACAAAAATCCATAATTACCTATGTTACTTTCGTAATTTTTATTGTCTCATCCAAAGGAACATATTGTTACTTCTTGGGTAACCTAACCAGCACCAAATTCGATACAAATAATTGATTAAAATTGAAGAATAAAAATGATCAATTAGTTAAGAGAATAATTAAAACAGGAAAACAATTGGAAATTAATTGGAATTAAAATTAAAATTCTCATTTAGAAAAGAATTTAAATTTTACCGGTTCACTTGATTTTCTCTCCGAAAGTGGTTCCCTCTATTGAGAACATGTTAAGTTAGAATAGAATTGACTTGAAAATCATTTTTATTTCTTTTCATCATCAGTTTAATTTTCTTCATTTTCTTGTGAATAGTTTTGTTTATCGTTATTATTTTTCTTTAATTTCTCTTATATTCCAGGTAAGTAAATCAATTAACTGATCAACCGATTAAATTAAAAAGATAAAACTGATAATGTTAACATTTTCCATAATGTTAACAATTCCAGTTCTATATCTATTTGTACTTCTTTTTTTTTAGTTCTCTTACTTTCTCTTTCTTTTTTCTCTTTTTCTCTTTCTCATTCCCTTTCTTCTCATTTGGTTTTCTCTTTTCTTTTTTTTCTGTGTGATTTTTTCCCATTTCTATCCATTAATATGAATGTGGTTGTGATTATTTTTTTGTAATATGTTTGCTTACTCATTTGACTTAACCATGTTACTCTGTTGATCAATTATCTCTTCTCCATTTCAATGATTTACTGATAATCACTTGAATTGATTATTCTTCTATCCCAACTTGAAGTTAAATTAATTGTCATCATTTGTTTCTTATCCTTTTCAGAGCCTGATTGTTTAACCATTTTTATTACATGCTTCAAGATGTTGGTTACTTTGAGGACATTGAACCAGCAAACATTCAAAATTGAGATTGATCCTGAAGAAAAGGTATATTTTTGTCTCTTTTTGTCTCATAGTTTTGATGAATTTTCAAGCCCTTCACTTGATTGTTTATCATTAGATTTTTTCCACTTGCTAATTGATTTGATCTTCTTCTTATCCACAGGTCGCTGATTTGAAGAAGAAAATTGAAGAAACGAAAGGACCAACATTCGCAGTGGCTAATCAGAAATTGATTTATGCAGGTTAGTAGGTTTAAAAGTGTTACTATTTTAAGAATAGTTTTTTTATCCTCTTCACTTTCTTTAACAATTCAAATTATCTTTTAGTTTTTTTTTTGCGCATCTTATGACTTTTTTTTCTATGTGAAAATATTTAGAAACTTTATTTTCTTTTTTTGTTTGCCATTGGTATTAATTCTTTTCTTCGTTTTTTTTTAATCTATGCTCTAGGGAAAATTTTGAGTGATGATAGTAAGATTAGTGGATGTGAAATCGATGAGGCCAAATATGTTGTCTTGATGGTTCTCCAACCCAAAGCGGCTCCAACAACAGAATCGACACCAAGTGCCACTACAAGTGCTCCAAACAAATCCACTTCTACACCAGCTATCGGTGCCTCTGGTACTAGTGGTGCAGCTTCAACTGGTACATCGACAGAAGCGAGTAAAACCTCAGTTAAAAAGGAAACAAGTGGCAAAGAAGGAAATGTATCTACTCCCTCTGCCGAATCAAATTTAGTTTTAGGAGACCAATTTGAAGATATGATTAAACAGATTATGGAGATGGGTTATAATCGCCCTGAGGTGGAATTAGCACTTAAAGCCAGTTTCAATAATCCGGAAAGAGCTGTCGAATATTTAATTAATGGATTACCATTGGATGTCGCTGGAAATGATATTAATGTTCCAGTCGGAGGAATTGAATCCAGTGGACCCACACCAAGGACTGAAAATATACACGTTGCTTCATCTGATTCTAATCCATTGGCTTTCCTTCGTACTCAGCCAATGTTTTTACAGATGAGACAAATGATTCAAGCCGATCCTTTATCTCTTTACAGTTTAATGCAACAAATTCGTGAAACTAATCCCACTCTATACGATCTAATTAACCGTAATCAAGAAACTTTTGTTCGTATGCTCAATGATGAGCCTGGTGGACAAGCTACTGGGGCTGTTCCACCAACTATAGGCAATCCAACAAGTGGCGGTGGTGGTGTTAGAGGAATCGATCAACTGGTTGGTTCAGTTGAAGTAACTCCCGCAGATAAAGAAGCCATTGATCGGGTAAGAGAGAAAACTTCTAATATCTTTCAGTAATTATCCTAAAACTATTTATTTAGAAATCACCAGAGTCCAATTTAAAGTGAAATAGAAGAACCGAAATAAGTTGGAGATTTGATTGATTGATTGATTGATTGAGTCAGCTTTTTTTATTCAACTTATTTTTCAATTCAGCTTGCATGTTTGAGAAAAGGGTGTCGTTATATCAAGTGAGTGAATTGTTTTATGAGCACTGAAGATGAAAAAGATACATACATGCGTTTTTTAAGGAAAAAGGATAAAAAGGGGAAAGTGAAAATGATACGGAAGAGAAAAGGATGAGGAAAGGATAATGAGGATTTTTATATAGAGTTTGTGACAGAAAACAGAAAAAAATGATCTTAGTTTACAAATAAAGCTATGAGAGGGGTAAAGTGTTTCTTTTCAACAAGATAATAAAGGTCAACAAATTTCAACTGATTGGGACAAAGTTTTTGGGGATTGCCTGTGAAAAATTTTATATCAATGAATATTAATTGTTTTATAGTCAGTCAATATGTTAACATCTTGTATATAGCATAGTTTTTTTTTCATAAAGCTTATCAAGAAGGACAATGTGTGGTTGTTTTTTGTGAGAGGGGGTGCTTATGATGTATATAAAGAGCTAGGAGATATTATTATGAAAAAAAGGACGAAAGGATGAGAGCGAGAGAGTGAGTAAGGAATGAAGAAGATACGAACATTGGAATTTTTTGTTGATTGAAAAAAGCTTTGATTGTTTACAGGATTGGAACTTTTCTCAGGACAGTTTAAGGAAGAGGGAAATAGTTAGGGTTAAAGGAAACAAAAGATTCCGGTGATGAAATGTTATGTTGATGTTGTTTGCGAGAGTTTGATGTATAACAAAAATATCATGTTACTAACAATTCACTTTTCTTTTTTTTCTTCTTTTTCATCAACAGCTGAAAGCTATGGGATTCCCTGAATATTTGGTAGTTGAAGCCTACTTTTCGTGTGATAAAAACGAAAACATGGCTGCAAATTACCTTCTTTCACAGGGTTATGATGATTAACACTTTTTTTTTGAAATCATTGCTTTACTACCCAAAAAGAGAAATCAGACTCCATAATTAGTCGCTAATCTTTCCTTCAACGCTGCTGGGAATTGGTCAGCAAATCGGTTCCAGTTTTCTTCGCCAATTTGATTTTTGAACCCATGGAGAATCTAAAGTGACGCAGAGGAAGGGAAGAGATGTCATCAAAAAGATTAGAGTTATTATTTCATATTAAAAAAAAAATTTAAAACGAAAAAAAATTTGTGTGAAAAGCAAATGATCGATGATCATTGTCAACAAAAATAAATAAATATGATTAACATCGTGATTTTGTTTGTTAATTTTTCCAAAACAAATATTTAATTTACGATTAATTGATAATTACCTCGTTGAACATGGCTTTCAAGTCCGGTTTTGGATTATTCCAAGAAGCAACAGCATCACAGAAATACATAAACTCTTGTACAACTCCTCCTGGATTAGCACCGATCATGGCACAAACACCACGAAAAGCTGAATCTTTTTCCTCGTTATCACGAATATGACGAAGAGAGATACACCTAAAATAAGAAGAGAGAAGGGAGAAAAAGTGGTGAATATTAAAAAGTTTCGAAATAAGTGAAGAAAGAGAGATGCCAGAGAATAAGGAATAGAAAAAGAGAGGGAGAAAGAGAGATAGAGAGAAAGATAAACATGATTTAGGTGAGACGCAATATAAGGAATGAAAAGAAAAGAAAAGAATGAAATTCAAGTTAAAATTACAGACCAGGGGCGAATAAACTGTTGTAAATGAGGAGCGACTTCTTCAGGACATACCAAGCCAAGACGGCCAATTGTAATGGCTATTAATTCAGTTCAGTTACATTCAGATTTTTTTTATATCAACAATTAACAATATTTTCAAAGATAATTATTTTTTTTTGATTGTTTGATGATTCGGAATTTGGTAAATCGCATTAATTGAGTTTTTTTTGATTTGGTTGGTGGTAAATATGATGGTGGGTTTTATGCATAAGTCAAATTAATTTTGATATAAATGAAATTGGTTCACAAAACGTAATGGAAGCAATTTGTGTGATATATATGACAGGATTTGGATGAAAGAGTGACAGAGATGATAATAAATGATAAAGAGAGAGAGAGAAGAGAAATAGCAAAAAAAGAAAGAAAAGATGAAGAGAAAAACAGAAAGGTAAATAAATATACTAAAAAAAGTGTTTTCTTGATATTTGGTCACAAAATTGTGAAAACATATAAATGTAATACTTTCTAAACGGTTATAATTGTTGTAACAACAATTAGAAAGATCAATTCAGGTATTTAAATGTAATAATACAAACCTGTATTTTCTAGGAGAGTTTTTGGTGTATCAGGTTGATTGATAATCGTAATTAATTGAGGTAAAACTATCTGGATGTAAGGTTTCATTTCTGGTCCCATTTTAACTGCCATCTCTCCAATAGACCAGGCAGCATTGTTACAAACAGAAATGAACTCAGGTTTTAAGTTTTGGGCGAGTATAGGTAAGAATTGAGCTGTAATAGGAGAATGAGAAAAATGAATTAATATGATTGTAAATAATTGGCTGATTTATATGGATTGATTTACTGATTGAGAAAATGAAAAGTGAAAAAAAAAACAGTCAGACAGTACGAATACTCTTGCTAGACTCATGGTTCATTAAAACTTGAAATATTAAATCATCGCAAACATTTATCATCATTCAGTTTTTTTTTCAATTCACTAGCAACTCAATCAAAGAATCGAGAAAAATATAATTCAAAACGATTGTAGTAATTTCTTACGTGTAAGAGGTTTAACGTGTTGAAAACAAGCTTTTGTAAGGTCTCCCAATAAAGCGAAAGAACTTTGTCTAACATCAGGAAGAACGTCCTTAAATTTGAGTTTTTTTCAGAGTGGGAAAGTTCAAGGTAAATGGACAATTAGACGAAATAAAGATCAATTGATAAGTTAATTAGATTGTAAATGATGACATATTCTAACATTTGATATCAGTGAACTTACTTGCATACACTGATGTAAAAGAATCATGACATTGCTACAAGCTATTAATTGTGCAAACTCCAAAGCACCATTAAGACCTTCGGCAAGGCCACTCAATAAATCAAGAGCGACAATCATGAAATCCTTGTTCGGTGGGTCAAAATGATCAGGGTGAGTACTATTAGCCTGCAAGGAAAGATGAGAGATAAATAAAGTAAATGAGATTCAAGTTAAAAAAAAGGGAGAGAGGAAAAAGATATAATCCTGTTTGGATTTTATTTGTTTTTCGATAACTTACCGCTACTTGATTAAGTGTTTGCTCTACAAGAGATAGACAACGTTTGAAAACTGGTTCACAATACGGTAAAAAACCACTTTGAAGAGCTGTAGCTACACTGGATAAACACTGCGAATAAGAATAAAGTAAATGAAATTAACATACCAAATAGATTCACGTTAGTAATTTTCTTGAGGATAAAATTTGGTTAGAAAATAATCCAGTTAATTTGATAGGATTTCTAATTACTTACCTCAAGTAATGGAGAAAGTCCTCGATCATCATCTTTCAATGAATTCCATTTGTGAATTAATGGAGGCATCAATAGATTGATAAATTCAGGTTTGTTTAAATGATGACCCACCGAGTCTGCAAGTGTACCAATGGCATCATAGAGGATGAGTAAATTTTTATGCTAAAACAAAAAAGACAAGAGAGAGAGAGAGAGAAAGGGAGAAAGAGGGGTGGTTGTTAAAAAAATTCTGTTTTTCTCACATGATTCATTCAATTTAAATCATAAATCATCAACTTAAATTAATCTTTTACAATATTTGTTGTCAAGCACAAATTACCTGATATTTGTTAAATGCAAAGACCAAAGTTTCAAGAATAAATCCTAGGTAAGGTACTAATTCAGTACAAGCTTCTTCTTCCAAAGTGGCGAATGCACTACAAGCAGCTTCTTGTACTCTTTTATTGGCGTCTAGAATACGTTTAAGGAGCTAAAAAGAAAAAGTTGGTTAATTAATCTGAATTTCCATTAATTTATAGAATTGTCAATATTGAACATACTTCGGTCATCAAGGGTCTAAGATATTTGTCATGAGGTTGACCGACAACCCAATGTGAGTATCTGCTTAGTGTCCAACAAGTTATCGATCGGACTAAAGCTTTCTTATCACTTAGGCACGTAATGAGATAAGGTACCAATTGGCCGAGATGTTGTATCATTCCAGTCATACACCCTAAAAGTATTTATGAAAAGAGGAAAAGATTAGAGTTCATCTTCACTAGAAGCAATTCATCAATAGGAAGAAGAAAAAAAGAAAAGGATGTTGCCCTTTTGATGTTTGTTTACCTTCTGCGATTGCCCCAAGTGCTAGAACAGCGGATTCTTTAATTTCCCAATTCTGATGGAAAAGAGTTTCTCTCAATATTGGAAGAACCACAGGTAAAAGATCATCACGGAAGACACCGGCTAAAACATCGAGCGCGGCTGCTGAGCATTTTCTTAAATTCCATTCAGCAATATGCCTATCATTATCATCATCATCATCATCGTCATCATCATCATCTGAATCTGCTTCATCACCTCCTTCGTCGTTGTGTTTTTGAGTGTGAGTTTTAGATCGATGGAATCGAGGTTTGATGTCTTCCTCTTTATCTGGTATCATTTCATCTTCTTCTACATCTCCTTTCAATAGAATTATATCTAATTGAGAATATTTCATGCGTCGCATTAAAATGGGCACCAAACGGGGTAAATGTTGACTTAAGACTTCTTTACAGATCGGTTGTTCAGCTAAATTTAACCAAAATTCACAGGCTTCGAGTGCTACTATCTCATCAGGATCTTGACTTCTCAATAACATGTACTGAAAGGTAAAATCAAAAGACAAGGTTAATTAGTAAATATTGTCAAAGAATCAAGGAATGTTTCAAGTGTAAAGATACATTAGAAACATATTTCAGATTCATTGATTAATCTCCTTTTCTTGTCTGAACGGCTATGTCAAAGTTTATACATAAACGGGCGATTAGAAAAGGGAAAATAAAGTATTAATTAGATTTATCATCAATGTACCTCTACAATATTATGAATATGTGGTATGAGTCGATCTATTTTCACTTCCAATAACATGACTAGAGCTCGACAAACATTCTTTCTAACTTCAGGTTCTTCATCAGAGGCCAGATGGAAAAGGTTCTGTCATAAAAATAGAAAACAAATAAATAAGAATCAATTAGTTAATTCAATGAACAACAATCTTTTTAAGAGAGAAAGAAAAGGAGGAGAAAAAGAGTAACATAAGAGTAAAGTGAAAGCAAAAAAGAAAAGAGAAAGGTGGAAAGAAAGAAAGAAAAAAAGAGAGAGAAAGAGAAAGAGAAAAAGAAAAAGAGAGAGAAAAGAGAAAAGGAAGAGAAGAGGAGAGTAAAAAAGGAAAGGTTACCTCTAAGAACGTGTCGATGTGAGCCATCAATGATGAGCTTCTAATCATGATGAATTGGTTGACACAAGCTATGGCATGAGCACGAATTTTAGGATTAGCGTGACGAAAAAACTGAAGGAACTTTGGTATTAAGAAATCTAATGGTCTATTAGCTGTATCAGAGTCCAATGATTCCGCCATATCTTCACATATTTTATGTAAGGCACTGAATGCACCTTCACATGTGGCATAGTTTTCTGATTCCAACATCATACATAAACGAGGTAATAATTCAGGCCAACTGGCCAATTCACCTTTAGAGGCTATTGTTGTAATAAGAATACCACTGGTCGCTCGGATTAATGGATATTGATCGGCAATGCTGTTAAGACATTCTGCTTTCACGTACTCGGTAACCTCACGAGGAAACTCATACCAGTGAGCTTTTAAACTATTTTTCAATATGAGACCACTTAATGATCGGGTGGCTTCATCTTCACTAGTTAATTTGGTTAAAATGAATACTAGATAATTGCAAAAATCTGGACACTTATTTAATTCTTCCAATCTTTGTTGAACAGCTCGTTGAGTTTGGGTGTCCGGTGATTGGGATTCTTTGAGCAACTGGAGAATTTGTTGAATACCATCTTGAGCTGGTGTCCAAGCCATAATCGAAAATTTCTTTACCTTTTATCTTTTCTTTGTTTTCTGTTAATTTTTCGTTTAAAAAAAAGCTTGCACACCCACAAGAACTAGCACTTGGAATTAATAACTAAACAAGAAGAAGAAGAGAAAGGGGAGGACGAGAGAGGAGAAAAAAGCAAAAGACAGGAAAAGGGAAAGAGAGAAAAAAAAGAGAGTAAGAGAGGGAGAAAAAAAAGGGAGAGAAGTCAAGCTAAGAGAATAGAGATGGAAATAGGGAGAGGTATAGACAGAGAGAAAAAAAGAGAGAGATAAGAGAACAGAATTCGTACAGAAAACCAGCCACTACTACAGACAAACACACCGCGCACACTAAACACTCACACGGCGGAATTGATAGAAAAGAATAGAGCGAAAAAAAAGCTGTCAGGTTCAATCAATTAGCGGAATTAATTAGAATCACAGAAAGAAAAGAAGAGAGAAAAAAAAAAGATGGTGAGTGGCAGAAAAAACTAGAGGTGATGCTGATGAGATAATGTGATGAGAAGATGCTTTTGGTGATGGGGATGAGAAGATGATAGAAAATAAATAGATTGAGAATAGGTAATAAATAAATTTCCAAGCAGAGTGATAAAGTCAACTAATAAAGACCAGAGAATTAATCGGAATCAAAATTGATGAACCAATTACAAAACAAAAAAAAACAATTGATTAAATAGAATTAAAATTTTCTGTTGGTTGAAAGAATAATCGAATTACGATTTTCACCTTAACTTCGATTTTTTCGATTCTATTCGATTACCGGGTTTTCCTTTTTATCGATAATCGGTTATCTTTTCTTGGCGACATCTAGTGAGTTTTCCAAGAAACGATCATCGATTTTTCAATTATCAATTTCGCAAGTGTAACAATTTAAGTTAATTGTTGGAGGAGAAAGAAAAATTTTTTTCTAATTTTCACTCACCTCACTAACGAATGTCAAATTGTAAATTATCAGAGGACATTCACATTGGTATAAGGTATTGATTGTAAATTTGACCGAGAGGGTAAACAAAAAGATCAATACAACAATTAGTTTAATTAATGAGCGAGTGATTTTGGTGATTGGCAACAATTAACTTTTCAACGATGTGATTTTAATCACGTAACCCCAACAGTCACTGTAAATAAATACAATTAACTTAAATTGTGCGTGGATACTTTTAAATTATTATTACCTTAAGGCAATTTAAATTTAATAAGATTAATTATATAACCGATTAAAATAATAATTAAATCAGTTTCTCAAGGTTTCAAATAAACTTAAATCACCAAATATAACTCTCAACAATTAGAGTTAAATATTTTGTCCATTTTTGTGAAATATGACAGACAATTGAAAGGAATCAGTTGTGATCAAGGAAAAGTAATATAATTGAATGAGAAATTAAATCTCAACCCATTTAATTGAATTCCACTGATTTTATTAACTAAAGTCTACATTGATTAACTATCATCATCTTCATCGTCATCACTTCATCTTCCTCCTCTTGATCATCATCATCATCATCACATCGTCATCATCTCTCTCCCCCTTTTCCTATCTTTCTCCATCATCATCATCATCATCATCCTCCCAACAGTTAGTCAACCTCAGTATCTTCAAGTGATAACTTCAGTTATCATCATCTTTACATTGTTAATTATTTAGTATCATTGTGTTAATTAATCAACAGTAATCATCTTGAGCAAAAATTGATTACACGATGAGAAAAATAAACAATTAATTTCAAATGCTGAGTTACAATCAGTTAATCAAACTAACTAATTTGATGATGAAACTTGTGACCGGAAACAAATCAAGTATTTGCTAATCAAAATGCTCATTAATTAGTGTTGATGATTAAAGAATCACATATTGGTGATCAAAGTGATTAAGTTAATTGTTATCATGGGTTACACCTTACCAGTCAATTTGGTGGTAAGTAATTCTCACTCTATGATAATTGGATCATCTTCATTGTCAAATTCAACTTCATCTTCCACCTCAACCGGATCATCTTCATCTTCACCTTCATCTTCATCATTAACTTCATCCGCATCATCATCTGCCTCTCATTCATCAGCTGATTATCATCAACACATGGATACTCATCATCTCGCCCCTCAATACATTGTGGACAGTATTCACAATACCAATGGTACTGTTTCCCTCCGTTTGCCGCTCGGCTATACAATAGTCGAGGTCGCAGTGGCCATTTTGGCCTTTTTTGGTAATTTATTGGCGATAATTGTTTTCATTCAAGATCGTCGACTTCGTAAGGTCACTAATTTTTACATTGTTAGTCTTTCCCTTGCCGATCTACTTGTCGGCCTTGTCGGTGTTCCCTCGGCCATTTCAACGCGAATTGGACTTCCTCGAGATGCGTTCACCGGGTGTCTCACAATGTTGTCCCTTCTCGTGGTACTTTGTACCATCTCGATACTCAATCTGGTCGCTGTGTCACTCGATCGACTCTGGGCCATTTTATATCCGCTTAATTATCACTCGCGAATGTCAAGTGAGTCAATTAATCACAATTCTAATGATCACTGATTAAATATTGATCTTTAAATCATATTTTTCATGAAAATTTCCTCAGAATTGTAACTTTTTAATTGTTACAATTGTTAACTTTAATTCAGTGATTGGTTTTTTCTCACTTTCATTTTGTTAATAGGTTGTTTATTTTTCCAATGAAATTTTCTATCATGATAGTTAATTAACGTAAACGATTTTGCTCAAAATTTTTCAAGCAATTAAAGTTATATAAGATAATCATCAACAATAATATCACAGTTAATTGGATTAGCTTTAAGATAAACACAATTCAAAGTAATTAAAGTCAAACCATAAATTGGAATAACAAAAAAAATTGATTTTGATTCTTTAAAATTTGATTGATTAACAATTACAAATTTAATCTGATTGTCTCATTTAATCATCTAATCAAAGTGACAATGTGATTAATTATCATCAGTGTTAATTATTTATTGACAATCAAATGGTAATTGTAAACAAAATAAAACCTTGAAAAACAGAAACAAATCTAAAATTTAGTTAATTGTTGATGAGTATTTATTGATTAACAATCTTCATGCTAATAACCTAAATTTGATTAAAATAGTAAAACAATAACAACTAATTTAAATTGATTGCAACTCAATCCAACCAATAATTAACCAGCTCCATGAGATTAAATCAGAATAACCCAACAACAATTAAGGTATTACTAATATGATTACCAATAGAATCAATTGATTACACTCACCAATAGTTTAACCTTTAAACCCAAAATAAGTTAATTTGATTAGATTGTGATAATATTATCCCATAGTAATTAATTAAATCATTGGACTTAACAATCATACAGAAAATAAATCCACTAAATTAGGTTAAAGTAACAACAACAAAGCCACAAGTCAAAACTCAATAACAATTAAATGCGAGAAAAACTATTAATGATAAAATATAACAACAATCAACCAAATAACGATTAAAACTAATTCAACAATTAACTGTTGAGATGATTTTGATTGTGACGAAAAAAAAAGTTCTAATTTTAATTAAAGGAAAAGTTGACCAGTCGATTTATCAATCGATTTCCAAATTTGTTTGATTACTTTTTCCTCTTCGAAAGTTTTTGCTTCTCACTAATTCTAATTCTAATCGTTAATTGTTACAGGCTCAGCGGCGAGAATAATTATAATTACCTGTTGGATTATCGGTGCACTGGTCGGGTTTTTGCCGCTTTTCGGCTGGAATAATGGACCTAATCGGTCGCACGAATGTTTCTTTCTCTCGATTATGGATTACGATTTTCTCGTCTTCTTATTTTTTGCTACGATTGTTTTTCCAGCGTTAATTATGTTTTTTGCTTACCTGAGGATCTACCTGGTGGTGGTAATTATTGTCTATTATCAATACAATTATTTAGAAACAAACAAAATTAACTAATTAACTTGATGAAATATGTAACGACAGTCAAGCTAACTGAATGTTGAAATCAATCATTAAAACTCATTTGATTGGCTTATACTTCATCAAATTAATTGATTTGTTATCATAATGATATAATCTCATGTTGTTTTGTTAATCATCATCTTAATCATTCATCTTGGTATCCATTATTATTATTACAATCAAGAGCTTGAAACCAATTAGTTGGTTAATATTGATTGTTGCTGGTCAGTTTGATTATGTCCAACTGGGAATTGATTTGATTCTGATATTAGAAACCAATTTAATGGATATATGATAATCTATTATTCAGACAATTATCCTATTGAATTAATTTGATTCATGAAAATTTTATCTCAGGAAACTGAATTAATTTTCATCAATATATCACATCAAAAGCTTTAGGTATGTTTAATTCAATGATATATCATGATAATCTAATAATAATTAGAGGTTAAATTTGATTCTGATTCATAATCAACTGATGATTTTTGATTATTATATTAGTTTGCAATTTAATTTAGTTTGTACTTTTTTAATTTTCACCACAGATTTAAAGTTAATCCAGTTAATCCAAATACAAATTGTTTCTCAGGCAAAAATAGTCACAATGATTGTTGATCATCTTGATTGTTTCAATTTAACAAATTGTCTCAATTGATACACATAATCAAGCCTTACCGATGATTATCATCTACAGACTTAATTGTAACAATCAAAATAAGTAAAAACCAACAACAATATAATCCAAATGATTTGGATAAAAATTGATTAACTTCCAACAGTTTTATGATTGTAACTTGATCATCATCATAATGATAGTGATAAAAACCTTGATTACTAAAGCAGCTTAATGATTGAAAACAATTACTTTAACTTAATCACCAATAGTAATCAAGTTAATAACAATTTGATCCTAAATTTTGATCGTAACAAAATTAACTAGCCAAGAGTGAAAAGTTAACGGTAAATAATTATTATCCATTAATGATTAATTTAATTGTTATCACTATGGTAAAAACTATTCTCTATAATAATCTTGATAATAAGGTCACGTTACAATTAAGTTAATTTTTATCTCCATTAAATTGATTGTGATAACAAATTATCATTGATTCAACAATTTGATAATCAAACAATTCCAAGTAAATGTCAACAATAATAATTTCGGGAAGAAAAATTTTTCCACTCATTGTGAAAGTTTCCTTTTGATTTATAATTTATTAATATTGGAACATGATTACAATTAATTAACAGGATATTGATTTAGTAAATTGTCCACTACGATTGTTAACTGGACACAAACAATAATTTAATTCCAATGGTAACAACATATTATTAGTTAAACCCACACACACACAAACAATTTGTTGATTGTTATGATATAATTATTATTATATTGTCAGTTACAGTTACTTTTTTGTTGATAACTATAACTTAAAGTGTCACAGTTAATAACAATTTATTAATCATTCATGATGATCATCATCATGTTGTCTCAATTTCATGATAATATTAAAATTCAGTTGGAAATTTGATTCATATGGAAACAAAAGTAATTCTGTCTCAATTCATATTCTCAACATTTATCTGATATCATGATAATAAGAATCCATTACTATCATGAACTTATCATGATTTTAGATGAGATTTCAAATGGATTATATAAGAATCAGAACTTTTGTCTTTCCAATTCTGAGAATTGAAAATTTCAACTCAATTTTTTCATGATAAATGTGAATTTTTTTTCTCATCCAATTTCATCTTGTTCATTTTTCTTGTCATCATGAATTCAATTCCTGGATTGTGAATAAATATTGAGATTTAAATAATTTGCTTGACAAGAATTACTTGAAACTCAACTGGTTACAATTGGGACTTTGATTATTATCATAACTGGGAATTGATTGTTAATCTTTATCAGACAGAATCAACAACTTTAATCATGTTACCCTGTTGATCAGTTATTGATAATATTAAGTAATAATAATCTTGATGATCAAGGTCAGAATGATATGTCATTCAAGTTATTATTTTGATTCTCAAGATTAACTTAATTTTGTTCATTTACTTTATTATTATATTATATTGATACAATTTACTGATGACTTTATATTATTAAATTGCTCAAGATAACTAATCAAGATGTTTGATGGGTTCAATTAAATTGTGAAAGGAAAATAGTTGATAATAATTCACCAAATCAATCAAATTGAAAGCAATTTATTAATCAACTTGACAATATACAATATTGTTAAATTAACATGAGACTGATGGTCAAGCAATTTAATAATTTATCAAAAGTTAATTATCATTGATATAATACATATTGTACAATTTAATAGTCTAACAAGTGATTAAAATGATTAACATTTGATTAACTTACCACAGACATGAACAATTATTGATTATGATGATTTAATACTGAATTTAATTTGTTTTTTAATTTAATTTAGATTCGCACTTCAACCTTGTTTGATAAAAATGGTTCAAAAAGATCAGGGAACAATTTAATTAAACAGAATAACAATAATAATAATTATCCTCACAATTGTGGATCAACATCATCTTCATTATCTGGTAAATTATATCATCATTATCATCATCATGCTAATCAAAATTATCATCGACAATATCTCAACAATCAATCAGCATCATCTTCATCCTCATCACCACCACAATCAACATCAACAACAACAACAACAATAACCAATGATTCAATTAAAACAACAATTAAATCAAGTTCCTGTCGTAGTTGTGAAAATTGTTTAATCATGATGAGATTATCATCAAAATGTTCAGATAAATCATCACCACAATCAACAATTAACGGATCAATTGAATCATATGATCAAAGGAGATTAACATCAACAAGTTACCACCGGAGGGAAGTTAAAAAGGCCAGAAAATTAGCAATTATCGTTATATTTTTCATGCTCTGTTGGATTCCCTTGTATTTGAATAATACCCTGGAGGCATTTTTCAGCCTTCGACAGCCCGATTGGCTGGTGGACACTTTCATTGTCCTCTCTCACCTTAATTCCGCTGTTAATCCACTTCTATATGCTTATCATATGAAAGATTTTCGGGAATCAATGAAACTTTTATTGTGTCGGTGTATTTTCAAACCAACGGGACTACGTGATCATCACCGACGACAAGAGTTAATTACCGTTAGTGGTAAACAATCAGCGTCACAATTACAACAGTACAACAATCAACTAACTCATAATCAGCAACAAGCATCATCTCAAGTTAAACAATCAACCGATTATCATCAAACTACCAATGCATCAACATCTAAACAATTTGATCAAAGGCAACAATTAACTGGCCACAATTTATGGACCCAATCAACTAATACTCCAAACACTTCACCGGAACATGAAATGATTAACAATTTAAACAGTATTAATAATATTGAAATCAACAGTGATAGATATTAATTGTTGATTAACTATCGAAATTTTTTTCCAAAAGTCTCATTCAACTTAAATTGTTTCTAATTTACGCTTTTTTTTGCTCGATTTTGTTTATCGTTTATAATTTTTTTCCCATTAATTGTCTTAAATTATTGGTAATTTGAATAAATTTTTCTTTTTGTTTAGTAAATTTAATCAATCTTGATTGGTTCCAATGTTATTGTTTCTTTTGATTTGTAATTGTTTTTATGTATATCGGGAAAGTGGTTAATTTAAATGATGAACATGCTGATTTACAAAATGATTAGGAGAGAGGCAAATGACAATATAAGTGATTAATAGAAACTTATTTTATATTTTACATCGTTGGAGTTGATCAGTTAATCCATTAGATTGATCCAGTTTAATCCAGGCCTTTGATTGGTATGTTGAAATAATGAATTTTGAATATATAAATGTAAATAATTGTTAGGTTAAATTGTTTGTTCCGTTGTGATTTAAAGTCTTTCTTGAATAAATTTATGAGCAAGAGCTTCGTTAACGGTCAATCGTCTTGATGGATCTAAAGTTAAGATATTCTCAAGTAGATCTTTTAATTGGAGTACTTTTCGCTTCTCCTCTTCTCGAAGTACTTGGTCTGCGATCAGCTCTTTTTGTAGATCACGATTCGGTATAATGTGACTCATAACAACGACTTTTTCTTTTTCGGTTACTTTATCTATCTCTCGGTATAAAAAATTATTATTCGAATCGAAATGTTGAGATCGAAATGCTCCTTTACGAATCATTTTGTTGGAAAGTTTACCTTTCAAATCCATAAAATATTTGAGCATTTGATTGTTACATTTACCTGGAAACATAATCTTCCCAGTATAAAGTTCATAAAGTGTTACTCCAACTGACCACATATCGATATTGTAATCATATGATAAACCTAAAACTAAATGAGACAAACAAATAAAAAATTAGAAATTAAGTTTATTATCATCCTTATTGAATCAATTTAAATCACTTACCAATTTCTGGAGCTCGATAAAAACGGGAAACTAAATAAGGTGTAATATCATTTTCTGAGATCAATGATGATGAACCAAAATCACAAAGTTTAAGGACAAGTTTACTCTCGTTTACCTGGGAAAATAATTGAAATGGAAAAGTTTATTAGTTGATTAAATTGTCGAAAGGTTTAATTAACTTACCAGAATATTATCGGGTTTGATATCTGCGTGTAATATGTTACATTTTTTTAGTAATTTGAGGGCCAGAAGAAGTTGCTGAGCGTACGATCGAACGGCTTTTATGTGAAGTCCAACATCTTTACCATATTTTTTCAAAACTTCCCGTAAATTCATTGAAAGAGGTTCAAAAACGAGGCAAAGGTGACATTTATGATCAAAAGAGCGATAAAGTCGAAGACAGTGAAATTTATCATCAGGATCAGCGTCATTTAATTTTTTCAACATTGTTAACTCTTTAAGTCCTGTTTTATTCATTACCTCGTTGTTTCGTATTATTTTAATGGCCACTTCTTGTGATCCCTTGAAACTGTCACGGGCTCGAACTACATTAGAAAACATCCCTTGTCCAGTGTAACCAAAAACTGAATATCTCATGTCCAAAATTTCACCAATTCTTACACGATAATAGCCTTCAGAATCATCCCAGTTATCATTTAAAGATGGATTCTCGTGACCATGATCGGCAGAGATTTGATAGAAATTTTGTTTTTCCGGTAAAGGATCTTTAGTGGCCAAGGCTTCACTGTTGTCGTCGTCATCGGCAAACATATCTAATACTGGCTTTTTAACCATCTTATTGTGAGGCTCTAAATCTGTGTCTGGCATTGGTTCTAGTGGAGAAAAATTGAGAAAAGATTGATTAGTCGAAAATATTATTCTATAAGAAAGAAAAAAATTTCAATTACCTTCGGTTGATTTGATCTTTTCAACTGCAAACTGTGAATCATCTTCACTACGAGACTCCTCTTTTTCTGGGGCTCCTCCGAATTTCTTCATTATTTCCTTACGCTGTTGTCTTATCCTTTCAATTTCACGATCTTCATCACTCTCATCAATATCATTTAAAGAAATGTCATAATCTTTGCTTTTATGTTCCTCCTTGTGGTCACTTTTATGGCGCCTTTTAGACTTAACTCGTTCCGAATCTGATCTATCACTAGATCTTTTCTTTCTACTACTACTACTACTGCTTCCACTACTACTAGTGGTACGTCGACTTAGATCCTTTTCTGATGATTTACGGTGATGATGATGATGATACTGAAATAATATAATGAAAGAAACAAAAGAAATAATTAGGAACAACAAATAAAAATATAGAAAGAAAATAAAATAAAATAGAAAAGAAAATGAAAGCAAAACAAAACAAGAGAAAAACAATCAACCAAAAATCAGAACAATTATTTACTTATTACTCGTTATTAATCATAATAGAAATCAATTGCTACTCACCATTTCTATTTCATTAACAATCAAACCAACTAATTGACTAAATGACTAAAACAAAAACAATTAACAATTAGAAATATTAATCAACATGAAAATTAATAAACAAAATTAAGTTCAAACATTGAAACATTTTCAGTTTCATTTTCAGCTGAGATCCAATTATCTGAATCGAGATTCGATTCCTTACAAATTCAGATATCTGATCTTCGATCAATATCAATTTTATTTTAATCGTATTCACTTTTAGATTATTGAATTGGTCTATTTGGATATGAGAAGGTTAACTCAATTATATTGGAAGAAAGTTAATTGGAATAGTTTTAATCAATTGGAACTTTAATTTGCTCGATTAATTTGAAGATCTGATATCGGGACTTTTTGTTGGAATTTTTGATTATTCGAGCGCGAAAAAGTAACGACATCTATTGGAGAGAAAAAGGTTTAAACGTTTGGTTTTTGATTGAAATTAAATTAAATTTTCAAATTAAAGTTGATAATTTAAATGAACAATAAACTTTATTTAGCTTAACTTTCCTGGGCTAAGTGATTTTGATATTGGATCAATTTATAGTTTTTCAACATATAATACAGATAAATTCCATTGTATTCAAGTTGTATTAGATTTTCTTTTTTTACAACTGTTGATATGTTTGTTGGTAATTAGGTTCATTGTTTTCATTTGCTGGTTGTATCTTTTCGAGTTGCATCTTGTAACAAATTGGTGTCAATCTCATCAGCAGGTAAATGTACATAACGAACAACTGAACCACGAATGAAACAATTGGTAACACTAAGCATATATGGATATTTACTGTCATCTTGAACTGTGATATCGGTCAATTTAAAGTTGAGATATTGGTCAACAGACTGAAGTGTCCCGCAAATGTTAAGGTCATTTTTTAATTCAACGACAACATCCTTACCAATGAGACTTTTAAAAAATGAAAAGAATAACATGTTGAACAATTTAAAGTAAATCAGTTGATTGTCAAGAAATTAAAGAGCAAAGAAATTGATATGATTCTTAAATCAAAATATTCTTTTTTCAAAAAAGAGAAAAATTCCAAAAGTGGGCGTGACTCAAATTTCCAAGAGAAAAGCGCGAATTTCAAATTGAAAAGAAATTTTAGTTTTTTTATTATCCAACAAAATAGAAGCAAAAGTTTCGACTTTTCAAATCAAGATGTTAATTTAATTTCTTCTCTCGAATTTTTCTTTTCCATTTCATTTAATAATAGAGCATAGATGAAACGATTTGAATAATTGAACATTTAATTGTTGAAACTCCGAAATCTCAACTCCAAAGACTTTGATTTCGTTAGTGGAACTGAGTAAATTCACTTAACATAAATAATTAAGATTCAACAATTTAATCCATTCGTGTCTGTGACTTTCCATTTTCCCGTTATTCCTAAAAAGATCAATTTTTTTTACTCCCTTGTAGTATCAGAATGTTGGTCTATCAATTATTGTGAGTAATATGAAATGTAATAATGAAGACTAATTAATCGTTACAATCAAAAGTAAGTAACGGTCGACAAGAGAGATAATTTTGAGCATCAAAAATTACAACAGAGGCTAATTAATGACTTCCGAATCCATCTATTTGTAAGAATTTGCAATAACATTATGATAGCCCACTACTGTTAAAGCAACTTAACTAATTCAATTAATCTTACCAACTAGAAAGATATTAACAACTGGATTAAGAGGTTAAAGAAACATTAATACCTTGACTAAGATCAATAGCAATTGAAATGACGATTTCAATGTCTGATCGTTGACACCATCACGATCATTTCAACAACGATACCTTTTCATTGAGATAATAAACTTTTCTCACTCAATGAAAGAGTATCAATGACGAGCAATCAGCTCCTTAGTAATTACCAGCGACTTTGTGATCAATGATCAATGAGTTAGCGAAAGAAATTTTTTCCTCTAATCAACGAATTACCAGCAATCGAGTGAACTCACGGACAAAATGACCTCAAACACCAATAGAAATGAAATGATAAATGAACCGTTCATCTCGAAATAAATGTAAGTTCAACTGTTCTTCAAGTTTTGATTTTCCTTTTTCTGGTTTTCCTTTTCTCTTTCTCATCATATGTTTACTCATTTCCACTCTCTCTCTCTCTCCTTTATTGTTTTCTTTTTGTTTCTTGCCTCAACAACTAATTCCAATTAGGATGAATTATATAAATTCAACGATTGATTGTTCATTTAATTGAACCATTTAATTATCTAGATTCTATTTATTTCCATTCAAGAGTGAAAACAAACAGTTCTTTCAATATCTTCCCAGGTGTATGTTGTTATTTAGTCTTGGATATTGACAACAAAGTCAATTTATCTCTTTGTGTCTCTCCCTTTCTCTTTCATCTTCTTTTACCTGTATAATTTGATTTACCATTTCCATCTTTAATCAGTGTAAATTGTCGTGTAATTTAAGTGAATATAATTGAATTTAATCTTCTAAAATGACTCCTCCATCAAACGTTAAACCGGGAAAGAAAAGAGATCTGAAGGAGAAAATAGTTCAAATCTATGAGAATCTATTGAGAATTCAATCCATCAACAGTTGCGATCTTGTAAACAATGAGGCCTATTGGAATGAATTTTACCTTCTACGATCTAATCCTAAGGCTTTGGTTGATTTACTGACTGAATTAAATTACGATGAGCTGGTTGAGTCTGGCAATCTGATTAACCTTCTATTCACCCAATCTGCCATTACCCTAAATTGTGATAATAATATAAAAATTACCAATTCTCTGGTTACTCTGTTAACCTTATCGAGGACCATTTTTGGATCAACAAAGGTTAAGGTTGAAAATCAATTGGATATATTGATTGGTAAAAATGATCTAAACCTTAAAGTGGACCTGTTAACATCTAAATTGTATGATTTTCTTGTGGCGGACAATCCAGTTTCCTTTAAATCACTTGTCATCAAATTGTATTTAACCTTTTTAACGGGCTACGATGATATAAACGCCAACCCTTTTGCTGAGCATTTGATGTCCGATGAACTTTTCGATGCCTTCATTTCAATTTTTGTCTCTCCAATAGCCCGACAAGCTTATGGTTACCAAGCATTACTAATCATCACAATCTTAATCAACCATAGGAAAAACAAGGTAACCATTAGATGTGATAAAGTCTTTGAATCTTGTGTATTAATACTTGCTAATTGTTTGTTTTCTCTTCATTTACTTTTAATTAGGTTATTAATCCATTTACTGTTCGATTGTCGATACTTGACAATGAAGTGGTTCACAATGGATTCGCTCAAGTTATCTCACATTCTTTCATTGAATTTATAAAAAAATTCTACGATAAAAAGGAAGAAACAACCAACACTGGCCTTCTATCTAGTATAACCTCCATGGTGGGTAATATGTTTGCCCCGGAGGAAGAATCGATTGACTTGATTGGCCTCGATCCAGATGATGGTATTCTAATGGCCTTTTATGGAATTGTACATTTAAATCGTAACTTTATCTCACAATTAGCTAACATATCAGCTGAAAATCATGGTAATAAATCAGGACCATCAACAAACACCATTGGAAATGATAATATGACAAGTGACTTAAATTTACCTTCCAATTTATTAGTAATTTTCTTTGAATTTTGTTCAATTGTAATGTTACAAACAAAAGGTAATTCCATGTTGTTAATCAAGAGCAACAATTACCTTAATCTCATTTTACAACTCTAAAAATGATCAAATTAACTTTTAATTGTTTCTCTCCTTATAGACGAGGAAAACTTTGATACTTCTCGTTTGTGTTTCGTCATTTTAACTTGTATTTCAGAGGATCAATGTGCCAACGCAATTATGCATGACCTAAATATCGTTCATGCTGTTAATCTCCATAGACTGGTAAATTGTCATTAATTTAGTTCCTCTTTTACTTTTTGTACGATCAATAGTATTTAACTAATTGTTGAAATTTTCTCTTCTCTTTTTATAGCCAATGCGACATCGTAAAGTTGTTGATGAAGGAAACAAATCATCTCGACCTTTAGCTTATTCAGTGATGGATTTGATGGTTGAATTTATCTCAACTCACCTTAGGAAAAATTTCCTCTGTGAATTATATACACTCTGTATTGGTGTAATTCATAGGCTTTTATGTTACCAGAAAAAGAGTAAAGTCCGATTCAATTACACTTGGCGAAATCTCTGGAATTCTTTGATTAATCTTCTTAAATTTTTGGTTAATCATGAAGCTGATTTAGTCAAAAAATGCAGTATTTTACTTTTAGCAAATCAAATTGTCAACATTTTCAATCTTTTCATCACCTTTGGAGATACTTTTCTTCCCTCACTACAATCATATGATGATTTACATTATGAAATCATAAGAATGCATAAAGTTTTTGATAATTTATATTCTATCGGTGAGTTAATTGTTTATTTAATTGTTGTTGAAAGTATAGTATATATTATTGAAATTGCCTCTAATCAGATTGATTTTTCACTTTACTACATTGTTACAGCTCTCAGGTATTCATCAATGGACGGATCACCATGTAAAGATCATGCAACTCGTCTGGCGAGTTCACTAATTAATGTAAAATCGATAATTGGCCATTTTAACGGCAAAATCGAAGCTTGGTCAGTGACCAATCAAATTTCCTCTTTGACCGAAGATCAAGTTCTAGATGTAGTTCGAAATAATTACGACTCGTTGACGTTAATCTTACAAGACGGACTCGATCAATATGAAAATTATTCACCTGACAAGATTCATGAGATCGCCTTTTTCAATCAAATGATTAAGAAAGTAATCATTAACTCTCGATCTAATCAATTAGATTTCACTCAACAAGATCAACAAACTTTAATGCAAGACATACTTACTCTTAATTTATGACAATCGATGGCGCATTAATAACAAGTGAAGATTAACTTGCAAGTTTCCTTTATTCAATTTGTTTAGGTGAACAATAAAAACCTTTTCTCATGAAACAAGAGCTTCAACAACAATTTAATTTAAATCTGTCAAATCAAGTTCCACGATGCCAATAGAAATTTGTCAAAATAAAACGAAAAAAGGACACGTCAGCCCTAAAATCGACCTCCGTCAAAATCGCTCGTCTTTTTAAAAGTTGTAAAACCGTCTGGTTAGGCCAATCAATCGGTTCAATCGGTGATCGAATTGTGGCTATTTTTCGGTCATAACACGTAAACTAAACAGAATTTCATTATTTTTCGATCTTAGGTTATGGACTTGAGGCCATTTTCCTTTCAAAAAGTTCTTATTTTGTCAAGAATTTATTTCAGTGGACCAAACTGACCCTCAGACACACAGTTATGTAGTTCTATCGCTGGACTCGAGCTTTTTTCGATACCATTTTTGTATGTGCTACAGCGGGTGACCTGTAATATCAGCAGTTGCTGTTAATTAATAAAATCCTAACCTCTGACACTTCCAATTAGGTCAACTTCAGGTCTATGAGACTTTTAATTATTCAAAAAAGAATCATTTTAATATGGACTAACGGTCTGTACTTGAGTCACTCGAGTCGAGTGACATTTTTCACAACCAACAGGAAAAGTCATAAATTAGTTAAATCGTAACAATTGTGAGAAAAATTAACGTTAATTGTTTCAAATTGAGAAGCGTTTGATTATCTTAATCATTCCTGGAAAGTAGCGGGAACATGAAAATGAGTTTTCTGAAAATCAGTTGATTTAAATACTAATTTATTTTGTTGAGTTGATTGATTTTTACTCCAATTCTATAAATAATATTAAATAATATTATCTCTTTATATTAATAATATGTTGTTAACGGTTAATATTTAACGTTACAGTTAATTTAGTTTGTAATGACGATGGTAATTGTGATGTTAATTGATTAGGTGGTAACTGTTTAAGGGGAACAATTTATTTAAATAGCAGCAAATCAATATAATTCAAGATTATTTGATTATTTGAAAATAATTTAATACAAATTAAAACAGTGACAAAAGGTGAACATTGAACAATACAAATATAATTAACTAATTCTTTGAGTTCGGGAAATGTGACAAAACAACTTTCGACAATTAGAAAGTTTAATCACAATTAAAATGGATTTGATTTTTTTTCTTCCTTATGATTGTTTAATGTTTGCAGTTCAAATCAAGGTGTTGATTTAATTTCTTCTCATCGATTTTTCTCAATCAAATTTAGTTGATTTCTCTTAATTCAGTTCAAAAGTTGAATCGAGTTAATCAAAGTAATTACATTTGACAATGAAAAGTTAATCACAATTAAAAGTCCATTGGATTAATGATTCCAATTTTTTTGTTATGTTCCAACAATTCAATGGTGAGATAAACTTTAATTTAAATGAAAAATTTACTCAACAATTAACTGATAGACATCAAATTGCCCGTGACTTACTTTAATCAACATTTGATGATCAAGCAAAAATCAAATAGTTTCAATGATTAAACAATATAATTAATTGTTCAATTTTCCCTAATCTCTGCTCCATAGATATTTTGATTAATATGATTTATTTTACTAACTAATTAACTAAATTAATTGACTGTAATTATTAGTATCAAATTGCTACTTTATTAATTATCGCTCCAAATATATTGATTCATTGTTTTATTAATCAAACTAAACCAGGACAATTTAATTGAAATTAATCAGTATTTTCAAGGACGTTTATTAATAGTTTAGTTATTAGTTTGTCTAATCTAGTTAATTAAATTGTGATCTATGTTAATTAAAGCTCTCTCACTCTCTCACTCTCTCTTTCTCACTCTGGAAATTAAATAAATTTAAATGAATTTGTGTCAAGTGACCACAATTGGGAGTTGATCATCATAATTGATGATCAACAAATTTGGTGATCATCAAATCAAATCATCATCACCAAAATGATTGCAATTAGTTTAATTATTTGGAAAGTGCTCATATTAAGTGTAATTGGATCACCATTAGTGCCTAAAAAAACAATTACAATTGCTCGTCAACAATCAAGTCCAGAGCCCGGAACATTAGTTTATTGTAATTCGCCTGTTTGTTATTCTGACCACGAACAAAATGACCTTGGATGTTTTGAACCTTGGCCATTGTCCATTTATGAAGGTCTTAATTTGTACTCTCTGTGTCCTCAAAGTGCGTCAAATATTTCACCAGAATTTTTAGTCTACACGGTTGACCAGCCAGAGAATCCGATCAGACTGACCACTAAGAATGTCCAAAGTTTTGATGCAATTCAGTCAACTGATCAGATCGTTTTCTTTATTCATGGTATAAAAATACTTACAATGATTCGAGATTCATTTCATTGAAAGATGAACTATTGACCGTGTCTCAAGTGGTCATTATGGTCGATTATGAGATCGGTGCCGACCCTGGGATCGTCTCTAGAGTCACTGATTTTTATAATTTCCATCAAGCAGCAGCCAATACACAGGTAGTCGGTCGACAAGTAGCACTCATGATCCAAAAGCTTAAATTAATACGAAACATTAATTATAATAACGTCCATTTGATTGGCTTCAGTCTCGGAAGTTTGGTCTGTCACTTTACGGGCGCTTATGCTTTCAGTAAATTGGGCTTCAAATAGGTCGGATAACGGGTAAGTCTGTTACTTGTCGATTCAAATGCATTCATCTATTCACTTATTCAGATTAATCTTCTCGATTTACTCTGTAACAGGTTTGGATCCACCCGGAATATTGATTTTTGGACCTGGAAAACGCATTGACCCTTCGGACGCAGATTTTGTTGACGTCATTCATACAACCACATTCAATGCATTCTGGGACTTGAACAAAGCGAGTTCTGGTAAAGTCGGAACTACTTTATCGTTGGGTCATGTTGACTTTTACCCAAATGGAGGAGGTGAGAGTGACATCGATCAACCAGGTTGCAATGGAATCGATTGGTGTTCTCATGCGTTTTCCATCCAATTGTTAAAAGCTTCAATTCGAAGGTGCAATTTCCATGCGACATCTTGTACTTCCTATCAAACATTTTCCAACGGACTTTGTAAAGGAAAAGTATCAGATTCTCAATTAGGATATTGGTCTTATAAACTTGCAGGTCGAGGTCGATACTATTTAGAAACATCTAGAGATCCAATGACATCGTGTTGATCTTATTAAAGATCAATAATAGACTAATTTTATTTTCAATTTTTATGATAAAAATGATCAGTTGATCGTTATCAGGAAAGTTCTTATTTCTAGTTAATTGTAACTACAAAGATATTTAGATTTAATTGAGTTTCCAGTTATTTTTTTACGAAATCAATCCAATTTGACCCTTTATCATTGCTATTAATACATTGATTACAGTGTTTCCCGATTGAAGAAACCAAAACGATTTTAAATTGTGATTTATCAATTGATCTCGAGTCGACATTGCATTTAAATCAAATTTATAAGGACGATGAATGTGTAACTTCATTTTTAGACCAATTTTTGATTAAGGTCCTGAATCTCAATCAATTGGTCACAATTGACATCCAAGTAAAACTATTGAGGTTTCTTCAATCGGGAAACAATTTAATAATGTTTAATTAATTAAATTCTTAGGCCTGTATTCCCCAAGCGCAATCAAAAACTGTGATCAACTGATTCTGAGTTTAGACTAAAAGTTTTGTTCACAAAGTTGATTAAATTTAGTTGATTCCGGAGCACTGATTTCGGATTCAAATCATAATTTAATTGGGAAATTGTCGATAAAAACTCGTATTTGATTGATTAATCCTTTCAATAAATTATTCATATTTATCTATTTCATTGTAAATGTCAACTACTTTATGATGATGAGATGAATGATAATTCAACAATTAACTGATGAACATCGAATGGTCATAGAATTACTTTTATCTTCATGCAGTCAAGAGAAATAAATTAGTTTCTACGATTAAACAATAGAATTAATTGTTCAGTTTTCTCTAATCTCTGCTGTATAGATATTTTGATTAACATGATTTATTTCAGTGCAATCAACGATTATTTATTGTAGATACGATATCGGTTAGTCTAATCAAGTCTCATTCATTGTACTATCATATTATAATAATAAATTTAAATAGTTTCGTGTCAATTGATCAGCAAATTTGATGAGGATCATCATCACCAAAATGATTACAATTAGTTTATTTATTTGTAAAGTGCTCATATTAAGTGTAATTGGATCACCATTAGTGCCTAGAACTAGTGCTTAGAACATTAGTTTATTGTAATTCGCCTGTTTGTTATTCTGACCACGAACAAAATGACCTTGGATGTTTTGAACCGTGGCCATTGTCCATTTATGAAGGACTTAATTTGTACTCTCTGTGTCCTCAAAGTGCGTCGAATATTTCACCAGAATTTTTAGTCTACACGGTTGACCAGCCAGAGAATCCGATCAGACTGACCACTAAGAATGTCCAAAGTTTTGATGCAATTCAGTCAACTGATCAGATCGTTTTCTTTATCCATGGCTATAAAAATACTTACAATGATTCGAGATTCATTTCATTGAAAGATGAACTATTGACCGTGTCTCAAGTGGTCATTATGGTCGATTATGAGATCGGTGCCGACCCTGGGATCGTCTCTAGAGTCACTGATTTTTATAATTTCCATCAAGCAGCAGCCAATACACAGGTAGTCGGTCGACAAGTAGCACTCATGATCCAAAAGCTTAAATTAATACGAAACATTAATTATAATAACGTCCATTTGATTGGATATAGTCTGGGCTGTTCGACTTGTCACTTTACAGGTGCTTATGCTTTCAGTAAATTGGGCTTCCAAATAGGTCGGATAACGGGTAAGTCTGTTAACTGTCAATTCATATGAGTTCATTTTATTAACAATCTCGATTAACTTTGTAAAAGCTTTGGATCCAGCGGGAATGTTGATTTTCGGACCTGGAAAACGCATTGAACCTTCAGACGCCATTTTTGTTGATGTCATTCATACCACTTCATTCAATTTGTTCAGGTACATTTTTGCGAGTTCTGGTAAAGTTGGAACTAGTTTGTCTTTGGGTCATGTGGACTTCTATCCGAATGGTGGAGGCGAGAATGGAATCGATCAACCAGGTTGTGATGGAATCAAATACTGTTCTCATTACTATTCGATGCAACTATTCAAAGCTTCGATTCGAAGGTGTGATTTCAATGCGACATCTTGTACTTCATATCAGTCATTTTCCGACGGACTTTGTAAGGAAAAATCATCAGATTCTCAATTAGGATATTGGTCTTATAAACTTACGGGTCGAGGTCGATACTATTTGGAAACATCTAGAGATCCAATGAAATCGTGTTGATCTTATTAAAGATCAATTGGTGGACCAATACAATGTGTAATAAACTTATTTTATTTTCAATTTTTGTTGATAAAAATAAATTGTTGAGTCCCAAATGACTCAATGAAAATGGCAATACAATCATAATAATATACAGACGATAGTTTTGATTTAGTAATATAGTTATTGATATAACAGAGGCAATTATTGTAATAACTTTTCAATCAATCAATTTGTTAGTATTCATTATACAGTGATAATGATGGCTATGGGAAGTGATGAATGTGATGATGAGGATGTTAAACACTTTACAATGATAGGTAACGAAAAGATGAAGACAAAAATTGGAAACATTAACAAAAAAATGATATAACAATTGATTGATCAATTCAAATGGACGACAATTAATCAATTTGGTCTATTAAATTGCTCTGGTCAATTAAGTCTCCTAAACGAGTGGTTGTCTTTCCATCTCACTTGCTTTTAAACTGTTTTTTGACGATATGTTAGTTTTGGGTAACATCTCGATAACAGCTCGATTTAAGTTCATAGCTCTAGATGAGCCATTTGCTTCCCGTTGGGTTACACAGGCAGAGTCTTCGAGACCTTTTTGAACATTTATAAATGACACTTCGGGACCAATTATTGCCGCACCACCGTTAGGACGACGTAATTGCTTGGATTCGTATCGAGACTCGATTTTGGTGAAATCAGGTTTACGATATAATTTGAGTAATAGAGAAGATGTAACAACGGAAACTGATGACGCTGCCATTGCCATTGATCCCATCCAAGGTTTAATTAGTAATCCAAATCCGGAAAAAACTCCAGCAGCCAATGGAATACCAATTAAATTGTAAACACAGGCGAAGAAAAAATTCAAACGGATTCGACGAACGGTTTTTTTAGACAAATCAATTGCAGCTACGACATCAAGTAGATTATTCTGTTATATGAAAGAAATGATCAAAATTAGAAAGCGAGAAACTATTTATATGGATTAAGAGATTAAGGTTTTACCTTGACTAAAACAACATCAGCAGCTTCAACTGCGACATCAGTACCATTGGAAATAGCGATACCAATGTCTGCTTGAGCCAAAGCGGGCGAATCGTTGACACCATCACCAACCATTGCAACAACGAAACCTTTTTGTTGTAACTGTTGAATTTTTTTCACTTTATGAGAGGGTAACACCTCAGCGAAGACTCTTTTTATTCCAGTTTGTTTAGCCACCGATTCAGCCGTTTTAGCGTTATCACCGGTCATCAGGATTACATCTAAGCCCATCAGGTAAAGGGTTTTAACGGCCAGTGAAGCTTCAGCCTTAACATGATCACGAACTGAAATGGTCGCCCAAATGATACCGTTAATCGCGATAAGTACTGCAGTTGAACCGATTTCCTCTTCACAGACCATTTCCCGTTCCATTTCAGGTTTGACTTGTAATCCATTTCGTTCCATCCATTCTCGATTCCCAATTAATAGAGAATAATTATCTTCACTGTCTGATGAGCCTAAATGAGGGACCATTGTTTCAGATGTTGATAGATTTACCAAACTAGATGAACTATGAGCTCCCTTGCCAATCATATCGATGGTGACACCGTTGAGTATAAATGATCTTGCCGAGGGATCGGAAGATGATATTTCACATTTAAGGTCTTGTTTGACACTTTTGGCAATATGAGACACTTTACATGATAATCCAAGACCAGGTAGAGTCACAAATTTATCGATTTTACCCCAACCTGAATTACCTGAGTTCGTATCTTTGACACTTGCATCTAGACCGGTAACCCTCTTAACGTAGGCACAAATTGCATTGGCAATCGGATGTTCAGAATGAGCTTCAGCAGTTCCGATTAGAAGGAGAAGTTTTTTCAAACAATCATGGAGATCGGGTGAGTTTACAGTAACTTTGTGGGTGAATAAATTTTCAATGAAAAGACAAATTTTAGATACACTTGGTACTCCGGCGGTTATTGTACCCGTTTTATCAAATATGATACATTTAACTTTGTGTGCAAGTTCAAGTGGCTCAGCTCCTTTGATTAGGATACCATTGAGAGCACCAACTCCAGTACCAACCATGACAGCGGTGGGTGTTGCTAAGCCAAGAGCACAAGGACAAGCAATAGAAAGCACGGAAAGAGCACATTCAAACGCATAAACATTAATTATCTCATTACGAGTCATGTCACCCTCTTTACCACGATAATTATCAAATATTAATGCAGCTGATTCGGAGAAATGGCCATACAATAGCCAACCACCCAGAGTTACAATCGAAATGGCCAAAATAATCGGAACGAAAAGACCGGCGATTTTATCAGCAAATTGTTGAATTGGAGCTTTTTGTGTTTGTGCCTCTTCAACGAGTCTAACGATCTGAGACAAAGCTGTATCCCGGCCAACATGCGTTGCCGACAATATTAAGGTTCCTTTCTGATTAATCGATCCACCGATAACTGATGATCCAACTGACTTAGAAACAGGCATCGATTCACCTGTAATTAACGATTCATCAGTCATTGAATGTCCATGGACAACACGACCTTTAAAAATTAGAAAGCATGATTATTGTTAGTAAATTAACATTTGACTAATTGTTGTTGCTCAATTTAGTAACTATTCAAATGTCATCAGTTACGGTCACGAATGACAAGGTAATATCATTCAATTGAGTAAATTTGAAGGCTGATAGTTAGCACGGAAAACAATAAATGCTTATTTGTACCTATCAAAGCAACATGTTTGTAGCTTTAACTTAAACAACAGCAACAATTAATAATCTTTGATTAACAACTTGGTTTGCTGTCAAGGCAAATTACACCAAGAAGCAAAAAATTACATCATTCATTGGAGAAACATTAACAGGTAAATGTGAATAAAGGTGACATGTAACAATAAGAAGAGACTTACCATCGACTGGGATTTTGGAACCTGGAACGACCTTAAGATAATCACCACGTTGGACTAATTGAACATCGATAATTTGCTCCGATAGAACTCGAGATTCTTTTAAATCCCATTCTACTAGACAAGCTTCGTTCGGCTGTAAACTCATGAGCTTGGTCAAAGCTTCACTTGTTTTGCCTTTGGCAATGTGTTCCAACCATCGACCCAGAGAGACAAAAATAAGTAGCATAGGTGAGGTTTCAAAAAATGTCTTCGGACTGTGGTCAACATTTCGCATCATAAAAATGATAACAATAATAACCGAATAAAAGTAGGCGATATTAGTGGCTAACATAATGAGAACGTCCATGTTAGCGGTTCGATATTTAATCGCCTTAAATGATTGAATGTAAAAATATCGACCACCAAAAAATTGGCAAGGAGTGACCAGAATGAAGAGAAGGAGATTTTCAAGTGAAAGTCCAGAAATGACACAACACATTGAATGATGTTCGGTCATTTGGGTCATATGGTACATGTAATACATCATCACGGCCATCGAGGGTAGACCAAAGAAAAGGTTAAAGAAAAATGAGGTTCGCCATTTTCGAACCTCTTCTCGTTGATTGAGAAGAGAAACATTCAATGATCCCCAATAATCTTGACATGGCTGTGTGATGTAACCTTGAACTCTAAGTTCCTCTGCGATGTGACGAGGACCAATTAGTTCAGAATCGTAAGTGAATCGGGCTTTTGATGTGTTGGAAAAAAGCGCCACCGATTTAATTCCAATAATGGTTTTAAAATGACTTTCAATTCGTTCTAAATCTTTGGCAGCCATTCCCTTAATTATAAATGAAATCTCATAATCAGATGAGTTTTCATTATAATCTTGATTAACCTCAGTGGGATAACCTAAATCGCAGATATATTCAGCTAAAGCCTCTGGTTTCGTTTTACTTGGGTCATATTTGACTTCGGCTTTACCGGCTAAAAGTGAGACAAGAATACCATCAACACCTAAAAGAGAAATTAATAAGAAAAGATTAGCAAAAAGAATCAACAGTTGAAATGATAAAAGAAAAAGAATTAATCTTAATATTATAAGAGTTAACAACGATTAACAATGATGGAAATGTAATAATTTTATCAATCCATTGATGAAGTTATCGATGTAATTAAGATGATTAGGATAATTGTAATTACCTGGTAACTTATTGACACATTTTTCTATGTGCTTAACACAAGAGGCACATGTCATTCCTTGAATCATAAGGCAACATTTTTTTGGACCATCAAAACCATTGATGTTAATTTGAACACAATTATCCATTGCTAATTAGTTAATGGTTAAAATAAAATAGTAATCTGGTGGTTAATTGATTGGCACAGTAATTGAACTTGAGAGGATAGTAATTGAATCCGTGTGTTTGTAGTTTCGTGTCAGGTTAGATGGATTTTCAATTGTAGTAATTATGTTGATGATAATTTTACAAGAGGTGATGAAGAAGATAATGATGAAAATGATGATGATGATGATGATGATGATGATGAGAGAAAAGAAAAGAAAGAGATATAAGTGAATGGTTTAAGTATATCAGAAATAATTGATGGTGAAAATTAAGCACATATGATGATGTTGAAGGAGAAACAAGAAGGACATAGACTCTGGATATTATGCTAACGATGAAGGGAGAGAATTGGTTACAATTAGAGTAAACAGATTTTAGATAATTAATTAAATGGGTGTTGTGAATTATTAATTAGCACAAACAACAAAAAAAAATGAAATAAAATCACTACGAGTAAACATGTCATGGAAGTTACAATGATACTCAGTATGAAAGGTCAGGGTTCTGATCAGGAAGAGATGATGATGGTAAATGAAGATGAAGATGATGATGTCAATGGAAATAAACACAACATCTAAATGATTGTGGTGGGTGGAAGACGTTAAGATGGATAACCAAGAAGAAGAAGAAGATTATGAAAAAATTGAAAAGAGATTTGAGTTGGTGTGATTATAGATAAACCAATGGTAGATTGATTGTTGAGATTTGAGACACATGAAGTTAATATTGATAAGAGAATAAGATGGAAAGAGACTAATCATTGTTGATTATGTAAAGTTGATTAACATAGAGAATTGATGAAAGAATCAGCAAGTTACTTGTAAGAATCAACAGTTGTCTAATCGCCATTTTTGCTTTCAATGGAAAATGAAAGTGGAAAAGAAAAAGCTTTTAGCTCTTTTACTAACAGAACACAAAAGTAAAATTACTGAACAATAACAGGTTGGATTACTAATTGATAGAAACACTTTGAAGGTAGTTAATTGTTACCTTGATATTGATTTAATTCCAATAATTTGAAGCAACAAATTTTGGCTCTTTCAAGATAAAATGGTAACTGGAAGGTGAGGATTATAATGAGGATGATTAAAGATGAACAAGATATTGGAAAATGGAGGAAGAATCCATCAATCTAGATATGGTAAATTTAGAATTAAATTAAAAAGAATAGAACAAAAAATGATCCTTGAATAGATTTTATAGAGAAAAGAAAATGGAAAAATTCTAAACGTCAAATCTTCTAATCAGCTGATGAATGGTAATTATTTCTATTACAATTTATCAACTGTAAATTTAAGATATTACCTGGTTGGCTGTTAACTCAGAGGCACTTTGGTTGGTAACAATTAACGACAATTGATTATTACCATGTTAACTTTCATCAAATCATTATAATAACCAGAAGTTGTTATATTATGGATGCCGATGGTTTTGATGATGATGGAATAGAATGTAAAACAATCAGGGTAATTATGATGTAGACTGGATAATAAATTTCACCAAAGAGGGAGAATATGATATTACCTGTAATAAATTAATGATTAAGAATAATAAACAATTAAGAAGAAAATAACAAAAAAAGCAAGTAATTAGTAGATTTTTGAAATATTTTCTTCACCACAGTTTAGCTCAATTTTCAGTAAAGTGAAGATTATTTTGTTAAGGATAGACTATACTTACCATGGAAAAGAGGTAAATAATTACTCATACAATTAAAATTAATTACTACAAGTTATGATATGTAATTAAACTGATAAAAATACAAATGATCACATAAATAAATATCTTGATGTTAATAGTTAATGGAAAACATTACAATAGATTTTTGGGTTTTCCCTTTCAATTTCTATGTTTTTGTTAGACTTTAATTTCTAACAATTAAAAAATGTTACCAATCAAGTGTAGAAACTAAATTAAAGTTAAATTAAACAAATTAATTAACGAAACTTTTAATTGTAATCAATTAATGACAAAGAAAAACATTAAAATCCTTTGGTTGAGAAAAAGAAAATGATAAGTGTGATAAATAGAATCAGCTGATTTAGAATATTTTTCAAAGAGAAATTTTTTTTTCTTTTCTCTTTTTTTTCATTTGCAATTGTTTATGATTAGAATTTTTTTCTTTTCTAATGTTTTTTTTACTAATTTAATTAATTCGTGATACAATTGATAGTTTGTGGAATAATTAAAATGGGAGGTTTGTTTGGAAAGCATAAGAAAAACGTTCCTAAAGTAACCGAACAAGACAGAGCTGTTTTGGTGAGTAATCTATTCATTTTCAATTGGAATTTTAATTGTGATTAATTTTCTTTGTCTTTTTAATTGATTTGTCTTTTTCTTTTGCTTATAATTTTAGCAATTAAAGCAACAACGTGATAAAATTAAACAATATCAGAAAAGGATTCAAAGCAGACTTGAAGATGAACGTAATTTGGCTCGTCAATTGCTACAAAATGGACAGAAAGAGTAAGATGAATATAATTAGTTGGCATTGATTTAATTTAATTGTTCTTTTGTCTTTTGTTCTGTTTTTCTTTTCTTTTGGTTTGTTTTATTTTATAGACGAGCTCTTACAATATTGAAGAAGAAGAAATATTTCGAAAATGTCATCGCTAAACAAGATGGACTTCTAGAGACTTTGGAGAAATTAGTTGATGATATTTCATTCGCTCAAATTGAAGTTCAAGTTGTTGAAGGATTAGAACAAGGAAACAAAGCTTTGAAAGAATTGAATAAAATCTTATCGATTGAACGAGTTGAAACAATTCTCGAAGAAACAAGAGAAGGTGTTGAAAAACAAAGGGTAAGTTTGGAAATCATTTATAGCTAAATTTGAATCACAATTAATTTTGGTTTCTATCTACTTTTATTAGGAAATTGATCAAATCATTAGTGGTGCATTTGATGATGAAGATGAAGCTGAACTAATGGAGGAACTTAACCAAATCACCAGAGAGATGGATGAACAGAAAGATCTAAATCTACCCAAGGTTCCTCAAGGTGAACCTATCGGTAAGAATTTCGCTTTCGGCTTGCAATTAAATCATAAAGAATTAGATGAATGAGCTCATTTTCCATTATTTTTATTCCAATAGGTGGAGAAAACAATGAAGACCAAGAAGAGGAAGAAGAATCATCATCGGCTGCAAGAAAAGAATCTAGAAAATCAACAGAGAAAAAGAGAGAAGCTCTTGTAGCCAGTTGATCTAAATCACAATGATTATATTCCAATGTACAATCGTTAAAAGAGAAACCTCAACAAATCAAGTCATCTAATCAAACGGGAACGTTAATCATATAAAGTCAATGAGATTAAAAATATCGTCTTTTTTAATTCGTCATCACAATCAAAGCCAACAAGCCACAAGATTAACATTCTATATGAAACAAACTATTCACTTCAATTACATGATAATTTCTAAATTGATCATGATTATGTCATCAATATGTTTTGTAATTATTTTAATATTTTAAGATGAGAAAAAATCTCGTCAAGTCAAATCAAATCAAATCAAATTTTAAAATCACTTCGATCCAATTGATATCCAATCAAATAACAAAAAGTAACGAAAACAAGACTAACCCTTTCAATCATATAGAATTGAACCAGATGATCAACATTGACAAGCAAAATCAACTTTAATTCAATTTGCAATCCAAGAGAATGAAAAATTCAATCCAATTGATTAGAGAAATTCATTTACACCAAGTGACTTATACTTGAGACATCAACTTCAGAGAATCAATCTGTAAACCAATTAAGCCACTCAACTAATCGCTCAGTTTTTTTTACAGAAATAACGGAAGTTTGTCGAGTTTACATATTGATTAATAACATTTAAAATTGTAATTAATGTTAATTGTTAGTAATCATGTTGATGGAGATGAGGAAGTTGTCAACTGAGTGTAAAGTTTACGTCGATGATTAAGTCCATTTGAGCTCGGATTTTACAAAAAAAGCCAAATCTGAGACCATTAAGAGTTAATTTTAATGTTCGATTCTCGAAAAATTTAAATTTCTATCAATAAATATTTTAATCGTTGCTAAATAATTAACTTCATAATTCACTCACTTGATTTCGTTGCATCGATATTGTTTCAATCCACGACTCGATTTCTATCAAAGTGGAATGGAAGATGAGAAATTCTGATAGCAGTCAACTAATTAGCCAAAATACGAGTTTTATTACATTTAATTTATAAAGAAATCGAAAAGTTAGAAAACAATTAGATTAAAATCAAGAAAAAGAGTAAATAGTTGAAGGAAAATCCACCAGACGGCGCGAAGAAAAAAACGTAAAATTCTTTTGTTGCTTAGCAACTTTAACACAAGAAGATTTTTTTTTGTTTCGTTTTTGTGTGTTGATTGAAAATGTTGTTTTATTTTCACTATTAACTACTTAATAATTAACCATTAATTAAAGTGTTATGTATTATATTGTAATGGTAATTTGATTGGAGAAATGAAAATGACCTCGACAACTATCACCAGCAGCAGTAGTAATAATAGTAGCAGTGGTTCTGGTTTTGTTAATAACAACAATGATGTTGAAAGTAATGGTATTGGTGTTAAAGCAAAGGAAATTGAAACCATTGCCAAATTTTTACAGAATATTAAAAATTCACCCAATCTAATTGGTGGAAATGGTGGACCAAACGAGGATCAATTACGTAAAGATATTGAGATGATAATCAATGTTCTCCAGTGTCCAGTATTTGGTTCTATTGTTACCGTAAAGGAATCTCTGGATAAGCTTAAAAGTGAATTAATTAAACATCCATCGATTCTACCTCTTGATTTTGACATTGTTTCGGAAACTGGACAACTAATTTTAAACATTCCAACCGGCGGTAATCCTAATGGCGGTGCAAGTACAAGTTCAAGTGTTAACGATACTAATGGTGATGGTAAAAGGTTAGTTCCATTTTGAAGAAGAAAAAAATTTATCCCTTTTTTTCGCTCTTCCATCTTATTGATTTTCTATTGATAGTTGAAAAAAACAAAAGAAACAAAGAAAAAGTAAAGAGAAAAGGAAAACAAGAGTAATTAGTCTTCTTTTTTTCGCTTTATCTTCTCTTCACTAAATATGTTCAGCCCAATTTTCTACATTTCATCATCTTCCTCATCTTCCCTTTTATATTCCTACCTTGTCTACTTTTTATCCATCAATTTTTACTATCTAATTACATTATCACCAAGTTAATTTCTCCACCATGAAGTTATCAGCATTATTAACTTGATGAATTATTAGTTCAACCTTTTCTCATCAATTTTATTTGTATATCATTAAATTGCATGTCACAACCATTTATTTCCAATTGGGTTTGGTTGAAACAATGTCAATCATATGAATTATACACGATAAATGACATAGAGAGAGAAAAAGGTGATTCAAGACTTAATTTCAAGAATAGAATAGAATAGAATTATAATAATATTCTTATTCTATTCTAATAGTTCTGATCCTCTGTACCTTTCATTTTCTCCATGTTACCTTACCCTAAATGCATCATTAGCATTACATTTCTAATTATCATTACCTTATTATTCTTATCTTTTAATAGCATAGATCAATTTTCTCTCCTAAAAGGGTGTTTCTTTTTCTTAATCACCTTATGGTTAAGATAAGCTCACTTTTCCATCATCTTTAGAATAGAATATGAAAAGAAAGAAGAAAAAAATTCCAAGATATTCGTTCCAATACACTAGTGACATCTATCGAATTCAATATTAGACATTGAGATATTCTATTTTCTTTCTGTTGGAAAAATTATAAGAATTAAATTGTTAAATTTAACTAAATAATTAATATTTAAGTTGTGTTTTATCATAAAAATTGAAGTACTAAGTGTGGAGATCAAAATGAATACAAATAATCAGGTAGGTTCAGCAAGACAGAATACTCTGAGACAGAATACTGAAAAACACGTTTCTTATGTGAACTATGACACCAACAACTTCTCGACAGAATACTTTTACCTTCCCCTATTTTACAGATCCACCACCTGAATTATATGAACAATATACTAAAATGAAAGATCAAATGTCTAAATTGTTTAAAAAAGGATTAATTGATTAATTTTTTATTTATTTATTTATTTATTTTCAATTGTAAACAAAATGAAAATTTTTTGCTTTGTATTCTCTATCATTCGGTGGCTCAGATGACCGATCGAGAGCAGCACTTGAGGCTGCTCAGTCTTCGGACGACTGTAATTAGTCACCTCTTGGAGGATCAATAAATTTCTGTCAATTGGTTCATTAAAATCCTATGGAAATTAATTGGTTACTTTAATTGGATTATAAAAGAAAATTATCTTGATATTCTGATATGAAGATGATTCGAGATGAAGTTCATTCAATTGTAATATTTTCTTCTTTGTTTCTTTTTATAATCAGTTGATTGTTTCTCAAAGATAAAATCTAATTGGTTAATAATATTACTAATATTTTAATTGATGATTAGACTTTAAAGGTCGATGATGATATTTTTCTAATATACACCAATCAGTATCTTTAAGTGTTTAGTGTTAAGTTTATTTCTGTTGATTGCCCATTATTTTAGCAAATTAACGGATGTAAACAGTCAAAGAATATTAAGAAGAAAAAAACTTCACATAATCATTATAATCACTATTCACATACACTTAAATTGTTGTTTCTTATTGTTTTTTTTTGTTCTTATTCCCAAATCAAAGGTGATCTTGGTGAAAATTTTCTCTCTTCCTCTATTCAAGTTGATTTGATACAAGAATCATCAATAAACAAGAAATAATAATAATAATAGTAACTACATTATCTCTATTGTTAGATTATAATTCATTGATTGTTAACCTGCTACTTACTTTCTATCAACTAATGTACCTTTATTTACCTGTTTCCATCTTAATACAGTAATAACGATCATCATAATGGATCATTGTAATACCTTGTATGTGAATATTATCAAATTGTTATTTAATCATTTTAACTTGACTCGAGTAAAAGCTTCGTTAGATTAGATTGAGCATCATTGTTGAAGATAATATTGTGATTGATAGTATTTTCTAAAGGTAGAATTTGAATTTACATGAGAAATTATTTGTTCTATTTTAACTTTTCAATCAAATCTCTCTGGTCTTTTAATATGAATTTCTTCAATCTATCACTTTTCTTTATCCTTTTTCCCTTTTCCTCATCTCCTAAGGAATAAATTCAATTTTCTTTTCCCATAATCTATTTAAATCTATTTATCATCTCTTCAAATCATCTTGATCGTCAATCATTTCCCTTTCTCCCCTTAATTGTTACGAAAAAGAAAATCATATCAACTTTTCTTATTGTTTCCCCATTGCCGTTGATACACTCACTAACTAAATTAAGTTAATTATCTAGAAAATCGTAATTATTTTTGCTTCCAGCTTCTCTGTATTCAAGGCATCACCATCTTATTCATAAATTTATGTATATTTATGTACATTTGCAATTCAATTATCATTGCAAATACCATGTAAATCTCATTGAAAAAACTTACACGTTCAGGGTCTCAGAATATATTTCATGATATAAATAATTTCTTCATTTCTATTGATACAAAGATTACCCTGAATCTTTTCAGCTGATAATCAAAACTTGAAATATTCATACACCCAAAAAGTTAACATGTTATTATTACAATAATTTCCAGATTAATGTAAAAAAAGGTGTAATATCAAACTCCCAATAATTATTTATTTAGATATTTTCAATGCTCTTTCCATCTCAACTGAAACTATTCATTTATTTATCACTTATTCCGGTTCTTTATATGGTTGTTATTATTTTCACCTTTCCCTCTCCCCCTGATACCAGAAAAAAAACTATTCAGCATTTTTACTGAACAGTCTGAGCATCATTCTGAATAAAATTGGATCGATAAAAAAATCGAGAGACAGTTGATTGCGTAAAAAATGTTATCATAATTTTTTGGCGCAAAATCTGTTGTTATCAAATATATATTGTCTCTTACCAGTGCTGCCAATATCATGTAGATGAATAGATTTATAATATCATGATGATGGAACCTGAATAGACCAGAGAGAAGGCGCACTAACATGATTCAGGGAAAATTCTGTCCAAGATTCTGTTCCAATTGAATATAATACACTTTCCGATTCAACTAATCGTGTCTCTACCAATGTTTTCTTCATTCATTTTCATCCAGCAAACTCACTCAACTTAATCTCTCCTTCTCTCTCTCTCTCTCTCTCTCTCTCTCTCTCTCTCTCTCTCTCTCTCTCTCTCTCTCTCTCTCTCTTACTCCCAATTTTTATCCTCTTTTCTCTTTCTTGCATTTAAATCATCAAAATTTAGATCAACCTTTTTGTGTGACTATTTCCCATTTAAATTATTCCAAGTGAAATCTAAATCATTCATCTTCCATTTTATAAATCAACCTACGATTTACTAATTGTTCCCATTGTTTTTTTTCTGCCTGATTCTTTCCCAGGCTATTCTCTTTGTCTACTTTGTTTTCCTTTTCTTCATCCTCATCATTCCCAGTGTTCCCATCTTCTTCATCATCCATGACTGACAATTCGCTATTTATTTTCTTTCTCCTTCTCTTCTTACTTGTCGCTGGTTATCCAGTTTACTTATTAACTGTCACTTCTTATATTTGATTCTAATTAATTGATTAGTTTTCCTAATTGTGTGTTTTAATCTTCTCTCTCTATTAATCTATTAATTCAACATCTAACCACCAACAATAATGTTATGTTGTTTTAGTCAACGTTATAATTATTACATTAGCTACTATTATTATCATTGCTATTACTATCATTATCTAAATTATGATTAACCACTAATCTATTCAAATGTGAATTAATTTATCACTAATCTAATAGTTATCCTTTCTAGATAATCATTATCCTTTGTATCCCCTTGTTTATTTATTAATTATCAGCATGCAATTACTTTGGGTACACTTACTCAAGCATCACCTTTTAATGTCTGATTTATTTTTCTAAATCCAGTCAATTAAGCCTTATTAATAATCAAACATGTACTTCATTAGCTAATCATTGTAAGTTTATGTCTTTAATTACCTACAATAATGGTAGATGATGATAATTAGCTCTTCATATTGTCATTTTTATCCAACTAATACCAATTATATTTAATCAGTGAGTTAAAAGAGGTGAAAGATATTAATCTCTGTAAATAAATAATAATCACAATCACTTTGTTCTGTTAATTAATTGTGAGTAATGGAAAAAATCCACAATAATAATTACATTATTATCTTTTACTCTAAATTGTCTCAACTTGATACTCATTAAGATTTTCTCTTTCTTTTCATATATATATTTTCTTAGGAATGACCAAAACAATGACCGCATTCTCAGCCTAGACGGTAAAATATACGAAAACTGTATTCCTCACCCGAAAGGTATTGATTTACTCTCATCGAAAGGTGTCCACGATTCCATAGGTAACCTTAATCGATCAACATTCCTGGACGAGAAACTTGTCACCGGAGATTTCAATCTCAGTTCAGATGATCCCAATGTGATTGATGAGATCCTTGAGAACGACAATAAAAAATTAGGTCAACAAGATATGGTAGTTTCAACTGAATGGGCTCAAGTGGAGTCTATTGATTTAATTAATGAAGAAAGTGGCCTTGGATTTGGTATTATTGGAGGTCGATCAACCGGAGTTGTAGTTAAAACCATATTACCTGGAGGAGTAGCTGATCGAGATGGTCGATTGCAAATTGGTGACCATATACTTCAGATAAATGATGTTAACCTTAGAGGAATGAGCTCAGAACAAGTCGCTCAGGTACTTCGAATAGCTGGAACTGATGTTCGTTTAATAGTTGCCCGACCAATTGAACCATCTTCCGATGTCCATGTACTCCAAAGCAGTGGACCAGCAGTACCAACCCGTATATTGAATGATCCTGAAGCTGTTGAACGTCATTTAGCTTTATACCATCAGGTAATTAAAAGTTCAATCAAAGAATAATCAATTTCTAATTTAGCGTAATTATTTATCTTCTATACTTTTTATCTTTAGCAAATTTCTGGCTCTATTGGTTCCATAAATTCAGTTCCTTCCATCTCAGCATTCCCACCCATTCCATTCAATGATTCAGAATCTGGTTCAGTACCAACAATGAGCGAATCCAAAACCAAGCTCAATATTGAGGTAAAAATTATCTACAATTAATTACTAATTAAACAATTTTAAACGAATCAGCATTAGAAAAATGTTTCAACTGTCAGAAATCCAATAGATTTATATGATAATCGATAACATTACTAATTGCTGGATACATTAACTAAATTAAGTCTTACAACTTTGTTAGTCTATTTTCGCATGGTAAAAATATTCATTTATCGTTTGTTAAATTAACTTGACGATAATGTCAACAAGTAATATCAATCAATATGGTTGTTTTTTTGTCAGAGTAATTGTGGAAACAATAATAGAGACAATTTTGATTAGCATATTAACAATTTATTGATTTCTCTCAAATAGTTTTCTACTTTTTCTTCCTGTACTTATATAATTGGATCGATTGATTCAAATAGGATTTATTCATTAATCTAAACTTTCCACCATAATTGTATAAGCTAATTACCTTTTGTGTTTTAAATTAATTAGCATTTATTTTTAATTGAAATCAATCCTAATTAGAATCCCTGTTCAAACATTACTACTGATTAATATTTCAATTATATGGACATTTGATTGTCACGAAAACAAACAAATTGACTAATTAACATTGAATTTAATTTAATCAGACACGCATAAAACATTATAACAAATAATTAATTCCTAACGATTTAATCAATTAGTTTGCTACATGATTGACCACTAGCGAGACTATTTCAATTTGAATCCTAATATTTTCATCAATATTATTTCTTTGATTTTTCGATTATATTTATTTTATATTATCTTATGATCTGTAACTAATCTGATTTCTTAATCTTCTTATTCAGGATCATACTGAATCGAGTTTATATCGAAGTGAAAGAAACAGCCATTCAATGGATGCTATTCAATTACCTGTTAAGTCAAATTCTGAGCCATTCATTCAATTACAAACTCACTTATCGTCATTAGATAGTAAACTGAACTTGGATCTACCAGAGATGGAAACATTTGAAGTTGAATTAGTTAAAGATCAACAAGGATTGGGAATCACCATCGCAGGTTACGTTTGTGAGAAAGGTTTGTTTTTCTTTCCGTATCAATTACCTATTCTATTGATTAGTTTGATCAATAATTAACTGGTTGCAGTATTTAAATTATTAGTAATCTCTATTTTGTTTACTATCTTTTTTCTAAACAGAGGAGATCTCGGGTATTTTTGTTAAGAGCATTGCTAAAGGTAGTGCTGCTTTTTTGTGCCAAAAAATTGCAATTAATGATCAAATAATTGAGGTTGATGGTCGATCACTTTATGGTTATACAAATCATCAAGCAGTTGAAGTACTTCGTAACACTGGTAAGATCGTTAAATTGAGACTTGCCCGTTACTTGAGAGGTACCAAATACGAGCAACTTCAACAGGCCATTTCTGACGCTGACATGGAACCTCCGCCAGCTCTTCCTCCCATGTTAAGAGCCAACAAAACGACAATTCAGGTTCAAAGTGGCAGTTATGTTAATGATGATGTACAAGATTCAGTTTTTTCATCTCCATTGATTGCTATTAATAATAATAACAATCAAATTCCGTTTATTCCTCCCTTGAATTTAGCCGTTGAAACTGCACTAATTAAAAAATGGTCAACAATATTAGGACCTGAGTATGAGATTGTTGCTCAGATTAGAAAGTTTGAAGAAGGTGGAGGTTTAGGAATTTCCTTGGAAGGTACCGTTGACCTGGAAGATGGTAAAGCCGTGAAACCTCATCACTATTAATCAGAATAACGGTCTTTTGAAAAGTGGCGATGAAATACTCGTTTATTCCTCCTTGAATTTAGATGTTGAAACTGCACTAATTAAAAATGGTCAACAATATTAGGACCTGAGTATGAGATTGTTGTTGCTCAGATTAGAAAGTTTGAAGAAGGTGGAGGTTTAGGAATTTCCTTGGAAGGTACCGTTGACCTGGAAGATGGTAAAGCCGTGAAACCTCATCACTACATTAGAGCGATTCTATCAGATGGACCTGTGGGTGTTAACGGTCTTTTGAAAAGTGGCGATGAAATACTCGAAGTTAATGGTAAAGAATTGCTGAGATTAAATCATGGTGATGTTGTGCCTCTTCTCAAAGAACTGCCAATGAATGTGTGCATGGTTTGTGCTCGTGAAAAGATGCCAAGTAACCTTCCCTCACCCCAGTTAGATACAGTCGATCTAATGAGTGCCAATGAAAATTTACATTCCGCCAAACCATTAAATTACCCTCGATTACAACATGAGAGTCACAATCAAATGATGGGTAATACAACAACAATCTCAGGTGATCGACTAGTCAAAGCGAAATCAGATGGATCTCTTGCCATTGGAGTATCGAATTCTGTTGATTTAGCAAAGATGAAATCTCGTTCATTGGAACCATTAACTGGACTTGCGATGTGGAGTAACGAAGTTCAAGTTATCGAACTAATTAAAAGTGATCGTGGTTTAGGCTTCTCTATTCTTGATTATCAGGTAAACAAAAAGATTAACAATTATCTTGATACAGATTTTGATGTTGTATTTTTTTTATAATTCTTTTTTGTTTTGATGTTAATTTGTATTTTTTTTATTTTATTTGCCCATTTCCTTTTAATCATTTACTTGAAGGATCCGGTTAATCCTCAAGAAACTATCATTGTTATCCGAAGTTTGGTTCCGGGTGGATTTGCTCAACAAGATGGTCGATTAATACCTGGAGATCGATTGCTGTTCGTTAACGATATCAGCCTTGAAAATTCAACTCTCGATGTTGCTGTTCAAGCTTTGAAAGGGGCACCTCGAGGTGTTGTCCGGATTGGTGTTGCTAAGCCCCTTCCTCTTCCAGAAAGCTCAAGCTCTTCCCAGGTGAGTGACACTAGTCGTTATGTCACTCGATCCATTCCACCACCACCTTCTTGGGGAGAGAGGGGCTTAGATTCGTCCATCAGTAACCAGTATAGTGGTAACTGCAAACACTCCTCATATCATCAACTACCATCTTACACCTAAAGAAAGAAAAGAAAGAAAAGAAAGAAGAAAAAATATCCCAAGAAACATTCAAGCAAAAAGAATCAAAGAAAAAAAAAGACCCAACAGTTTACATTCTGTAGACCAAATCAATCAATTGATCAACAGCAATTGACTGATCAGTATTCCATCATTACTTATTGTTTAAATCTCTATGAAAGTAATCTCTCTCTCTCTCTCTCTCTCTCTCTCTCTCTCTCTCTCTATTGGATACAAATTAGGGTAGTTCATATAATCATGACAATATGAAGAGCTAATTAAAAAACCTCGAGCTTTTAAATTTAATTTTTGATTGTTATTTATCAATTCTTAGTTAGGCTTAAATTGTGCTACAATCAGTATATTTGAGAGACTTTTCCTCTCAAAAATGATCAACTCGAATATCAAATCTAATTAGCTTTCTTCTTTCTCATTTTCCTATCAATTAAATTAACTAATTACCCTAAGAACAAACATAAATCAAACCAGCCTTTAGTATAAGAGATTACATTATAATCTTTTTGTCAGATCAATTATTCAAAATTCTTAATCAAGAGTTAATACAAAACAACAATTAATCATCACTATTCAAGTAACATGATAAATAATCAGAATCAACAATTATCCCTATTAAAACCTGAGCTAAATTCACTCCCTGAGTCTCAATACAAGTAACACTCCAGTTTAAATTCACACAAGACTTTCACAAAACTCACTTTTGATTATCTTAATTGTTATTATCCAGAGCTGAGATGAAATTTGATGAAAATGAAGATTCACAGAACTTTGCTAATTACGTTAATTTTTACATTGAAATCTCCCTTTTAATCTCTCACTCTCACTTATCATCCACTTGATCATTTTCTCACTATTCTTCAGTCAATCAAACGATAACATTGCCTTTCGTGTTTACTGAAGTATCAAAGCTTTTTCTCATCATCTTTATCATCTTGGCTCTCTTTTTTTCTCTTACATCTTATTCAAGAATCTTTTTCTCTATCTCAACTTGTTCATGATGAATCTTGTTACTGAACAATTTCAATCGATAATTATAAGATCATAACAACAATAATAACAATAAGAAAGTTAATGAATCTCAGGAAGATTATTATGATTCAAGAATTAGCCTCAATTCTTGATTACTGAAACTCTGCTCAAAAATGAACAACAATTTAGGTTAATTGTAATATTTGTTTGCATTTATTATTATGATGAAATTGTGAAATAACAACAATCAATGATGAAACATTTTCATCATTTTCCAATTTCATCTTCTACAAGGAAATAATTAATTTTTCCTCTTCTCTGGTATTAATTGAATTACTATTTAATCACTGTTATTATTGTTATTGCTGTTGCTTATGATTTGATGGAGAAAATTGATTTTGATGATCAACTAATTGCTACGTCCAAACTTTTTGATCAATCACTCGACTCAATTATTATTATTACTATTTACTGGATATTAACAGTTTCTATCTCAATTGGAATCTCTAATTTTGTTTTTCTTCCTCCTCTTTAATTGCTGTGAACAAATTGATTCTTTCAACACAAAATGATTGATAATAAAATACCAATTAACTAATTGTCATGATTGTCCAACCAAATCCTCACTGATAATCCAATCCCTTTAATCACATTTTGGACAATAAAACAATTGATTATGTTTATGTTTCTAATTGATTGGAAAAAGAAATTGATTTGATTCTTATGAAAAATAATCAACTAATAAATTCAATTAATTGATAAAATCTCTTAATTACTGATGATCGAAGTCTCTCTCTCTCTCCCCCTCTCCCTCAAAATATAAATTAACGTGAACAATTAAGAAAATTTTCGTGATTTATTGATTCATATTCTCGGTTAATTAACCACCATCTTGATTTACTTATCGAGTGAACAATTAACTTGATATTAGACTAATTGTTTTCCTTAATTATTATGATTATAAATATGAAATATTATTATTATTATTTACAGTCTAAATTGTTATTGGAGTCGAACGATGTTAAATTGTATCATAAAGGAAACAATCAACAATCAATTAATTCCAGTGTTAATTCAATTGAGCCATTCAATGAAGATGGAGTTGATAATTTAAAGGTTTGTTGATTAACTGGAATGATTAATCCCTAATCAGATACAATTGATCGCAATCAGATGATAAATTTAAATTACAAATCATTTTGTTTCCCTTAATCTCATCATCACAATTAACTGCAATTCATTTGTTAATTTATTTTAAAGTTAATTTAGTTATCATTTAATTTGCGCTCAAACATTTGCCACATTAGATGATTGTAATTGTAATTTACTATTCATCTATTGCTTAATTTGCTAATTGCTAATCGTTGATTTAGTTATTAATTTGATTTCTTTTCTTTTTCGCTGACTTTTTTTTTTGATTTCTTTCGTTTTTCTTTTTCTCTTTCACTTTTAATTGTTTCTATTTTAGGAGCTTAATAATAATCATCATGACCGTAATCCACCATCAGTAATATCATCAAGCATTGGATCAATTCCAGATCGTTTAATTCATTCAGCTCCACCCAATTCACTTCCTTTTTCACCTTTTATTTCCGGTGATTCAATTCTAATCTCATCTGATTCAAGATCATCAACACCCCTGGATTTTGGTCTTAACTCTCGGACACCGAGTGAGAATATCGATCCGAGTATTTCATTGATTATTTCACTTCCATCAGCTCTGGAAAGGACAATTAGAATCAGAAAAGGCAACGATCCCCTTGGTAAGTAAACAATCAACTTAATCATTATCAACACGATGATAATTGTCTGTCACAATCAAGGTTAAGATACAATATCAAAGCTGATTGAACACGAAAGGCAAACATTATCGATGAAAACAAAGAGCAAAAAAAAATCTATCTTAATTGTGTTAATCATATTTCCACTTTCTCAATTTTCTAATTGTTGAATTAGGTCTTACTTTGGAATTAGCTGATCGTGGTATCAACGGAATGACGATTAAATCACTTGCCCATCATGGAGCAATTTACAAAGATGGACGAATGCAAATCGGCGATTATCTTGTAGCAATTAACAATGAAAATCTCCGTAATATCACCAACTCTCAAGCTCGAGCGGTGCTTCGTCGAGCCCAATTAGTTAGCACCGATATAAGGTACTTATATCAACTCGATTGATTGAACAAATTAAACTCTAAAAATTGTTTTTCTCTAAATTCTCAGTCTCAAATACGTTCCGGCTGAAGATGTTTCCGTTCATAAGCAATCGGCTTTACTCGCTATGCAACACAATCAATTACCTTCCAAAGGAAGAGAATCACCTTTACTTTGCCTGATTCGTCGGACTCCCTCACCGAGGTACATTTACCTTGTCATCATTTATTATCATCTCGATGATCATCTTGATCATCTTTCTTTGGTTTCACCCTATCATCACAATTTAATCTAATTTTAAATAACCTTTTGCTATTTATCTTAACATTTACCTTGCAGGCTCTCAATGAAAATGATTCACTTTGTATCATTGATTTAGTTTCATGATTTTGATAGGATTCCTTATTTTCTCACTTTCACTCCCACTCTTCCTTGTCTTCCTCTTTATCTTCATCATCATCTTTGATCCTTTTTCCTATTTTCATGAAAAGAATTATCCTTTTTTCCTCTTTCTCATTGAATCCATACAATTTTAGTTTTTCATCTTTTTCCTTTAGATCTTACGATTTATTTTCTTTCAATTCGATGACAACCTAATTTCTCAGCTCTCCCACTGTTTAACTCCTTATCTTCCTTGTCATCACACAAGATTTTCTCATCATCATCATCATCATTATCATCACTTTCCAATCATTTCCCGTTTTCATATTAACCAAGGTTGTCATTTGCTCTCCAATCAATTTAATTCTGTTTTCCTGTCATTCACAATTAAATGTCTTTTAAAAGCTTCAATTTTCACCTTCATCCTATTCATAAATTTAATTTTCTCATCAACAATTAACAACAATTATCTTTCTCTTTCTCTCTAATTTGCTAACCAAAAGGAGGTATCCTAAATACTATCGGTAGGCTTCAATTTAACTCCAAGTCAAATGATTAATTGTTATATTTTCATCACTTAGATTATTTTTTTTTATATTGATTAGTTTATTTGTGTTTAAATTATGAAAAAAATTTTACTTCTTGATTTACTAATTGTTTTCTTTTGTTTTTCTTTCTTTCTCTCCCATTGATTAAATCTAATTAATCAGTTCACCTTATTTTGGTTCTCGTCGAAGTGAAAGTGATTCAGATGATAATCTAATTTCTTCGGACACTCTTGTTCAATCATCTTGCCCACAATTAAATTGTAAACAATCAACTTGTTCCTTGGATAAAAGTAAAGCTGATTCACCAGAAGTTCATTCATCTTCACCTGAGATCTCAATTATACAACAACCACCATCAAGTTATTCACACACTCAACTTTCCTCATCATCAGTTAATCTTTCCCATCATCATAATCATCATCATCACCTTCATCAAGGACCATCAACAATGACGGAAATTGATTCACTACAATCAACATCTTCCAATACTTATATTGTCAATAATAATACTACTGAATCAGCTGATTGGCTCAATAAAAATAGCATATCAAGAAGTGCTTCCAGCGATATAACCAAAGCACAAGGTTGTTATTTTGGTTTCAACTGAATTAAATCAAATCATCTTATCTCCATCTCTTCTCAATTGTCAACATTAATCATCCAAACGAAACAATTAACCAAACTAATCAAACACATTATACATCCTTAAAAACTACTAATCTTTTCCCCTAATAACTTAAATTAAATTGTTATAACTAAACCTTAATCTCTCTCTCCCCCTCTCTCTGTGGTTAGCGATCAAAATATTACAATTAATTTTTTCCTCTCTCTAAATATTAATTACTAATCAATTCTTTATCCTTAATGATTAACATTCAGCTAAATTAACTCATTAATAATATTATAATCAATTGATTCTTTGGTTATTTTAAACTTTGTTATTTGTTTTATTTTGTTTTTATTTCCTATTTCAGATTTGTGATTAATTTCAGTTTGATTAGTTTCCAATTATTTGATTAATTTGTTTTCTCAACAATTAATTGTTTATCTCGTATTTAGGTTTACTAACAATTTTTCAATTATTATTTGATTTTGATTAATTTGTTTTCTCAACAATTAATTGTTTATCTCGTATTTAGGTTTACTAACAATTTTTCAATTATTATTTGATTTTGTCAACAATTAGTATTTTTTACCTCACAATTTTCATCAATCTAATTGTTCACCTTCCAGTTTTACACAACAATTTAACTAATCAAATGAAAAACCAATTCATTAACTGTTACATTTAAAGTACAACAACAGTTAATTAGCTGATTAATAATCTTGGCTACTGAAAATTTTTGGATGGTTTTTGTTTGATTGTTAGATTGTTATAATCAATGTTGATCTAACTTGATTAGTTACCATTTAATTTGATTGTTGTTTCATTGTTTATCCTTATTACAGAACCACAAGTGCCTACAAGTGAGCTTACATCTTTTAATTGTCAACTTGGTTTATCATCTCGAAGTCAATCAGCTGTTAATTTGTCCAATAGCAATACAACATCGTGTTCAAGTTTAACGACCTTCACAAATACCGGATCTTGTACATTATCCCGTCAATGGTCAGCACCTCGAACTATTAAATTAATCCGTGAAACCGATCAAGGTCTGGGTATATCAATCGTGGGTGGTAAGGTTGACCTTTTTAACGTGTCCCCAGGTCACTCTACTAGTGGTATTTTCGTGAAAAACATTTTACCAGGTTCAACAGCGGCTAAAAGTGGCCGTTTAAGGAGAGGTGATCGTATCCTCGAAGTTGGTGGTGTTGACCTGCGTGATGCTACACACGACGAAGCTGTTGAAGCGATAAGAACAGCTCAAAATCCGATAACTCTATTGGTACAATCTTTACTTCCAGTGCCAACGGGATTCATGATGGACAGTGATCTTACCGAAAATATTGACTCCTCTTCCGATGCCACTCTTGCAGCGATCACTTCGGTCGCTGATGAAGATCCACCATCTGAACGGGAAGAACTTGAATCAATATCATTACCAAAATGTACCACTGAATCACTTAAGCCCATTCAAGGTTGGATTCCACCTCGAACACCTTCACCAGTGGTCATCCAAGCTGGACTTGATGATGAAGCACTACAAGAGAATCAAGCTCAAGTGGAACAAGCTCGAATCTCTGCCCTCAAGGGCGATAAACACGATAAAGACGATGAACCCACCGAGGAGATGGAGGTGGTAACCAAAAAATTGAATAAAATCAAAACCGTTTCTTTAGCTTCGGAAACGACTGAAGATTCAGAATCAGAAGAAGAGGAAATTAATGTTAGAGACACAAAAGGAAAAGTTTTCTCATCCAAAAGGAGTCGAGGTAAACAATTAAATCAATCATTCCAACAACAATCAGTTAATTGTTTCAATTTACCACCTTAAATGTTTCAGATCGACAGGACCAGCGCTGGGAACGTGAAACTTGCTCCTGGAGAAGTGGATGAAGAGGAAGATGAATTTGGTTATACTCCAAGTAAGTCGATTTACTTTTAATTGTTCCCATTGATTGTGATAAATTTAGTTCTGTAGCATAAATTAAATTACTCAAATAATCTGTTATTTAACTTTCCGACAATCAAGTCTAACTTTTAGTAACACGAAAATGTCAAACCATTGGATTGATTTACTTTTTTACCCTTCAAATGATATATTGAATGAGTTGATTGTGATTTGATTACGATTATCATGTAAATTGTTGTAACAATACACTAACTTGATTGAGTTAATCATTGATTGCTTTCTTATTATTGGGATTAATTTAATGTTTTCCGTTATTCATTTCCCTTTAAACTTCCTATTCTCATAATCAGCTCATCATTAGACAATTGTTACAATCAACCATCATCAACAATCATCAATCTAATCATTAACTATTACAATTGATAAGATTCAACAAATTAACTGATTTCTAGATAAAAAATCATTGATTAAATTCAAGTTACTTTGAAAATTAAAGGTTAAACAGTTAATCAAATTAGCTCAATGATTAACCCAACCGAAAGTATCACTATTTAGTTCATTGATTGTCATGTAATCAAATCGTATTTGCTTAATCATTGAAATCGTAAAAATCATTGAACAGACAAAAATTAAATCTTAATCCTTATTAATCTCTTGTTTGTTTTATTGTTAATCTCTCATTGAGGTTTTTAATTTGATTAAATTTTCACATTTCCAATTTTAATCTGAATTAATTGTTCAATTTTTGATTAACCGACAATTCAAATAATTAGACAAATGAATAAACAAAAAATATTCAAAATTAGGTCAATAGGAAATGAATTTTATTCATAACAATTAAAAACATTCACTGTGAATTATTAAATTGTTGATGGTTCGAGACAATGATAATCAATTGAGTTAATTGTTAACATGAGATTTTTTAATTGTTTCTCAAGCTCATAATTTGATTGATTGTTTGTTTTGATGGCAACATAATAAACTTAATCTTCACCATAATCAAAATTGATTCTCATGTTTTAATCCAATTAAATCATCATCATCATCATTGTAATCAATTTAAATTATCCTTTTAATTAGTATAATCTAGATAATTATTATCAATCATCATCAAAACAATGAAAAAAAATTAGATTAATTTAGTTACAACTTGATCATTTTTCTTAATTTCATTTCAATTTACTAAAAATCTTTCATCACCTTAACTAATTGTTTAAATTGCTATTGTGATCAAGCAAATTGATTAAATTTGCTCACATGGATCATATTGAACAATTAACTTAAATCAACAAGGATAAGTGTTAGTTAATTGATGATTACGTTGATATCATTTAATATAATCCTAATTCTTGCAATTGTTAATTACTTAATCATTTTTTGGTTATTTTCACTTTTTATTAAACAGATTCATGGTTAATTGTTGTTACAATTTAAAACACAAACATTGACATTGATTCAGTTGGAACTGATTCCAAAAGCAACTTGATTCATTTTCAAAATCATTGCCAACTAATTATCATCATAATAATTGTAACCAACAATTAACCCTAATAACAAATTATCTTAACTATAAATTAATTGAATTTATTTCTTTTACTCATCTTTTTTTTTCGCCCAACAATTAACTCAATTACAATCAAAGTTAATTTCATTACATTCTGAAAATAATCAAGTTAATTGTTACTTAAATTATTGATGATTAAATGAAAATCATTTCATCAAAGAAACTTAATATAAATAAAATTGATGTTACTTTAATTAGCTAATCAAATGGTTAATCACAATTTAAACAAAAACATCCGCTGTTAATCATGATAATAATTAAACTTGATTGTAGCTAAGTAATCAAGGGCAGTTAATTAGTAAACAACCAAGTTAATTGTAATCAAAAACAATCTTGAATCAACTTGAATTTTGCTTCATTTGATAATTAAAACTTGAAAATGAAAACTAAACGATAAACATTAAAATTAACAATCTAAATCATTATCACCATCAATTAACTAATCAGCCAATTCGCAAGTTAAACAATCAACTGTAATTAACCATAAACAAAAAACAATCAAATTAAAACATTGAATTGAAATTTTTTCAAGTGGAAACAAGAGTTTAATCAATCAAATTAACTTTAAACTGTGATTGATTATCAAAAGCGATACAATTAAATTAAAAACGATATAAAATCTAATCGATAGTTTAATCCAATACAATTAGTTAATTTATGAGAAAATCAAAATTGACAAGATGATAGTAAGATAATTGAATTTCAATCGACTTCTGAATGGAATCATTTTTATGCCAATTCATTGAAAACTGTCAATTTCATCCTCATCCTGATCATCTCATGATTCTCATCATTCTTATCATCCTTATCATCATCATTTGTGATGCTAACAGGAAGAGAAATGATGTTAAACAAGAAGATAACTCTGATTCTCTAAATGCTTATGTTACTTTTTCTCCCCTGAATTGGGTTAGTTTTTTATCCATGGTTCATGATGATAAACAGAAACATGAAGATGATGGTGATGTGGTTTGTGTTGTGTTGTTGTTGTTCATGATGATCAAGATATTCAATCACATGCGCTGATGGTTTAGGTATGAAAAGCTATTCCAACAGCAATTTACAAATGAAAACCATCTCTGTGTTCAACTTGATTCCTAATCATCATAATCAACAATCAGCATAAACATTATCATCTTCATCTTCATCTTTTCCTCTTCCTTCATCATCACCAACCTCATCCTCATCTTTATAACATCAACAATGTTTCCATTCATCTAATTAACTCATTGTGTGTGTTTAATTTTAATTAATCTTTGCTGTTGTTGTTGTTGTTGTTGTTATATTTATAATCATTAACAATGTTAAATTACTGTTGGTGACTGTTATTGTTATTAACAGTGGTATGTGTTGATTAATTGTCTTTTCATTAATTAAATTTGATTGCTCCATTTTTACTACTTTCTATCATCATTGTCGTTTTATAAACAATCAACATCCGTATCAGAATCAGTATTATAATAATTAAATCAGTTGATTATCATCTTGTAACAATAATGAACATGATGATGATACTGATGATGTAGATGATAACAGAAGATTCAATTCACCTTCATCTTCCTCATCATCATCATCTTACCAGAATCTTTTTAGTATCTCTACGATTACTATCACTCGAATCTACTACTACTACTACCACTCTCTCTCTCTCTCTCTCTCTCTCTCATCCATTCAAGTGATATACACCACCCATTATCGATCCAACCCAATTACCTTTCTCTTTCTCTCTTTTTTCATCATCATCATCATCATCTTTCCTTCTCAGTTACTCTATCTGTCTGTCTCCCTGTTAAACTCTGAGCTTCTTACTTTTTCCCATGTACATTTCCATTGTGAGCCAATAGTTGCTCAAATCTCATCTCACATATACAGAATAGAGAGATAAAACCATGGCCAAAACCAATGAGAACATTAATTGTAATAACAACAACAATTCTAATTCGGATTATTTGGGTAATTTAGTTACTACACTAATTATGGTTCCATTTCTCCCATTCAGTGATTTATTCTTTAAATATCTCATCTCACCTTTTTCTCTCCATTAATTCATTCAAATGATTTTATTTCTCTCTGTTTATAACTAACGAATTACCACCAATTTGACAACAATTTATTTTCTTTTTTTCTAATTGTCTCTCTTTGTCTTTCTCTCTCTCTCTTGATATTCTTTGTTTATTCAATCATCATCATCATTAATTCTCAATCTAATCAACTTGATCAACAAACGGATTTCCTACTCTTCATTTGTTTATTTGCTTCTGTGTATTTATTGTTGATCCCTTGGTCACTCTCTTTCTCTCTCTCTCTCTCTCTCATTTTTGACAATCATCAACAACAACATCATCATGTGTATTTTAATGACAGAAAAAGCAATCAAACGTTATGGTCAACTTGGAGGTGAAATATTAATTGTTGATCTGGTTAAAGGTATAACTGGATTAGGTTTAAGTTTGGCCGGAAATCGTGATCGTAATAAAATGTCCGTGTTCATTTGTGGGATGCATATGAAAGGAGCTGCAGCCAAAGATGGACGTATAAAAGTGGCTGATGAAATATTAGAAGTAAACAAATTGATTGTTAATACACTTAAACAATTTACTAATCATATTCTCTATTATTATTATTACTTTTCTAAAGATTAACGGTGTTGTGCTTCATGGACGATGTCACCTAAATGCCTCAGCTACAATTAAAAGTTTACCTGGACCAGTATTCAAAATGGTTTTGTTAAGGTACTTTTCTTATACTTTATTATTATTGAAAATTCTGGTCAGTAGGAAAATGATCAGATTGGACATTTAGGATAAGTGGACATCCAAATCTCAACTGTCCTTTTGTTATTGACCATCATTATCAACAAAAGAAATGTATTCAACCATGTTGATGTTGTTACTTAAAGTAGATTGACCATTGGAGTTGTCAAAATTATATTTATTTCTTACATGATGGATTATTATATTTATCTCTTATAACTGAATGACTTGATCAATTCTTGTTGATGATAAATCAGATGATCAATATTTTTTGATGGTAAATTTTCAGATTTATCATCTTGGTGAGTAGGCAGAGAGAGAGAGGAAGAGATGAGGATAATATCGATGATAGTAGCTGGTTATAAGAGTGGAAAATGGTTGAATATGAATGGAATAGACCACAAATACTCATTGAGAATAAGATGAAGAGGAAAAAAAAAGAGAAAAGGAAAACATTTTCATTGATTTTTCTTTTCTTTTCTTTTCTTACTTGTTTTCCTCTTCTCTTCGTATTTCTTTTCTACAATTGTTTGATCATTTTTCTCTCAATGGAATAACTCATCTAACCTTTTGATTGATTGTTACAGGAGAGAAGGTGCCTTAGATGAAATGGCTGTTAAGCCATTGATTCAATTTCCCGTCCATTTAGAGGAAGAGACTCTCCAAGAAAAGTACAATAAATTTCATGGAGTCAGAACGGTAACAGTTAGAAAGGTATTTACAGTTATAATGATTTTTTTTTTCTTCTTTTAATAACATTCGATTAATATATTGACTTTTCTATTGATTGATTGTAATCATCTTCTAACAGGGTAATACTGGTCTAGGAATCATGATAATTGAAGGTAAACACACTGAACTTGGTCGAGGTTTTCATTTCTGATATTCAGGAATCATCTCCGGCTGAACAAGCTGGATTAGCTGTTGGTGATATGATACTTTGTGTTAATCAAACTGATCTGGTTGGAGCGGATTATGATACTGTATGTTAATCAATCATTTTGTTGTAGTTTCTTTTGATTGTAATTTGTTTAATTGTTTACTCGCAGGCTGCATCAACCTTAAAAAATGCTGAAGGTCTTTTATCAATTGTTGTTGCCAAACCTCATAGAGTTTCCAATCGATCTGATCAAGGATCAACAGCTCAATTAAATCAGGGAGATTCAGAATCAGCTCAAAATGACCAAAAGAAAGATCAAAGTAAGTTAATTATTTCTTTACCCTTAATTACTACGATTAAGATGACATTAGGTCAATTGAATTGAGACTTAACTAACAATCTGCTAACAATAAATATTACTTTCAATTGATTGTTTATAGTTAATTGTTTTCGATAAAATTAATTGGTTTGAGATTTGATTGCTCTCTACATTGAATATGATTGCTATACAATTGATAAATTGTTCCCTTGTAATGATTTGATTATCTTATTGGAGTTAATTTTGATCCTTAATTACCCTCAATGTTTATTGCAACTTTTTTTACTGTTACAATTGTTTGCTTATTGTAATCATAAATCACTGATTAAGCTTTTTTTCTGGTTTGTTGTTTACACTATTTGAATGTTAAATTATTAACCTTTCAATCAAATCAATCAAATTTGCTCCTAATTTGATTCCTCTGCATTTACTATTGATTAGAGGGAAATTTAATCGCTCCTGTTACCCACCGGTGGGATTTTTTTTGCTTACCTTTACCTTTCTCTCATTAACACCAAGCAAATGATTATAAATGAAATCATTTTCCTATTTTTTTTACTATTGATTAGCTGAGTAAAAATATTGGAACGCTAATTAGAAGGTTAATCAGATTCAACACCAATACACAATTAAGTCTGGTGTGTAATCAAAAGATTGATTTTCGAGAGCAACTATTGATTGATTTGGTTCAATCGGTTTTTACTATTAAAAGAGATGATCGATAAATAAAAAGGCCCAGAGGGCATAGAACAATCAAATCAACTCGCAATCGAAAAATTCGCTTAATTGTTGAGTTAATTTCTATTGGACTCTAATTAGAAATCATTAGTTGATTACAATTGATTGTCTCCACTGAGGAAAATAACTTGAACCATTTCCAAAAAGAATATTTTACAAGATATGAGCGCCATCTAATTCTTAAGTTTTGCAACTTCTTTTTCCCCTGAGGCTATTAAATTGTATTAGAATTTCGAATGTCAATTTAATGATTTTGTTTTTTTTTCCTTTTAGAAAATGGAAAGGATTTACCCTCACCCGTCGGTGGGGATGAAGAAACTATCACTTTAGACCCAAATACCTGTGAAATTATTCCTGAGCGGGAAACAACTCTGGAAATTGCAAAAAAGAAAATGGGTCTTGGGTTAAGTATCGTCGGTGGTTCTGATACTCCATTGGTGAGTTTTCATTGAATTTCGATTAGATTTCAGGTTATTAAATTGTTTTTCTTTCGATCTTTTGATAACAGGGAGCCGTTATTATCCATGAGGTTTATCCTGACGGTGCAGCCGCTTTCGATGGTCGCTTGAAACCAGGAGACGTGATTCTTCAAGTTAACGATGAAAATTTACGAAACGTTCCCCACGAATTTGCCATTTCAGCCTTAAGACAAACTCCTTCCACTATCAGAATGGTTGTTTACCGAGAGGAAACTCATTCTGCGGACACTGATCTCTATGAAATCATGGACATTGAACTGTACAAAAAGCTTGGAAAAGGTTTAGGTTTAAGTATCGTTGGTCGTAAAAACGGTCCCGGTGTCTATGTTTCCGAAGTGGTAAAAGGCGGAGTCGCCGAAGCTGATGGAAGGCTACTTCAGGGTGACCATATACTTCAAGTCAATGAACATGATCTCAGAAATGCAACTCACGAACATGCAGCAGCTATTCTTAAGGTACTTTCGCCTTAATCTCTCATGTAAATGCCTTCGAATTCCCAAATAATTGAACATCGAGAAAATCGAAAGTCGAGGAAAAGAGTTAAATTGTTCATCTATCGCACGTAATTATCGAAGATGAATAAAACTTGATCAGTTCAAATTTTTCTCTTTTTTTATTTTCCATATTAATACAAATTCTATTTTGATGAAAGTCGAAGGCATTTATCATGTTAATTGTAATAACCGAAATACTTTTTTCTTCATAATTAACTAATATTTTATTTATTTATATTTGAAAACTCTTAGACTACGATTGGTAAAATAACCATGAAAATTGGAAGACTGAAAACTGGAATCCGTTTAAGTCATAGCGGTGAAAAATCAAGTTCAGTAAACAAATTTTCTTAATTAATTCTAATTGTTTAAAATTAATTATATGTTGAAATGTTTTCGTTTACCTGTTTCACGTCGCTGAGAAAAAACAATTGGAAAAAGAAAGGAAACTTTATTACATTAATTATTAATTTGATTATGATTAATTTACATATATTCATTTCCATATCCAACCGTCGCTGTGCCATAAGCAGCAGTCGCTGTACCATAAGCAGCCGTTGCTGAGCCATAAGCAGTGGTCGCGTTGTAATTGGCATCAATTGCATGAGGATGAGTTGAAAAATCGTATCGACTCGTTGATGGCCAATGCATTTCGGGTGCAGTCATTTGGGTTAATTCAAATCCACCACATTGATTGAATCTTGCAGCGGCCGCCGCTGCAATGGTAGCTGTTGGAGGCGGTGGAGGCGGAGGTAGCAATAGTGAACTATATTGAGCTGCTGCTGAGGGAGTAGCGGTAAAATCATGCATCGTCGCGGCACTTGCAGCTCTTGCATGATGAGAATATGAATAATGTGACCAAGCTGAAGCAGCGGCTGAAGCAGCAGCCGAAGCCGCATTGGTATTGGTATTGGTATTTATATTTGTATTTGTATTATTATCACTATTGTCACTGGTGTTACTTGATGAGGTGCTGCTACCGCTACTGTTTATAACAATACCTCCTCCTACACCCTGAAGGTTATGTGAATTATGGTGCAATTGATGATGATGTGGGTGGGTATGTGCATGATGATGATGAGGATGATGTACAGGATGATGATAAGGATGATGATGGACTGAATGATGAACTGGGTGGAGTTGACGATGATGATGAACTAGTTGAGTGTGATGTTGATGATGATGATGATGATGATGATGAAAACCATTTGCATTCCGAAATGATTGAGGTAAATTACGATCACTCCAAGAAGCTTCAATTTCTGTAATAATCAAATAGAAGAAGAAGAAAAAAAAAGTCCATTGATTAACAATTAAATTTCCATGATCATGATCATCAATCATCTTATTTGTCATCAAGTTCTCAACAAATCAAATCAAAATCTTTATCATGATTTATTAGTATTTAATCATAACTCATTGAGACTCAATTAAATTTTCCAAACTACAATTAATTGTAATAAATCTTTCCAATCATCACTTTTAATCACAATTAAATTAAAAACAAAATAAATCTTTCAATGTGAAAAACTTTTCCCTTTTTTTTTGCTTTGCTAAATCAACTAGACGATTAACTTGATTGTAGTTGATTTTCATTTCATTATTGTTAATCATTCTGGTTTCATCGAGTCGTCTAGCCTTGATTAATTGATTGATAATCAAAATTTTAGTTGATTACAATCATTTACAATTATAAACTAGCAATAGTGTAACAACCCCTCACAAAATGTATTAAGTTAATCGTCATGAAAATTTGTCTCACTAAATCACTGACAATTAAACGATAATTAAATGATAATTAAAGGGAGTTAAAGGTGAGTAATTCCTCCCCTTTGATATTAATCAACACTTTCAACTAAAATCAACAATCTTACTCTCTCATACACACTTATATCATCATCTTCCTCCTCCACCTACTTTTCATAATCCAATCAACATTTTGATTAACAGATTAACAGATTGATATCATTTATGCCCCGAGGCAATTAAGACATAGTTTGATTTTTAGAATGTAAATATTTCGATAAATTAACTAACAAGTTTATTTATTATAAGCAAAAGTTAATTGTAATTAATTTTGGTGACAACTAAAATAATTTGAAACCTTCAAGAGGATTAACCAAATTTAATTTGATTCTGTCAGTTTAATAATAATTAAATTACTTTCTGGTTGATTATCTTTTATGTAAACAATTTAACAATCCACAACTAGGTAATTGTATATAACAAAAAATTATTATTATTATTAATTTAGTGATTATTGATGATAATTATAACGATTATCATCAACGACAATCAACGTTTTAATCATGATTGATTATAAAAACAGTCACACTAATCAATTGGATAAACATTGGCCACAATTAACCATTTGCAATTTATTAATACACGATTAATAAAATTAATACAACTAATTGATCAGGTTGATTGATTCAACATTTACAAATTTTATCTGATTAACAATACACATCACTAATCATATGAAACAATTTAATCAACCACAGACAGTTTAGTTTATCATCTGAATCAATTTCACTTATTAACAATTAAACGACAGTAAATTGAATTGGGAAATTAGTTAATATCTATTTCTCAAAGTTAACCACACCTTTCATGGTGATGAGGATGATGAATTCATCATGATAATTTTGAAATTATCGATTATAATAACTGGAAACAATTTGACAGTCTAATGGTTAAAATGATCATCTTGATCTCCAATAAAATCTAATGACAGGAATGATTAAAATTCTTGCTATGATTTAGATGGAAAGATGAAAAATTTTTCATCCTTCTCATCTTGATTCTCATCATCATCATCTTCATCTTCATCTTATGCATTTTTACTGCTAATTACTGATGGCAAATGCTGAATAAGCTTAAAGTGGAGGCAAATAATCTTGAATTGAAGCCAATACTCTGAGTTACAAAGCATTAAGACCAACTGATAATATTGATTAAATTAAATGTTCTCTTCCACTTCTTAAGAAACATTAATTAGTTTCCAATTTACAATAATTATGAGAATTTATCTCATCGAAATTAATAAATTTACAAACAGTTTACAATTACGAGTGGTAAAAATGAATCATCTTCATCTTCATCCGACATCATAGTATTTAGTAGTTTTCATTATTAACAATTAAAACAGATATTATCGAGATAATCTGATTCTGATCATCGTCATGTTATCAAAAGTTATAACTTTTTTGTCAATGGACAGAATCATTTGTCATTCTAATATCAAAAAGAGGGAATATCAAACATGATGATATTGAATTCATTCAGTTTTACTGAACAGAGAGGGGATGAGATTACGATCGAGACAAGAACGAGAAAAATGATGCGAAAGATCAAATATCCTCCATTCAGAATTCGAGTCTTGATTGAGGTGAAAGAATAAATTCCCATGTGTCAGGCTTGCAAATTTTTGGAATAACTTGAATAGAATATTGAGAAAAAAAAGAGAGAGAAATTTATTCCTACATCATCATTTTCATTCTAATCTTCATCTTCATCTTCATCCTTTTTATCTTACACATTGAGCATCTCTCTCTATCTCTCTCTCTCTCTCTCTGTTACCATTGTAACTAATATTCATGCTAACAAATGAAAATAAACCAATAAAAAGAAACACAATGTTATATAACAAACTATTATTATCATTACAGTTTTACAATCAACTTCATGTTACATTAAATTTTCATGATAATAATCACCTTACATCATCATCATCATCACCAAGATGTAAATATCAAGATGAGGATAAAATTTTGCAACTTGAAAAGTAAAACAAAAAAAAAAGATGAAGAAAATGAAACAATAAGAAATTGTGAATGAAGATGTTACATGAGAAACATGTTCTTCCATTTCATGATAACATTCCCTGAATAACATGAACAAATACCAGAACTTTTTTACAAGAATTTATCATCATTTTCGCCATTCACACAAATCTCTCATCATTATCATTTCATTTGCAAGAGTATAAATATCAACAACTCATTTATTAACTCCTTCATCATCTTGTAACATCAATCAAAATCAAATAAAGTCAATCAATAACAGTAAATAGTTTTACCATGTGAACACATCGAGAAAAACTAAATCAGTTGACAAATAGCATTTTTACAAATGACAATTAATTTAGATAATCTTATAAACTTATAGTTAATTATAATTGTAATTTTATTTCCTACAAAATTAAAAAATACAATTAAATTAAAAGATCAATAATATACAAAGATAATTCATGAGAAATGTGAATATACATGTGAGTGTATTCATCCAAGTACAGAATTTATTTATTTTTTTTCAAACAATTGATATGAAATATATTCAGTGTATAGGGTTTATCAGGATAAACATTTTCGAGTCAACCTATAAATTGTATCATGCGTATCCAAGCATTTATTTCATCCTCATCATCTTCTTTCAGAACTCTCTCTCTCTCTCTCTCTCTCTCTCTCTCTCTCTCTCTCTCTCTCTCTCTCTCTCTCTCTCTCTCTCTCTCTCCTTCTCATTCTCCTTCTTTTTCGTTCTCTCTTTCATCAAATGCAATAAACACTTTTTTTAATATAAATGGTTCCTAACATTTTCAATCATTCTCATTCTCCTCATCAACATCATCTTCCTTCATCATCAATATACTATCATCATGATGGTGATGATAAAAACTCCGCCTTGACATTACACTGACACTGCCCACTACATGAAAAATCAAAAGGCTGACAATTACTCCAAATGATGATGATCATCATCATCATCTTCATCATTACACACCAAAGTAATTTTTCTCTCACTCTCTCTTCCTTATTTATTATATTGATAGCAAATAGACATAGATAATAGCATAATTATAGTGATTAATGATCAAATTATTTTCTAGGTTTAAACGAGTTAAATAGTAAATAAACATTGAGCTAAGCAAGATAATGATGATGATGAGGATGAGGATGGAGAAATGATGAAATGAATCAGAAAAACGAAAATTAAATGATAAAGAAAAGTGTGAAAATTATTATCATTATAATGATAATATTCATGAAAGGATAATAAGTAATTTATGTTATATTAAAAGTTACCTTTGCCATAACCTTTTCTATTGTTCCCATAGAGATGATCATCATCATTATTAAATATCATAAAATGTGATTAACAATGATGATGAGCAGAGAGAGAAAGAGAGAGAGACATTGACAGATATTCAATGATAATAAACGGATAACAATAATAACAACACAATCAATTGTGACTCTTAATTGTAATCAAATAAATTTCACAAGTGAATAAAAACCAATAAAAATATAACCTTAGTGACCTGATTTATTTCAATTAACAGTTAGCCACGTGACGTATATACAATAGTTATCATCATTTTCACATCATCTTCATCATCATTTATTATTTTCATCAATTGTCATCATCAAAAGACAATTTAATAATCATATTATTGGCAGCACGAGGCCGGTAAACCGTTACAAGATGATAAGGATTAACCTTGGTTACGATTAAATATTAATAACAATTAGTAAGTGGATAAGTTTACGGGTCAAGTTAATTTGTTGATTCCTTTTCTTTATTACTATTTACATAATAATGAGTAAATCATCATCATAAAATACTCAGCACGCGTTGGGTACGTCGTTGTTTCTTGGGTGGTAAATGTACACAACCTCTTAGCACGTATTCGTGCCTTGAGAAATCATTGATAGTTAAGAGGAAGAGGTTATTTAGTGGGAGAGAGAGAGAGAGGAAGGTGAAAAGTATGCAAATGCACTTAAAAATATATTAACTGTAAAGACGATGGGAAGAAAAAGATGAAGATGAAGATAAGAAAGCGAAGAGAAAGAGAAAGAGAAAGAGAAAGGGAGAGATGAAAATGACGATTATCCACTTATAACCATTAGTAGGTTCGTTGATTTCTAACTGAACACAAAGTTGTCAAAAATTAATTGTTATTATCTTGTTGTTGCGTTTATCAAGATAATGATGATGATGATGTTTCTCATCCAAATGTTACACTATTACTTTAAATGCACTTCATAATTTTTTAATCTTCATCTTTAGCATCCTCATCACTTTCATCACTCATTCATCCATTGCCATCCCTCTGTTTTACCAGTTTATCGATTGATAATAAATTGATTCAAAGATGATGATAATGATAATTATGAGGAAGAAACAAAACGAAAACTTAATCATTATCAAATGACTGAAAAATACATCAGTTATCTTCGTCTTCATCCTCATCCTCGCATCT